TTTTTTTTTTTTTTTTTTTTTTTTTTTTTGGTTTCGGATGGGGAAGGGAAGGGAAGGGGAAAGACAGACAGACGGTAATGCTGACCCCAAAAAAAGGAGTCGGAGCAGCAAGCATGATCACACCCCTCTACACATCCGAAAACGCCCCCCGAGCAATCCGAGGAGCATTAACAGGAATGTATCAATTCTTCATCGTCACAGGAGTCTGCATAGCCTTCTGGATCAACTACGGTTCTCTCCTCCACTTCAGCGGAACCGTGCAATACGTCGTCCCACTCGCCCTCCAAGCCCTCCCGGCCATTGTGCTTCTCGTGGGAATGTTCATCAGCTCGGAAACGCCGCGATGGCTCGCGCGACAAGATCGATGGGATGAAGCGGCTCGTGTACTCTCGCGGGTGCGGAATTTGCCGCAGACGCATCCGTATGTGCAGGATGAATTGCAGGAAATGGCGGATCAGTTGGCGTGGGAACGGAGGTTGATTGCGGGGTCGGGGGTGGGTGATTTGTTGAAGGAGATGGTCATGGTTCCGGGGAATCGAAAACGGGCTTTGATTAGTATTGGTTTGATGATATGTCAACAGATGACGGGTGAGTTTTTTTTTTTTCTCTTTCCCTCAGATTACTACAGGGCGAAAGAATGGAGGAAAGAAAAAGAAAAAGAAAAAGAAAGAAAAAAACTAAACCCCCCTTTTTCCAGGAACAAACGCAATCAACTACTACGCCCCCCAAATCTTCACCAACCTCGGCCTCACAGGAACGGCACCCTCCCTCTTCGCAACAGGAATCTACGGCGTCCTCAAAATGGTCGGATGCGCCCTCTTTCTCCTCCTGGCAGCAGATTCCCTCGGTCGACGACGCAGTCTGCTGTGGACGTCGATTGCACAAGGATTGTGCATGTTTTATATTGGAGCGTATATTCGCGTGGCACCGCCGGAAAAGGGAGTACCGGTTCCACCGGCGGGGTATGTAGCGATTGTGGCGATTTATTTGTTTGCGGTGTTTTTTCAGTTTGGTTGGGTGAGTCTCTCCTTTTCGGGCCGAGGGGGGGGGAAGTCTTTTGTTGATGGATGTCTTGGCTGATACTTTCTTCACTCAGGGACCGGTTTGCTGGATTTACGTCTCGGAGATTCCTACTGCTCGACTGCGAGCACTCAACGTCTCCATTGCAGCAGCGACACAATGGCTGTTCAATTTCGTCGTGGCCCGAGCAACTCCGACGATGATTGCGACGGTGGGTAGAGGGGGATTTGGTGCCTATTTGTAAGTCTTTTTTTTTCTTTCCTTTTTGACACTTACGTTTGAGCATTGTCACACCAAGAGAGGTTGTTTTCGATGAAACAGAATTGAGTGTGCTCGAAACAAGAAAAAGGCAAAAAAAAAAGAAAAAAAGAAGGGAAAGAAAAGAAAAGGAAAGAAAAAAAAAAAAAGAAAGAAAAAAAGAAAAAAAAAAAAAAAAGAAAAACTAACACACTCTTTTTCCTCCCCAGCATCTACGGCAGTTTCTGCTTCACCATGTTCGTCTTCACCTTCATCTTCGTACCCGAAACCAAAGGCCGATCACTCGAGAGTATGGACGAGTTATTCGGCAAAGTAGCCGATGGCAAAACCATGGACGAAGAAGAAAGTCGTCGGGGAGAGTCGCATGCGGAGCGGCAGACAGAGCAAGATCAGAACAAGGTGATGGATGTGAATGTTGCTCATGTGGAGAAAGTGTAAAGAACAAGAAAGAAAGTAATATATCTAGCTTGTCAGAGGTAGATAGTATGATGGAGTTACCTTATACAAACATGTTTGCGTTGGGGGGAAGTTTACTAGGTACCTTGTTTCTCTTTTACTATGATGTAGATGTTGATGTAGATGGAAGTTGTACAAATGTCTTTTTAGGAATGAATTATACGCCAAGGGCACCTCCTAAGGTAGGGTATACAGTAAGGCCCCGTTCGCTCGGACATCGGAAGTTCTCGGTTCTGCTGAGAGGTACTTGTATTACTGTATTCGTCCTTTTTTGGAAAAAATGAAAAAAAAAAAGAGAAGGGAGCCTCTTTTCCGCAGAGAGGGCCGAGCCGAGGTGATTGAGAAGAGAACGGTTGACGGGAGTCTTCTTACTCGCTTACCTTATCCTTTTTAGCTTGTAATGCTTTCTGAATGGAACCTGGATGTCATTAGGTTCTTACAAAAGACAATGAGGTAAGGTATGTAATCCATTTGACCTTGTGTTATTATACTCCGTGACAGTCTACAGACAAACTGTAGTAGACAACTAGGTTGTTATGCCAATCGAATAACAAAAGTCTGAAAGGGTGTGTGTTAAGAGGACGGGAAGCTCCTCGCTCGCTCGTTGCTTGTAACACTTCTGGAACAACTAAAACACCGTCGCGTATTGGTTAGACGAGACGCCCAGGACATGGCCTCCCCAATCCAATCCATCCCATCAAATCACAAGTTTCCTCTACTATCTCTTACCTCCTACAGTACTACAGTACATGCAAGGTCAGGTCAGGTCAGCCAGGGCGCTTCGACGAGCGCGTTCTGGCCCCCTCTGCTGCTGCGGCACCAAACAAACGAGTGCAGGGTCCCTTCTTTTCTACTACCTACCTCCTACGTGGTAATGAATGGATCGAGGTCGCTTAATGTCAAATGAGTCTTGACGTCTGAATGTCTGACTGGGACCATACCTTAGGTATGTATACAACAATATATCAGCAACGGCACGCCAGATAATGCCCTATATGTGCTGCACTCGTAACCGACTCGACTCTACCTGACCTTGGGTACTGTAGTAGAAACGGTCGTCTATAGATGTCTATTGTAGATTCCAGACCTGATGACTACCTAAAGGACGTGTGGTATACTCGAGACGCGCTATCGTGTGATGAAGACATGGCCGAGTTACAGTGTGCGAGGCGAGGGGACGACAGGTCACAGATCACAGGCGCAAGGTGGTTAGCTAAGAAGGAAACTTGGACAAATGGGGAGCGGACAGCGATGATTGGCGTCAAGCGACCAACCTTTGATTCACTGCCGGCCGCTTGCGGATTCACTGTGATTCGTCAGTGTTGGCGTGTGGACGCACTGGACGGTACCTGAGTGTGGGTATGGTGGTGGAGTGCCGCACGAACGAACGAACGAACGCCTGCTCTCCCGTCTCAGCCCAGTCCCACCAACACTTTTTCGACCTTTTTTCAAACTTCTTCTCTCTCTCCATCGATTGCCTCGACCAGGCTGGGGTGGTAGGTACCTCCGTTCCTGGTGACGCCGTGACCGTTGACCGTGTTTGACTGGTCCACCGGGCCCTCCCCCCCAGGCGCTTATCCTAGTCCTAGTGTGCGCGTGGCAGACACTTTTTCTCTGCTGTCTGTCTCTCGACTCGCTCGTCTGCCGTCCCGTCTCCGTCTTTTTCTCACTTCTCGCTAGCCTGACTGAAGCGCTTGTCATCTCTGAGTTCGCACCTCTTCATCCTCCACCACCTCTACACACACACCTCTCTCCCTCACTCTCCCTTGTCACTCTTTGAACCGGACGCGCCTGTGGCTGCGAGCGTGACACTCTCTTTTCAGACCATCTGTCATTCACACAACTCTCTCTCTCACACACACACACTCACCCACCATCCTTTGGAACCCACCCTTCACTCTTTGCGAAACTGCGCCGCCCGCCGCCCACCATTTGCGCCAGACTGCACTCCTCGTCTCCATCCCAATCCCATCCTTCTTTTGATCCGCACCTCAACCTTCCACTCTTCTTGCGCGAGCACGACCAATTTCGAACGCTGCTGTCAGTGACACGTACCATCAAATTACAGGGTCGTCTTTCTCCAGTTGCTCTTGCCGCCGATTCAGACACCTGAGACGGCTATTCTGAGCTGTTCTATTCCACCACTTTCCGACTCACGCAGCAAACCCAATCTGCACCTCCGCCAATATTGAAGACAGTCCGCTTCAATCTCCGCAACCGCTGTTACTACTACTAGAACTACTACTACTACCACCACTCCTCCCTTGCTGCTGCGCTGCAACATCTCAGCTCGCCTTTCTGGAAAAGAAAACTAGGTCTGGAAGATCGTTCTGGACTGCCGACGCTAACCTGCACATCACCGGCAATCATTACATCACCCCACGACCATCTCAACAATGTCTCTCGCACGCGCTTTCACCATCAAGCGTGAAAAGGAGCAGCAGCCCGCAAACTTGCACGTCGGACGTGCTGCGAGCACACGCAATGGACGACCCGTCAAGCGATCGCAAATCTCTGCACCAGTCGCCCTCATCTCCTCCACGAATGCCCTGTCCTACGATGCGCCTGACCTGCCGACCGCTAGGCGCCTGCACCTCCGCAGTGTCACCGGCTCTTCAGGCACCAGCACCAACAGCAGCAGCAGTGATGAGAGCGATGCTCCTTCTCTCAGCTTCGATGGCACCGACCGCGATTCGATCGATGATTCCCCTGCGACGCCCGAGCCCAATCACTTGAGCTGCTACTTCAAGCCCGCCGTAGACACCAAGACTCCCCACCGATCGCCCGTCATCTCGTCGCACTCTTCCTTTGACGCCCCCAGCATCCCCCAGCGAGTGCCGTCGCATTCGAAGAAGGCCCACGAGTTTGTGCACCGCAAGCGCTCCGTACAGCGACTAATGTCGCCTCCCGCGAGTCAGGTCCAGCGCAATTCCAGCGACTTCTTCTCCAACTGGTCCCAACCCGTCGAAGCACCACCACAGGAGACCACTCCATCATCGGAGAATCCCTTTGGCAATGAATTGGCGCAGCTGGATGTGGTGGCCGAGGAGATGAGCCACGCGGTATGTGATGCTGCCGCACAGGAAGACCAGCACATCATGCAGACATATGGCCTGGCATTGCTGGGCGCGAATGACTACACGTCAGAGATTGGTGGCCTGGTCCACGACTATCTCCTGGACGAGCCAGTCTGGATCTAGAGGATCAACATGCTGAAGCATGCTGTCGAATGCAATCGAACTCGTCGATCTGGGAATCGATCAGTTGCAGATGTGGTGCTGGTATGAGATGCCTCATCCATCCTTCCTTCTTTCGGGACGGTGTCCATGAGCACCCACTTGCACGACGACAGGCATGCATGCATCCAGGGACACGACGGGAGGAACTTGTCTCTTGATGCGCCCATACTTTCGGTCGGCGACCGTACGACGAAACTCTCCGACCTCTCCTAACTCTCATTGTTTCTTATGTCTACGACCACCACCTCTTTCTTTGGCAGGACCTTTTTTGACGAATCATACTACGACCACAATTCGAGGACGGGAGTCCTGCCATTCACACTCGTTCAATGAAAATTTACGATGATATGTTTGATGGGGGAAAATAGAAAGGTGTACATTGTCATTTCCATTCTCTTCGTGCAGAGTACTGTTCAGTGTTGAGGAAACAGTACTTTTGGTTTGACACCGCTGGCCAGCCAGAAGAGGAAATGCAAGTGAGCATTTGATTGCCTTTGCGGCTGTGCAGGCGGGACTTATGTACACACATGATATGGAAGAAAAAAAAAGTTACAATTTGACGTCTCTTCGTTGTCTTGATCCTTGATGAGCTCCGTGCCTGCGTGCGTGATTCCCGATTGTCATCATTCCATGGGGCGGGACATGACGATGATCAGCAGTAGGTACATGTAGTGTGCGATGTCGCGTGGTATGGGCACAAGGTTCGGATCTGATCGGCCGTTGGCGTAACTGTAGGAGGTAAAGGTACCTGTCAGGTACATCCAGGCTCTTTTGGCTCTGTAGCGGGCTCGTGCTTGGCATTTGGCATTGTTTACCTTTTACCACCTAGCTTAGTCCCTTCTTGCCGTGAATGCTACACAATCATCACCACAACTACCTACCTCACTTCACACCTCACTAAATTTACCCGCCGGCTTTCACTTGTGCCGCTCGCGTGGACACACTTCTGATTCCCCGACTTCGAATGTGCGAGAAGCGCCTGGATTAGCTTGGTCCCGACAGCTTGTCTGGTCTTGTCAGTGCTTGCACCTCCAGACGCGGTGTGCCTGCAGCAGCAGCAGCTTCCAGCCATTTCACACTACGACCCCTCCTCTCTATACGAACTCTCTCTCTCTCTCTCTCTCTCTCTCTCTCCTTCTCCGACTTTCTGTCTCGCCCTCCGCGCTTCTCTTCTACCTCACACCACTCGGTACGCCGGGTGTTACCATACACCGCGCCGCACCGCACCGCACCGCACCGTACTCACTACTACCACTCCACTCCTCACTACCACCCCTCACTCCACACTCACCACTCACCACCGACGAAACACGTTCTGCCACCGACTTGGACTTTCCCATTCGTACACCCCCGCCATCCACCCATCCATCCATTGCTGCACTACGCCAACCCTCGATCCATTGCCGCGCAATCGCGTCGTGTTTGTTGAGGCGTCACTACAGCATACAAGCGGGAGCACAGCTTGTATCGGCACACGACACACACGTACAAAAGCACGACAGACGAGATGACGAGCGTGGATATTGATTTCACGAGGCGGAACAAGAAGCCGCGATTGTTGACGGATTCGGAGAGGGATAAACTGGATGAGTTCATTGACGCGATTCACTACTCTTCGAGGTGAGCCAATGGCGGGGGCACGATTGAGCAGAAGGATGAAAAACAGGCGGAGTAGATGGTAGCATGTGCTGACGGGAAGACTGCTTCACAGATACAACGACGACCACTACGAGTACCGTCACGTTCAGTTGCCCAAGCAGATGCTCAAGGCGATACCCAAGGACTACTTCGATGGCGCCAGAGGCACACTGAAGCTGCTGTGGGAAGACGAGTGGAGAGGACTGGGCATCACACAGAGTCTGGGGTGGGAGCATTATGAAGTGCACGAGCCCGAGCCACACATTTTGCTGTTCAAGTGAGTGCAGCAGTCGTGTGTGATGTAAACACTGCAATTCCCGTACTGACGTGCTTCTAGACGACCAATGAACTTCCAATCCAACCAGTGATGGACCAGCAGAGCTTCTCACAACACACTCATGTACCACGAACCACATCACAACAATCAACAGACGGGAAGACGTTTTTCGGAGTCGACTCCAGCATGTCGGCGACGCACCAGGCGGGTGGAAGGAATGCAGCTTCCGGGCGACTCTGGCGTGGTTGAGCGCCAGAATTCGCACTTCACACATATGGAAGCCGAGGTGCGCCCGGTAAGCGATGGGCAGCAGGTGGACCTCATGACATGTCCCCGTTATTCTCTCTCTCTCTCACTCACTCTCTTCTGCTCCGGGCGGCGCGTTTGGTGAGATCATGCATTAACGGCTGGAATGCGCACATGAAACGGGATCGAAAGACATGCTGGTATGTATTTCAGAGCGGGTTGCAACACGCCACGATTTCCGTAATCAACAGGCGGGCATGTCAGCAACAGCATCAGCAGAAGCAGCAACAGCAGCAACAGCGTAGTGTATATGTAATGCGGCCAATGTGTTCGTTAGGTTCCGCTAATGATAACGCGTCATGTCCCATTGTTTTTTTCTAATTTTGAAAAAGAAGAAAAAAAGGTAACGAGTAAGTATCCTTGTTCTCTCGATGGCGCTTCTTGCTGGCTGTCAGGGACCATTCTTGAAATACATATAGTAGGTAGTAGTACCATGAGTCCCTTGGTCGTATTAGTACCGCCACTTGAAGATTACAGACGTTGCGGTCGTTTGGATAAGAATAGCAGTAATATGATAGCAATTATGACAACGACAATAATAACAATACTGTTTGGCAAGTTGTCAACGACAACGACAACGACGATAACAACGACAACGATAATAAAGACAACGATGACAACGACGATGATAATAAAGACAACGATAACAACGACGACGACGATAACAAGGACAACGACGACGATAACAACGACAACGATAACAACGACAACGATAACAACGACGATGATAACGACGACATCAACAACAATAACAACGGCAACGATAACAACGACAACAACAACAACGATGAAAACAAACAACAACAACAAAAACGATATCCAGGTAGGTAATAATAATAATTAATAATCAAACGTTAGATCTACAGGTAGGTAGGTAGGTAGGTAGGTAGGTATACTTAGGAGGTAGCAGTATATCCTTCCTTTCCTTCTTCTCTCTTTTAAATAGTTAGTCTCCGTAGTTAGTTAGTTAGTCTCCGCAGATAGATACCTCAGTCTCTTCTACCTACCCACCCACCAACCAACCAATATATATCCCTCCCCTCCCCTCCCCTCCCCTCCCCTCCCCTCCCTTTCCTCTAATTAATAAACCTCAACCAACGCAACTAACCCCCCTCCCCCAATTCTCCCTCTTCGAAATCCTCTCAGCCAAATTCCCCAATTCTTCCAACCAAGAGGATACTTCTCGACACGTTAATTGTGCGTCGTCCCAACTGGGCATTATACGGATTTTTACTGCATTCTTATTCTTATTATTGTCATCACTGTCAGTGTTGTGATTGTGATTTTTGGTGTTGTGATTGGCAGTGTTAGGGGATGTATTGGTGGGTGGTAATTGAAGAAAATTCCACAAAAGTCCACAATCCGTTCGACTGATTTGTTGGATTTTGGAAAGATGGTGATGGTGATGAGAAGAAGAAGAAGAAGAAGAAGAAGAAGAAGAAGGAGGAGGAGGAGGGGGGAGCCAGTTGAAAATTTGACGGCGGGAGATGGAGAGGGTGGTTTTTGCGTCATTTTCTCTTGCGTCGTTGGTGTTGGTGGTGGTGGTGGTGGTGGTGGTGCTAGTGGTGTTGTTTTTGGTGTCATGCAGTCGATCAACAACATCCCGAAACGGAGCATGAACATATCCCTTCATCAAATCCTGCTCTTTTTGCAATTTGAGCAAAAACCCCAAAACAGAATTTCCTCCTCCTTCTTTTTCCTCTCCCTCTTCTCCCGCACCACCAGTCCAAGGAAGTTCAATCGCCACAACAACCTTCTGCACCGTCGGCCCATCGACCTCCATGGGTTCAGGCAAAACCCTCGACATCCACTCCGGAAGAAATGGCCAAGAATTTCTCGCTGCAAAATATTCTGCAAACAACGCAATATTTTGCCCCGTGAGTTTGGTATTGAGTAAAGCGAGAGCAGCTTTCATGACGGTGGAGGCGTCGATGCCGTGGGTGTGTTTGAGGTGTTGCATATCTGGGAGAGAGATTTTTTGGGAGAGACCTGTTACGCCATTTGCTTCTTCTTTTTGATTTTCTTCTTCTGATGAAGCGAGGAGAAAAAGAGGTTTTCGTTCCGGACCGGGTTTTCCAGTAGATTCATCAATCCAACCCGTCGAATCTCCTTTAAACCACTCTGGGGCTTTTTGTCGAGGAAATAACGCTGCGTGATGGGTATGAATGCCTCGAAGGCGATTGATATGCCATTGCACAGAAGTTTGCGCTGCTAGAGAGTTGCAGAAGTGGAATTCGGATTCGATCCATGCGCGAAAGGGGACTCGTTGTGGGAGGGAAGAAGAAGATGTTGCCGTATCAGCGAGGAGAGCGTCCAAGTCTTGCAAGAAAAATTCAAGACTAATGCCGTCAAAGACAGAATGTTGAATCATATACACCAATCCCGCGCAATTTTCTTCTTGGACATGAGTGAGAACTGCGCGGAACATGGGACCGGGATACGCAGCGAAATCGTACTGAGGATCATTCCACAAGAGTCGCTTCAAATCGACGGCGGTATCGATGGGTTCGTCGAGGATTGTAATGCAATGTTGAAACCAGGTTGAGCTGGGACGCAGGACGACGTGTAAAGGGGTCGAGGCATCGTAATGTATCGCTAGGGTGCGGAGCATGTCGTGGTGAGATAGAGCATGCTCGAGTGCAAGACGAGTTTCTTGTACATTTTTGCTTTTGCATAGGTAGGCGTGTCGGTGGTTGTTGCTCTGTGGTCTGGGGTTTTTCATGAATTCGGCTGAGAGACTGTATAGAGGGAGGATATCTGATGCATCATATCAGGACTGTGGCCGGGTATATAGAGAAAGGGGGATTGGTGGATTGATTTTTTTTACCTTGAACGTCATTCCAGTCGAGATGGAACTTCTTTAGTAAATCTTCACAGATTGCGCGAGTCTTGTGGTATTTGTCGTCGTTGCCTTGTGCGTGCACCATATCGTTGACTGTGGGTGGCCCGTCATGACTGGGAAAATTGAAACTAGCCCCCTGAGATGGCTGATCCCCTTTACCTATAAAGGGGGAAAACGCAAAAGTCAGATTTTGATGAATTTTCCATCCCAGCCGCCACACATCACTTACGGCTGTCGAGGAGCTTTGCTTGGGCAGCTGCGGTTCCATGATTCGATAGTTCCTGTCTACACATCATACGGTCAGACTGAATATAATGTGATGTGAGACTGTGGGCAGCTCAAAACTTACGTCGTGATCGAATGGCCCGTTTCTCGTTTCAACACTCCTGGAAAGCGAGCGATGACCAAACTGTCGGCCCAATTTTGAATCTCATCTTCCGCTGTAAGATCATCCACTTTCAACAGCTTTCTCCAGACCTCAGTCACTTGATCCGCAGTAGTATCGGTCGCGTAGCCTTCATCCCCACCACTGGTATTTCCACTTTGTGCTTCCAGATGTTTCTGTACTTGTTCACTCAGAACATTCTTCTGGACTTTTCCAGAAGTAGTTTTGGGGAAATCGTCCAGCTGCATGTCGTGGAGTAGGAGAGTTTCTTGAAGCGCAGAGCCTGGTCCTAGCTCCTTGACGACAACTTCGTGGATTTCGGAAGTTGAGACTTCTTGGTCTGCTTTGACTTTGACCACTGCAACTGGTACTTCACCTGCCACTTCATCTGGTATACCGACCACATCGGTTTCCAGATCGAATTTGGACAGGATCAACCCTTCGATCGCTTTTGGTGAAATGTTCTCTCCGCCTAGAACGACAATGTTCAGCATATATCTCAGAGTTGTCGATCCCTGAGCCTGAAGGAGCAATCCACGATGAAGAAATAATTCGAGAGCACTCACCTCGGATGATCAAATGTTTATATCTGCCCACAATCTCAATGGAACCATCTTCGTCCATAATAGCCTGGTCTCCCGTCTTCACCCACTTACCCTGTTCATCCTCAGCAAACGAATCACTCGTATCTTTGTTCGAACTCCCCGTCCAATACTCTCGAATCACCAAACTACCACCCATATAAAGTTCCCCTGCGGTACCCCTGGGAACCACTCGACCCGTCTCCAGGTCCACGACGCGATGCTTGCATCCAGGGAGAACATGTCCCGAAGAAACTCTCTCGGGCGGTCCATCTGGAATCTCATCGTACCGGGTCATAACCGAGGGAGCGCCTTCAGTCATACCATATCCATTGGCTACTTTTGTCGCATTTCCGAAATTTTCCATAATTCTTGTAACGGTGGCGGGCGTGACGGTTGTCGCCCCCAGAACGATAAACCGCATACAAGAAGTATCAGTTTTCGCAAAATCGGGATGATCGATTAAACCACTCGCGACAGCTGGCACACCAGCGAAATCCGCCGTGCGCTCTTCGCGAATCGCTTGGAGAGTTGTTCTCGGTTCGAAGAAGTGGCTGGCGTGCACGACAGGTAATCCGTCCATGTGGAAACTGAAGGAAGAATTGATGGCAAAGATATGTGATATGGGTAGGTGAGAGCAGAGCGAGCGTGTGCGATTGTAGCATCCTCCGGCGTTGTACGCTCGGATACATGAAGTGGTGCTGCGGTTTGTGTGTGGACAGCCTTTGGGTAAGGATGTGGTGCCACTGGTCATGAGAACGAGAATTACATCGTCTGAGGTTCTGTTGATTGATAGGTCGTGGAGTGCGGCAGAGTTGCCAGAATTTTGCATCATCGTGTCCAGAGACTGCCATGATGATGGTGATGATGATGATGACCCGTCACTAGGCATCTCGAGGATCAGTCGAGGAGTATTGTCTTGTCCTTCATTCATACAAGAATCCAGCTTTTGAGCTATGGAAGCATCTTGTGCCACGATGAGATCAGGGGTGACAATATCAAACACATTCCTAACCTCTGCAGCATTGGTAGCGGACTTGGGGCTCTGGGATAGTTGAATGCATTAGCACGCTGCATGTATACATCAATATATTCGATCAAGCATGAGTGAAAAACAAGCCGAAGAAAAAAGGGGGAGGAAAAAAAAAGAACCCACAATCGGACAAAAAGTGCAATTCAACTCCAGTGCAGCCCTAAACAAGACATGAAATTCCGCACAATTCGAAATATATGCCACAATCTTGCTTCCGGGTCGTAAACCCATAGCCACAAATGCTTGCGCACAAGCATGACTGACATGCTCCAGCTGTGCAAAAGTCCATCGCAAGTACGGGCTCTTCTTGGAGCGTCCGTTGTTGTGGGAGGAGGAGTCGTCGTCGCCAGTATATGCAGAAAGGAGATCTGCGGGCTGGTGCAAACACGCCAGTGCTAGATCATGGGGTGACTTGGGGCCTTGGGCGAGCAAGTCGTAGAGTGCTATACACAGTGTCGATTTAGCCTATGAAGATTGGGGGAATTATGTGTTGTTGATGATGATATGAGTGCGGTACTTACTGGGTAGAGGTTCTGAGAAAGCCGGTCCAAGGCTCTCTGATAACTTGTTACCATTCATCTTCTCTGGCATGTTGTTTCTACAGGAAAAAAAAAAACAAAACAATCAATCAATCAACCATCAAATGAGACGGTGTCGACGATGTTAAAAGCTATAACGAGAGATATAAAGTTGATCGATGCCACGTCAAAAAAAAAGAAAAAGAAAGAATATCGTCGATGCTTCATCGGACAGAAAAGAATGTTGAGCCAATGCCTTCCTTCCACTAAACATCTTCCTATACCCTACTCATTTTCCTCAACGCATCAGCACGGCGCACCCTCGTTACGGTATAGCGGCGTACCTCATTTTCCCCATTGGGGCATTACATATGAAAACGCCCCCCAAACTCTGACCATCTTCTTCCAAAGCCGCCAACCGCCTCTTGGCGATCGGTGACATCGATACACTTACCTCTCACGTATATGATCGACCTCTGGCTATCACTCCCCCCAAAAAAACGTCCGAGTAGGATCAAGCCATCTAGTCATGTTTTTTTGTGGAGGAGGAGGAGGAAGAGGAAGAGGAAAAGAACATTGATGTAAAGCGTAAAAGCGGCTGCCAACGTCAGTTGTATCTCGTTTTTCCTTATTTTTTTTCCACAAGAAAACAAATACCTGCAACACGTTTTGTTAAGAAACATATCCACATTCATATTCATATTCATATCCATACCATGCCATCCCATCCCCCGTCCCAAATCTCAACAGAACGCAAAACCGAAACCGACGAACCCGAGCATTCAATTATCGATCCAGGCGAAAAAGCCCGCTCCGATGCCGAAAATGACGATAATGAAAAGTCCACCAAACTTCTCCCAGATGGAGGACGGGATGCATGGTTGAATGTTTTAGGCACACATTTGATATACATTAGCACATGGGGTACGTACTTTTGTCCAGCATTCTTGAACCATACTTGAAAAGTTCCCAGAATCTCACCTTACTTCCCTTCCCTTCCCTTCCCTCCCCTTAGCTGATAATAATAATGACAATGCAGGTCTAATCACAGCCTACGGCGCATATGCTCATTTCTACAAAAACTCACTTCTTCCAAATTCCACCGCGACAGACATTGCATGGCCGGGGACACTAGGTACAGGCGGTATTAATAATTGCAGTGGGAGTTATATCAGGACCTTTTTTCGATCGGGGGATATTATTCGCACTTTGCTTTTCATAGGGAGTTTTTTTCGTTGTTTTTGGTATGATGATGTTGAGTTTGGCTGAGCGGTATTATCAGGTATGCAGATTTTTTTTTTTCTTTTTTTCTTTTTTTTGCTTAGTTGTAGCCATCATGTGTGGCGGTCACGCTAATGGAGGAGGCAGATTGTGCTCGCACAAGGAGTGTGCGTGGGGATCGGGAGCGGAATGGTATATGTGTCATCGCTGGCGATGGTGTCGATTTCTTTTGTCGAGCACCGGGCCCTAGCATTGGCAACTGTGACGAGTGGAGCAGCTATTGGTGAGTGAAGTCTCGTTCTGTCATATATATACATATCTGCATTAGCTGAATCGTGGTGAACGTCCACAGGCGGAGTTGTATATCCCATTGCTCTGCAGAGGCTGCTTCCATTAGTGGGTTTCGGATGGTCCACTCGCATTCTGGGCTTCATGGCGCTCTTCACTTTCCTTGTTGGAGTGCCGCTGGTGTTATGGCACAATGGGGACAAATTCAAGCCCAAAGCGCCGCGAGCCTTCCTCGACACCAGCGCTCTGAGAGAGAAGCCGTTCGTGGCATTCTGCGTGGCCATGTTCCTTGTTTTCCTGGCGTACTACGTGCCCTTCTTCTATCTGCCAGACTTCGCCCAGGAAAAAGTCGGATCATCAACTGATTTTAGCGTCTATCTGTTGGCGATGACCAACGCGGCAACGTTCCCCAGCCGCTTCATCTCTGCAATGGCTGCCAGGTCCATTGGCCGGCTCAATACATTGTCCATCTGTGTTGGTGCTTCGACTATAGTCTTATTGTCCTGGATCGGAGTGTCGTCGCTGGCTGGACTGGACGTTTGGGCTGTTTTCTGGGGCTTCACAGCTGGGCCCCTTGTTACCATACCTGCGGCAGTTGTCCCACAGCTATCGCCAAGCCCTGGGGTAGTGGGGACTCGCATGGGCATGATATGGCTGTGTGCTGCCATGGGTGAGTGCATATACCAGCCGAGATCTCGTGTCATCGAGGCAGGTTGCTAACATCCAGCTTTCCAGGTGGTTTGATCGGCGCCCCTGTCGCCGGTGTTACCAATGGCGGAGGTGACTTCACTGGGTCGCAGGCGATGGTTGGGACTGCCATGGCTGTAGCCTTTGTGCTCCTGGCTGCGATCTGGGTTGGCAGAGGCGGATGGGGGAAGAACAGTTGATGACAGCTTCTCCAGCAGTAGCGGTGCATCAGTCCCCGGTAGACTGATTCTTGGGTAGCATTGCAAGACACATCCTTGAGGGTTGGACCAGTACACGGGCCACGGTCGCCATCACCGAAGCACATAGTGTGGCCTAGAACTTGAGTAATCACAGGGAGGCGGTGATCCGACGCTATTTCTTGGCCGAGTTGCCTGGATGCCTGCGACGGACTCGCAGAAGGCTTCCACGATTCACGTCCTGAAGCGGTCTCGAACAGGATCAAAGTAACGAGTGGACGCGCTGGTGGCCAGAGTGGGAGTGGCAGTTGCAATCGCAATCGCATTGTTACATGAGACCTGGGGCTGCTGTTGCGGAGATACTAGTTGCTGCGAAGGAGCGCTTCGATAACGTCGCGTGCTGGCAGAGACATGCGAGATGGCTGCTTCAGCCGTTTCGGTCGGCGATCTGGTATCGGAAGCGGCATTGGAGACAGTGTCAGCTTCTTCACTGTTCCTAGCAGTCCGTTTACGACTGGCTCCGACGTTGCGGTCGTCACGGTAGCGGAACACGTGCCATACTGAAAGCACCATCAGCCTATGTCACAAGATGTGGTAGAGATCATGGGAGACTATAGCAGCATACAGAGCCAGCGGATGATCCAATTTTGCTCCATGTCGCCATCGTAGTCGCGGCCCAGCTGATACATGATCTTGGTATCTTTCCGTGCGTTCTTGAAGATATGCAACACTTCTGCATGGACAGCTTCCTCGTCAATCTGACCAAAGGTAAAAGGGGGCTCGACCGGTTCATTTCGAAGCGCTGGGATCAGAGCATCTCGATTTGCAGAGATGCGACTCCAGCCTTCCACGGCTTCCTTCTAGTGCTGGAGCATCAGTACTTACTTTCCCATTGCCTCCGGATTGATATAGAACTTGCCTTCATACTGGAGTACAACTGCCGGTGAAGCTTATTCCTCTCGTCCAGGCCGAGTCGCTCGAAGAAGCGCTTCTTGGACTCGGACTTGGCCAGAAAGCCGGCTGTAGGGGCCATAGTGAGCTCGCTCGCTTTCGTCGCAGAGGCAGCAGAGGGTGGGTGTGGTGGATGCCAAGTGCAAAGGGTGGGACGGGATGATGTGTACTGGGTAGTTAGTGGGAGGAGGAGGTGGCAGTGGTGTTCTGTTCCCCTACCTTTCAATGCACCCTCTCCTTCACTTTCTCTTACGCCAAAAGCACCCGTGTTGCACAAAACAAGCTCGCTATCGAGCATGAGTCCGGGGGAGCCAACTCGGGTGACTTGGCGCCACGACGACTTGACTGGCCTAAAGGCTGGTAGCTCCTAAGCTTTGTAAGTCACTGAGTACTACAGTAGTTCTCGCAGCGACAACAGCTTGGGCTGCTTGGCCCAACATGCCTGCGAGCCACCCCTGTCGTTACGGTATATCGGGGATATCCTACACGACGACGCACCCACAGGCCTGTTGCCGCGTCGTCGTGCACTAGACAGATCTGTATATTGCATTTCTTGTTATTTCTTGTTATTATCGTACGCACCGACGGCATCGCACTGGTGTTGGACTTGCTGTTCCAGCCTTTATACGTGCCGGTCGCCACGGGACAGGACAGGACAGGACAGGACAGCACAAGACATGACAGGACAACGGAAATCAGAATAAGGCAACACAAGCGCTTTCTCCTGGCGGAATGACCCACGGCCCGGTGGCCTGGCCGTCATTCGCGATCCCGAAGGTTTGTGGTTAGCTCTAGCCTCTATAGAGTCTATACCACGGGGGACCAAGGTAGAAGTCATTGCCAGTTTTGGTGGACTGATGATACATGTATCCATCAAATTCCACCCACTCACCCACAGCCACCGAGGCCCTCCGCCAGCATGACCAGTCGCATGCCGTCTTGCCTCTTGCATCGTGCACCTTCGCGCCAGATGCGCCAGTCGCGGAGGCGATGCCCAGAAGGCCCCCCACGGCTTGCCGGCCTCGTGCTTGTGCTCATCCTGAAGTGTCGCAGGGCAGGGAGGGCTGTTCCAGGCAAGGGGTGGGAGGTCTGACCAGGCAATGCACCAAGGCCCCGTTTGGCTTCTTGACCTGCTGCTGCTGCTCAGAAGTCTGCCCCCAACACACCGAAAAGCAAGTCAGAGCGATTCAGAACACGCTGCAACGTCAGAAATGCTGCTGCTCGGGGGCAGAAAGTCACTTGATGCAAAATACCAGCAAAAGGTCAGCAGAAGTACCTACCGATTCACCACCACCGGGAGTCACTCGCACATGGAATTGGACGCTACCTCCTAGACGCAGCGGCCTAGTCCAACTATCTTATCTCATCCGATCCCTGTCTGGATTCCTGCCTTAGGTATGCAGCATGCTGTCCGAGAATGTCCAGAAATCCGAAGAAATCCTGACAGGAAATGTTGCAGCACCAGCTTTTCCCAATGCAAGGTGCTGAGCTCTCACTTCTTGGCATCAACCAACAGGCCTTCGGGTTACCTTACGCTACCTGCTACCTATGTACCACACTACCTTACCTCCTCGTTGCTGCTGTACTGGTACAATAATAATAATAATGATAACACCACGACCTCCCCCCAGCATTCGGCCCAAGCGGATTGCCGAGACCAGGGTTGTTACCAAGCCCAGGGTTGTTACCAAGAACCAATCCAACTTGAGCGGACGTGCGGAGGTACCTCCATCAGTCAGTACAGTGTTCTAGCCTCTGTCCATTATCGAATAAGCTACGAGCGCGCAGGGGATCATGGACGATGTTGCGATGGCATGCTCGACGGGTCGTCGCCATTCGCTCCGAAAACTGAAGCGCGCTGCCCATCGCGACCGGGCTCATGGACTGTAGGACGAAAGAAGATTTGCCATGGGAATCGAGGTGTACTGTAGCATCGGCGAGCGCTCGCTACATCGTGACGGTGGAAGCTATGGCTGCGGGAACGCTGATGGCTGTTGCCACACTTCACATCCACTGGGTTGGGAGGCCTCTACAAGGGAGGGAGCACTTGCAGTGCAATACAGAGCTTTGCAAGAAGAAGACGCAGCGCAACGTAGCGCAGCGTAGCGCGGCAGGCAGCAGGTCCTGGACTCAGCTCCGCCGGTGACGTGCTTTGGCTGGGAATCGGACAGTGAGGGTGAGGCTGCATGCGTGCTGCTGACGGCTTTGGCGCCGCCATGCTTGCAGACCCCAAAATTGTCCAACCGACCACATTGCTCTCTCATTTCTTGCGCGTTCACTGGTGATGTGTCTCCGATGGCGGAAATTCCATGTCGAACCATGTGGCGCACCAGCGGCAGTGTGCTAGGCTCTGTCGGTGGATTTGCAAGTATCTCGAAGGCGGGCGGATAAAGCATGTCGGACAAAGGACACACATCCGCATCTCGATCATCTCTGCGAATCAGTGGCCCGTCGTTGCTGATGACAGTGGAGCAACCCCGACGGCAGAGGAACGCTGACAGCGAGGCCTTCACTTGCGGCTAGGTGGTGTGCTATATGTGGATACAAGCCCCAATTCCGCAGATACCTTCGTCGCCCACACGGCACTGCACCGCACTTGCACTGCACCTACTACCTTGCACCTACTACCTCACACCCACTGCGCTCTATCTACGTGGAAACCTTCATCCCACTCGCATGCCGTTTGCGCTCTTTGTTGATGGACTCGTTGTTCCTATTGTAACGGCCGCATGAGTCTCCCGCCTGGACATGCGAGGCGCGCGCTGCCTTCCTCGCCTCCCTCCCTCTCCACGCGCCTGTGACCGATCGAGCGGCCGGCATGCATGATGCGTTGTTCTCGGAGACGAGGCTCGACAGGCGGAAGGTGGGCGGGCGGGCGGGCGGGCCTGTGCTCGCAGAGTGCACAGCGAAAGTGAATCTTGGTGGCGTACTTGCATCTCGGAAGTGCTGCTGCGATAGAACATACACACCCACCAGGAACACCTATTGGAGGTGTGGTCCATGGGCGGATCAGAGAAGCCGGACGCGCATACTTGCTTACTTGCTTACCTCTACTCCGCGCACGGCGGATATTCTCCCGACCTATGTTCTCTTGTCTCTGGGCCTGGCACGCAAAAGAAGAAGCAAAAAGAGGTATCGAAGCACAGGGGCGCCTCTCATTCCGTCCCTCTGTCACTACCTACTACCTCCTATTGCATACCGTGCGATCGATGTGCATGTGACAAGGCGCTTGCCGGTGTCCTCGGCTGGCTGCATACGCTGTACTTCGTTCTCGGCACTAGCAGGCACGACATCGCTAGAGCCGAGCCGTGTAGTACCTTAGTGTACTTGTCAGATGTGCACGCTCCCCGTAAACCGATGTCCTTAGTCCACCCCTCGAACATCATCAGATGCCAGCAAGGCTCATCCATCATCAGCACCATGTGCTTCAGCAACACCATTACCTGGAAAAAGTGCGGGCATTATGCCATTCGCCGCGTGTTTTGCGAGGACGCAGTGGCACGGACGCCGCAGGAGTACTGCCGCAACGCCTTTGCTCCCACCTTCACCGATGTCGATGCCAGCAATGGGGTAGGTGCACCTCTCGCTCTCCTCCTGGCGGTCTTTTTTCTCTACTCTGTTGACATGCCTAGGTCTGCCCCGATCGCAACAAGGTAACACGGCGGCACCGTGCCGAGCATGCATGATCATAGCAAGACCACTGACCGTATACAAAGCACCCACCTGCTCCTGGACAGCCCTTTACATCCGCCTGGAGCCTGCAGTTGGGAATCACGACCACCAGCGGAGAGGGAAATCTGTGGTATCGACAGAACCAGGGCCAGACTTAGGCACCACTACTACGTGGACACGCAGCTACAGCAGCAGCGGCGGCGGCAGCAGCAGGAGGAAGCGGAGGGGCGGGGACGGGGAAAGCAAGCATCGTCGTCATCAGGGGCGGTAGCATGAGCTCACGTTGCCAGTTCGTCAAGCATCCATCCCTATACCACACCATCTCGAGCGTGCGAATACCAGACTGACACGTATCAGGAGCTTTCGAGCTTAAGGGGGGTGGGGGATGGTGGTGGTGGCGGCGACGCAGGCAGTACGGGAAATTCTGGGTTTATTGAAGGCGCGCGCTGCAGCTGAGGCGGAAAGTAATATGAGGACACCTATATGAGCAGACGATGGATGATAGACCGACCGAGGCGCAGTATTGAATCAATAATAGGTAGCATCAATAATCCAACACGTTGCATACCAGACTGGTCTCATCAGCGAGCTTCGTAGCAACGGTGGTAGAGGGAGACTTCCTGGTGGTTGGAAGCATTGCAAGGTATGTTGATGCATCAGGTACATGTCAATACATTATCAACACGTGCATGAGGTGTGTCTATTCGAGACGATGATGTGCGTGGCTTGCCAATAGTCTGGTTCGGAGCGGGCCTCGGTAGGCGCCTGATCGCGCCTGCCCCTTTGCAGTCACTGCTCTCTCATTTCCCAGACTGAATTCTCCGAAGTCCTCCTCACCACCTCTTCGTCGCCATCGAGTTGCCTTCAAATCCCTTACAGCAAGGTACGTGTACCTGGTATTCACGTTGTCGTCGACGCCCACTCCGCCGCCCAGATCGCGCTCCCATGCCACAGGGGACTGCCACCTCCACGCATGCCCCTCAGCGACCCCAACGAGGGAGGGATATGGATCATGTGCCTCCTGGCCAAGACGCCGGAGTCGTACCAACCAGGCCACCGGCACGAGCAATTGCTGTTTCGATACGATCGAGGCCGCGCTCCATCCCACACAACAGTGCCGGCAGCTGCATCCATCTACTGCACTGCTAGCCGCGTCAAGAAACTTGTCGAACTGCCACGACACGCCCAGTGGGCTACAAATGTCCCGGTAGCGCCGGCATGCATTTATGCTGCCGCCACGGCCAGCTCCGAGACGTGGCAATGAAGGCATAGAGCTTTCAAACACAAGAAGTGTTCTGCATTATCGAAGCGCTGTGTACGGACATATCCCGCGGGATGAAGAGCCCCCGGAGTCCAGCGGAGTCCGGCGAGGGGATTGACGCCATCGTCCTGGCAAAGGTGTCGGCGCACGAAAGTGCTTAGCTGGCTGGCCAGTGAGGCAATTTCGTCACAATAGAAGCCTACGTAAAAGACGGTGGGACCTATGCCGGGCTACTTTTCTCTGCTTGGAAACCTGCACTTGCAGCTGATTTTTGTCGTCGCTTGGCTGGCTCGCTGTTGGACACTGTCAGTTCGTGGACGTTGGAAGCCAATGGCGAGATGAACTCACATTCTGCAAGGCTTCTGTGCTTTCTTGCATTGTAGGCAGCCTTCTGGACCAGGCTCACACTTGATCTTCTTCTTCCTGCACGTTGAACATGCCACCGAGAGGCGCTTGCGAAGAATCTTGCTGGACGTCAAATTGACAGGATCTTGGAAGATATGCGTCGGGACTATATATCAGTCAGCATAGTCACCAAAAGACGGCGTCGTAGGTCGACTTACTCGAATAGCCACCTTTGTACATGTGGCATGGGCCTCGACCGTGAATGTACGACACGCCTTCATATGCGGAAGCGGCTTGATACACATAAGTAGCTGGAGCCAGGTCCGACGTGCCGAAGAATGCTGGAGGCAATTCATGGGGCGAGGTCGGCTGAGAGTGGGATGCTGGCTGCATCAAGGATGAGTTCGATGATTGCGAAGTCGCAGGGCTTGTGGGGAGAGAAGACGTGGGGGAGATGAAGTTGTGCTCTGGTGCTGAGCACAAGCTCTGTATCGTGAGTGGACTCGTCTTGGGTTGTGAGCCGTATGGGGATGAAGCATGCACAAGCGGAGGAGTGATGACGGTCCTAGGCCTGGCGGAGAGATCACTCGGTCGCAACGTATCGAAGTAGCTGCCTCGAGCGACAGAGTCGCGACGATGGTCGTCATAGTCGGGACTCCTCCGGCTTTCTCTACTACCAGAGTCGGGGTTGATCAAGAGCTTGGAGGCGAACAGATCATTCAAGCCAGGAAGTCGCGGTAGTTGAGTCGAGGACTTTGCCGGGATCGGGATGTGAGAGGTGGTGGTGGTGGTTGTTGTTGTGCTGCTCGATCGCGAACGAGCCGCCTCGGCCGCTCGTTCTCTTTCAGCAGCCTGCTGTATGGCTCGATCATATTCCGAAGTCTGATATGGCTCATAGCCCATCGACGAGTGTGCGTGGGTGGTTGTGTATGGTCGCGACATGGCTGAGTACATCTTGTCCAGAGTGAATAATGGAGCACCTGAAGCCAGAGGTGACGGGTGGTACAGCGCGTTCATGTACTCTGCTCGTGGAGCAGAGTACAATGTGGGTCTAAACTGGCTCGGAGGCTCAAGGTAGCCTACCAAGATCTCAGACGAGCCAGCACCCATGTCCTGAACCATATCGGCGCTGTGGTGCTCGCTCGTACAAAACTGGAGGATCACCACATGGTCCGGATCAAGAAGCGTTGCCTGACAGCCCGTGCGAATTGTTTGGTAGCTTCGAAGCGCTCCCGTCCATCAAGGGATCGGCCGTGCGTAAAAGACCCACGCCACTCTGGCATTCGGTAAGTATCACATGTTCAAGACCACTAACAAGCGAGCATCACAGTTTGAGGGACCTCGTCGCTGTCCTGTCCCTGTGCCTGTGCACGGAGGGAGCAGTACTAGACACATGTGCCCACGCTGCAGAGCAACGTAACTTTCTTTGTTGAAGTGCCCAAACACGGGCTACTTCTACTCAGGCTGTATCGACTCCTCTGGGCCCTGGCACCAAGCCATCCGGAGGGCCATCCTGCAGGAGCTGACTGACGCCTGTGAACCAGCCTGCTGTCACAGTCGTACATCCACATCATACAAGCGACAGCGGGGGATCGTTCTGAGGCTTGCGGGAGTGGATAAGCGAGAGAACAAGACCAGGGCGGTCCCGAAGTTCAGTAGTGGAAGCTGTACAACCTGGGAGTGCCCTTGGCACCAACAACCAGCACAGTCCAGCAGAACGCCACCATCTTTCGTGCCAGTTGGTGGCAAGCTGCCAATCGGCACGGGAGGATCACGGCACGGATCCTGTCTCCCAGCTCCCCGCCTACACTTGGCGACAGCTCTATGGCTACCACAACGCGCAACTTGCTGTCACCACCAGGAGACACTTCCTGGATCCAACAGTCGACGAGGCACAAACTGCTGCTCTGTACCTTGCCGTTACCTTCGGCACTCAAATATCGGAGGTCTCGTACGATATCCCGGCCGTGATTAGGAGGTATTGCAGCGTGCTTCGCCAACGCTTCCCAGCTGGGATGAATCTGTGTCTCGGACTTCCCGCCGGGTCGCCCTGCTCCAAGAACGGTGGCTGCAATACAACCATCGAGAGGCTTATGTTATCTCTGAAACCAGCTTCGGGCGGCGGCCACGATGAGCTTAGCCTGCCTCTTGTTTCTTTGATGATGGTGAGACAACCGGACTGCACTTGTGTCTGCCCGTACTTGCCACAACGCCAACCATCCCATTCTCGCAACGGCATGTTATCTCTCCATCCTCTATCTTTCTTTGACACGCCCCGCTTTCCTTCCCGTCGTTCGCGTATTCCTGTCAATCCTATCCATCATGATCTTCCCTTGTGACGTGACTTGACTCGAGCGGCGTGGAAGCCTTGGGGCTGCACTGCTGCTGATCAATTCTATTAACATAGCTCAGTGAGAGGAGGAAGTTAACAATCACCCGTCATCGTGTTCTCATCAGAACTACCCTGCAAGTTAGGTGGTCGATCAATCCTTCAGTCGGGCGATTCGTCGATTCGATCGTCAGGCAGCAGGCAGTCAACTACCTCTGCCATCTTACGCCAGTCGAGTTACAAGTCAAGTCAGTCATTCCACAATGTCTACTAATCAATCGATGAATCAATTGATTAACCAAATATTTCTCAAGTTCAGTCAATTTCATCACAACATTTACCACAGGACATGTATAGCTCCTTCTTCTTCGAGACTATCTGGCTGTCTATCTATCTATCTGCCTATCTGTCTGTAGGCGGCGCATATCGCTGATCGTGTCCCAACGGAGCGAATACCGGTGGCAAACGAGTGGTTTGTTTCTGTTTGTTTGTTTGTCTGTTTGTCCGTTTCATCATATCCCACGTACCTGGATCGATCATCGGACCGGAGATGGGATGAATATCATCGGGGATGGGGAGTGAGAGTGGAGATGGAGTGGAGTGTGAAGTGGAGTGAGATTTTCGTTTCGTTTTTGTTTGTGTGGTGAAATGGGAGAATTGGCGCGGGTATGCAAGCGAGTACCCATCCGGAATTGGGGGGGAGATAGATTGTTGTAACACTAAAAACAGGTTGTTGTGGATCCTTTCAGCGGGGGCAGGATTGTTTTCTGGTTCGGGTTCATAAGGGTACCTACCTCCTAGCCCCCTAGGGGAAAGGGTTGTTTTGTTTAGGGAAAGGGGGAAGGGGTACAAACCGGGAGTCGTCATAGGAGAGGGTTATCCCCCCACATGTGACATCTGTGTATGTACTGTATGTAGACTGACTGTTGATATGACCAACAACAACACCGACGAAAAGGAAAGTTCAAGATACAATCAGCACGATGATGAATGAATCGAACAAATTGTCGTTTTCTTCTACAAATGTCTCACATGCCCGATTTTTCTTCCCTCTCTCCTCCATCGTCGTCGTATTCATTCCCCATCTATAACCCATAAACCCCAACCGTCGACCGTATTGCTGCGTTTACCCTACCCATTCAGTACTATATCATCACAAATCAATCATCCATCCATCCCATCTTCTCCCTACAAAGAAAAACAAAATGCGTAAGAGCCCTCTTCCAACCCAGCCTCCAGCCCAGCCTCTCAGATCTCATTCAATCCCAGAGCCTTGGATCAACTACCTATACCTATCTGTAAGGTAATTAAGCTCTTCAATAGTAACAATCTTATCCAAACATTTCCTTTTCCTTTTCTTTCCTATCCTATCACTATCTATCGACTTCTATTCCATTTTTTCTTTCCATTCACGCTATGGAGGTATATACCTAAAGAGGTAATCACAAAACAATTCAGGTAGTCAGGCTATCAGCCGCAAACCGCAGCTTTCTCTTCGGGGTCTCCGAACGAATTGTAGTGTATAAGTGTAAATGTGTCAATGTGTAAAGTATGAAAGTTTAAATCCCGATTTGTCGACGAGTCCGAAGGAGAAGATCCCCAGGATTCGGGTCATCCAGAGATTTTCTTTTTTTGATTTTTTTTGGACGCTAGCTACTGGACCTGACTGGTGAGGAGGAGGATGGGAGGATGGGAGGAAGGAGGGAGGGAGGAGGGAGGGTGACGCTTAATTCACTCGGTTCCGGTTGGTTTCGGTTCCGGGGTTGGTTTGCTTTTGCTTTGGGTTGGATGGATGGTCTGTTGGAGGCTCTCGTTTGGTTTGTCTGGTCTGGTCTGGTCTAGTCTGGTCTAGCTGGCTGTACTCTCGTCTGGGGGAGGAGTTACTACTCGTTTCTGTCTTGTCTTTGCGCGCTTTTTGGTATTAACTTGAGATTGGAGACATTTAACTACCTACTATCCGGACAGGGCAACAAAATTGAGTACTTTTGCTTGCTTGGTTAAGGTAAGTTGGGGGGACTTGACCCCTTTTTGTTCTTCTTTTTGAGCTTCTATTGTTCCTGGCTTACCTTGCCCTTCTCTCCTGCCGTAGGATCGATTATACCGTAGTTAGTCACACGAGATTTCTTTCCCTTTTCTTTTCTTTTCTTTTCTTTTCTTCCCTTTTGGGGGGAAGGGGGTTTTCCTACGAAGATGCAAGCGATACAAATGCAGGCAGGGGAGGCAACCCCATGAGACATATCAATTACTTATACTGACATACTTGGGTAAATTTTTGTTCACTACGCTCTTTGGTTTCCCTGTACTCCCTCCCGATCGATCGACGGCGACGGGCGAAAAATCAATAGATATATACGGTATGTTTTATTTCTTTCCAGCTGGATACCGTCTCGGCAGTCTCATCATCGCCCGATTCTTACCTCCCTCCCAGTGACTCTACTCTCCGTTTCCATCTCCGTCTCCATCTCCGTTTCCGTCTCGGGGTCTCTCTTCTCCGCGCCGGTTCCCTTCTTCTTCTTCTTCTTCTTCTTCTTCTTGTTCTTCTTTTTTCTTCTCCTTTTCCTCTTCTTGACCAATCGCTGCTGCTGCTGCTGCCGCCTTTCTTTCTTCCTTCTGCCGACGCTTCACTTTCCCCGGTTTCTTCGCACTGATTGGGCCATCAGCGTGTTTATTCTAGAGGGAGAAGAAAGAGGTAAGAAAGAAGCAGTCTCGAACATCCATTTATCATTCTTATTGTCATTATCATCACCATCATCATCAACATTCATCATTCATCATCATCAAACATCAAACATCAAACATCAAAAATCATACATTCCATTCCATCCCTGAACCAAACCATCCTTCCCATCCCCATCCCCATATCCATCCCCATCCCCCCTTCCCTTCCCCAAAAAAAGTAAGAGAAAAAACACATACCTTCCACATCCCCCCATAACGATACCAAGGAAATTCCTCTTCCCGTCCTCTCGCATCCTCCATTCCGCCCGAGACGCTCTTCCAGCAATTTCCCGGACACACCATGTGCCATGTTCGCGCGTCGTCGATTTGGCAGCGCACGAGAACGGGACGGGGAGTGTGGCAGAGGGTGCAAGGTTTGTTATGAGGGTGAGGGTGATTTTCGTTGTTAGTGGAAGAAGACATTTTTGTTTTTACTTTTGTTTTTATTTTTTTTTTGCTGTTTTATTTTTTTTCTGGTGTTTGTGATGAGATGTTGGTTGGTTGGTTGGTTGGTTGGTTGGTTGGTATATTGATGATGACGATGATGATGATGTTTCTAGTTTGACGGGGCTTGGTTGGTTGCCCGTAGGATGACATGTGCCTTAGGTTACCTTAGCCTCTTGCTAAGTTCAGAGCTCTGTCATTATGAGGACACCTCACTCTCCGTTTTGGTGGCGCGCGGAGGTGGGGAAATCTCTACTACTACATTGCTACCTCCTACATGTACCTCCTACCTCCTACCTCCGCCTCCGCCTCCTTACCTCCGGAGCGCCATGTTTTGTATTCGAACGGAAGATGTTCTGATGAAATGGGATCATTCCACTTCAGGTCATCAAAAAAGTCCCAGCTCACTTGTCTCTCAAGACGAGCTGGGCCCAAAATTCATCAAGAGCCTTTTCGCATTCTCAAGTCGTGTCCATGAACTTTTCATCTATGACAGCCCCAGTTCCTTGTAAAAGGCCTCCGTGTTGGGTCGCCTTCCCAAAAATTGCTCCAACGTGAGCATCTCGTCTTGGCTGCCACCCTTCTCCAGAACCATATGTCTATAACGTCTGCCCTCCTTGCCATTCATAGGATCTTCCTTGAAGACGGTGTAAAACATGTCTGCAGAGTAGACTTGACTGGAGAGGTAGCCATAGTATCCGGCATCATAGCCGCCGATCAAGTGACCGAATGTAGCCTGCCCATGGCCCCAGCCCCATCCTTGATCAAGAGTCTCGGGTCCATCAAGCTTGCTGATCTCGTTGCGAAGCTTATTGTAAATTTCAGAAGCGTCAACATTCTTGATCCATTCTTGCGAGGCAGCTTCGTGGACGGTCATGTCGAAGATGCCAAAGTGCAATTGCCGAAGGTTGAATAGTGCATCGTTGACGTGCCGAGTGCTGACGATCGACTTGATGAGATCATCTGGCATATCTGCTTGTGCAGGCTTCGCCTTTCCCGTCTCCTTCCACGCTGCCTCATATTCCGGTGACAGATACGACCAATGCTTGCTCAAGCTTTTGATCTGGGATGGAGTCCAGCACCAATTCTCCAGCATCTGTGACGGCGCTTCGACAAAGTCTCTCACAGTAGAGGTGCCGTGGAAACGGCTGTAGATTGTCTTCGATACCAAATCGTGAATACCGTGTCCAAGCTCGTGGAAGAGCGTGACGACTTCATCGTGCTTCAAGAGCGAAGGCTTCTTTGGTGTGGGTTTGCTGAAGTTGCAGACGAGTGCTGTTGCAGGGTATCGACGCGTGCCATTCTCCTGTATAAAGCCAGGTTGGAGGTTGAAGTTTGCAGCATGTCCGTATTTCCCGTCACGAGGGAACAGATCCAGGTAGAGATAGCCCACAAATTCACCACCTTCCTCCTCCTTGTCCCAGACCGAAAACACTTGGACGTCTGGATGCCAGACAATGTCATCACCTTTGCCAGTTACTGAGATCTGATTGCGATGTTTGCCTTGAACTTCGACAAACGAAAGACCGAATATCTCCTCGAAAATGTTCAGCATGCCGCTGATGGACGTCTGAATGGGGAAGTACTCAGAGATGCGATTCTGATCGAGTTGATAGTCACGCTCAAGCATGAGCGTATCGTAGAAGCGATGGTCCCAAAGGTAGTAGTGCTCGGCATCTCCGCCCTCTTGTTTTTTGAGCTCCTTCAATTTTTCAATCTCTTTGCGGCCACCAGCTGCGAGGCGCTCACGTAGATCGCCGAGAAAGTCATCCACCGTCTTCGGCGTCTTCGCCATCTTATCTTCAATGCGGAAAGTGGCGTGATCTGGGTAGCCGAGCAGACGAGCAGCCTCATCTCTCAGCACGATTGCTTCCTTGAACAGCTTCACGTTATCAGGACATTTGTTCTCGTTGGCTACAAACAACTTGTGTCGCATAGCCTCGTTCTTTCCATACTTGAGTGCCGGGTGGAGATCGGGGTATTTGAATGTGAGCCACAATTTGCCTTCACTTGGGGTCCCTTCTTTGCCCTTTTGCAGTCCACTCGTGACATCTTCCGGAACGCCTTCGAGCTCTTCTGGAGTCAACCAAAGCCCTCCCTTCTCCTCATTGAGGTTCTTCTGAAACGTGATGGACAGCTCTGACAACCTCTTCTTGATTTCCTTGAAGCGATCTCGATCAGGCCCCGCAGGGATTCCGAGACCCATCCGAATGTAGCTTTTGTGGTCCTTCTCCAGCAGTCGCTTGCTCTCAGCGTCCAAGCTCTGATCGTCTTTGTGCTTCTTGAACGCAGCATCCACCAGCTGGAAGAGGTCTTCGCGCATCGCCGACTCGATGCCAAAGTCTTCCATTAGCTTCTCCGCCTCGCTTGACGCGTCTCGGAGCTTAGCGTCTGTGGAAACTGCCTGATAGAAGCCAATGATGTGAGCCTCCAATGCCATCTTGTTGTCGTCCTGAGCCAGCGGTAGCTCGACATTTTTGAAAGAGGCCGTTTCAGTCGTGACCTCCTTGACCAGCCTGTCCTGCAACGCCTTGTTGGCAGCCAGCAGTCGCTTCGTCTCTTGGATCACCGTATCTGGGTTGTGCGTGAAGGTTGGCGGTGCCTGCGGAGGCGCCTTGAAATGCTTGCCCATGGTGGTCGACGTGGTAATGGGTCGGGTGAAGTGGAAGGAAGGCGCCTTGGGATAGGTGAGCTGTTCGACAAACAGTCGGAGGCGCGGGACGAGGTTGTAGACTGCCACAATGACTACGAAGCCGAGGAAACAGAGGAGGAGGGGTCTTCGGGACGGTGAACGAGTGGAGTGGTAGAGGGAAGAGCGTTTGGAAGCCAGCTTGCCGGAGGGACGGTCAACGACCGCTGTTCCACACCACGTTAGGTTTCTCGCTCTTCGGCGGTGCGCTATTGATGCGCTTCCGATGACAATATATATATATCAGGTATACAACAGCAGACAGCAATTCACTTCGACACAGTATGCCAAAGAACACACAGTATCAATGTGATGATAGCAAAGAGGTGCGAAACGCAGATCAGCCTCAGCTCTCGAAGGAGGACTCGAGTCAGTCAGACGGCAGAGTCTGGGAAGTTCGCGGAAGCTCCTCACAATAACCAGGTAGCTACAGACCGTACGGTACAGTTATTACTACAGTACATGTACAGGTAAGGTAAGTAAGGTTAGCAGGTGAGGTAGCATGCAGCAAAACTCTGAGGTTGTTGGAGGTACCTCTTCACCTCCAACACAATCACGCAACCCGTGTTATCAGGCAAAACCATACTAGGAGGTTGCAAAGCTACCTCCTAGGAAATTAGCCTGATCTGGCAAAACAAAACATTTATTCCCCCGGACAGGCTTGAACTGTCAACCTCTCGATTGCCTCAATTCTACGTAGAGATGATAACAGTCGAACGCGCTAGCCAATTGCGCCACGGAGGATGAACGTCTGCGACGTCTGTGGTAAGCGACAGCCATGGTCTCTCGGGTCTGACAATCGTATATCATCCTCCATTTGCTCAGACTCCTCGCACCGCAGAATCCTATGCATGAATTTACTCTGCATACCATACATAATTGTGGAGACTTCCGTTATGGCATAGAGGCAGAGAACCTCAGCGTGATGGGATTTGATGCGCACTCAGCACATGCATTGCATAGAGAGCAGCTATCGAACAGCTACTGACACTTGTTCTTCTTCTCAGCTATCACGTAATCATCGACTTGCTATGCAGCAACCTGCTACAACAAACCCTACCTGGTAGGTAAGGTAAGGTCAGATAAGCATGCAGTCTGTCCACAGCATCAAAGGCAAAAAACACAACCTAGTAATCGAGCATCTCTTCCACTTCCTCATCCACGACCGTCGTCATCCTATCGGCCACCGGCTCCACAACAGCATAAACGCGTTCTTTGCCGTCCATTTCCATCTTAAATTCTGCCAAAATAGGCAATTTGGGCCGATACGTCTGCGAATCGAGGAGTTGGCCACCAATGACCCAGCGTACAGCCTTGGCACGCGTGAGAGCCACGTTGACACGGCCCGGATCTTCCATGAAGCCCAGAGATTTGAAGGCCTGCATGCTGCCGTCAAATACCACCATGAGTGATTCCATGCCTTGGGAGGAATCCAACATTATGATCTTGGGGAGACTGCCTGCTGGGAGGCTGTATTGACGTGCAATGTCGTTGGCCTTGGCTTGCCAGTAGAATAGCTGAAATTGTTGATATCAGTAACGTACGTAGACTGTTTTTGGGACGAAGTGTGTGACATGTTGTAAAACTTACCGAGTAGCTGTACGCGCAGATGACCATCACGTTATCCTCCATCTCGTCCAGGAAGTAGTCGTATAGCTTGGGAAAGATCTTGTCGAAGAACACATCCGCATGCTTTGGCACTCGCTTCGATCGACTGTCGTTGTACTCGACCTGACCGTTGACTTCGATGTAATGGTCGCGGGCGCGGACTTCCCGTTCCTGCATCGTCAAATGGTCGAACGCAGTCCGTCCGCCAATGATGTCCAGAAGGACATCCTGTAGACCGAACTTCACCTCTTCCAAAGTTGTGCTGGTTCCAGGGCCGTTGATGAGTCGGCCGTCATAGATATACCTCGATGGGAAGTCTGCGATACATTCGTGCTGTGACGATGTCAGCGTTACCGTGACTGACTCCTTTCTCTCTTCCGAACTCACCATGCGCATCTGCTCACGCAGCTTGATGCACGGCTTGCCTTCGCGCACAAGCCGCATTGGCAAAGAGATCTCCAGCCGACTGTTGTAGGGATTGAACTCGATGACCCCTCGAGCACTCTTGTTGATGGGTTTGAGCTGTCTGTCAGAAGTTAGCGGCAGTGTCCAAAATGAGGTCAAGACGAAAGTTTCACTCGGCGGCGTTGTCCGATCGTATGGTAGCGACAGTTTTGCCTCGCTGGCAAGGCCAGACAAGACTGCCACTACCCGGACTAGGTGTGTCGAGACACACAACCTATTCACAGGTAAGCAATCTGATCAGGGGGGAAATACTACTTACTTATCGTCGCCCAGCATGATGGCGCCCTGGACCTTTGTTGACCAGGCTTCACACACAATACCTGCCCAGACGTTCGGCTCCACATCCTTGCACGCCTCATCGACGAAGACAACAATTCCCCGACAATCGTCCAGCGTTCCGTCTTCATCACGACCAAAATTCTCCATCAGCTCGGTGCACCGAACGTTGCCGGTGGTCGTGATGATGTATCGGGAAAGACGTATAATGTGAGCTTTGCAGTGCTCGTATGACCATTTGAACATCTGCCGCTGACGTGGATCGCTGATGTTGAAGATTCGTTGTCGCATTTGGATGATGCATTGTCGGAACTCCTGCCAGACGTCGAATACTTGAGGCTCGGACATATCGCCGTCTTCTTGGGGAAACTCTTTGAACACGATCCAGTTGCTTGTCTCAGCCTCATTGATGACAGTCTGCTCGAGACCAAAGTCGCGGGCACTCACCGTGTGGTTTTCGTGATCGCGTATCTGACCAAGAATATATCGAACCTCATGAATCGTGTCATCTTCGCTCTCGTCCAGGAACATGTCTGCCCCCAGTCTGTCCAGACCACGATCCCGAGACGCTGGATACACGCGATTGAAACGTATTCGGGGCATGTTCGGATCCGCAATCTCTAGGTTAGCCATCGATCTAGTGAGCTGGTCCGCATTGCTGTTCGCGGGGGCAAGGGCCAGGATATGGAACCCAAGCTTCCAGAAGTAGATTGACAAAGCTTGCTGCAATAGAGTCTTGCCAGTTCCAGCAGGACCGTGCACGAGCATAATCCCACCTTTTGTCTTCGTGATTGTCTCAATGGCCATCTTCTGCTCGTCGTTCCATTTCTGCCAATTGTTGATCCAGATGTCCGCTTCATCTCTGAGAGAGGGATGGCCACCTGCAGTGAGATCTACGGGCGGAAGCGCGTCGTCTTGGTTCAGTAGAAGGCGATGCCATCTCTGGTTGTAGGGCTGGCTCAACTGATATATGGTCGCCATCTGCGAGTTCCTAGTGGTCTTCGGGCAGCGGGGAAAGAATCTGGCCGGAAAAGTCACTGGCGAGCTGGACGCCGGATCGTTGCACCAGGAGTTGAACCAAGATGCCGGATGCGTGGTAATGACGAAATACGCATCTGATGGCGGCAAACCAGGAGGATCTACGATCTGAAATGCAGAGAGCTTGCATTTCCCACTGCCAGGTATGTCGAATATAATCTTGGTGTGTAGGCCGTTTGGCAAACGATAAGTGCTGCGCTCTCGACGGCTGCTGAGGGTAGGGAAGTCCTCAAATGTCACACCCAATACAGGCTGATCGAGATTGCCAACCTGGTATACCGCGCATGTGTGCTCAACCGACGACCATAATTCGAGTGCGCGCTTCTCTTCCTCGTATTGGATTGATGTTGAGGTATAGGCCTGCACTTGGAATTCCTTCAGGGTCGTGAAGGTGTCGTGGCATGGCATAACTACCATTGGAAATGGTGGATTAGCCAGCATCAATTTTCCCACGCTTCGAATGCGCAAGTCCTCTATTGCCACCTCGCTCTGCGATGGCCCGAAACAAGCGTACTCTGATTGTCCAATCGAGGCGAGTAGTGTGCCATGCCCTCCAGGGAGACGGTCTCTGATCGGTTGGAGCTCTGCAAACCCGGCTGCACCACTAGGCGGGTGGACTTCAAACCAAATCTTCCTGCTCTGGGCTGTGTCTCGGAGGCTGTTAAGGATGCTGACCATCTGGTGCTGGTCTGGGTCAAACATATGTTGGTGCTTCTTCACCAGACCAAAACCTGAGCAGGTCACGTTGCGTGAAGTAAACTCGATATGGCCCGCAGTTCCATCTTCGAAATCTTCCCAGCTGAAGTCAGTGATTGGGAAGCTACCAGGGTGAATGGGATTGAAATGAAACTCAATAATGAGCTTCAAGTACTCCTTCTCCTGCGATTCCTCCTTGAAGAGGCACTCCACGCGAATGCACGGGGCCAGGTACTGGTGAAAGTTAGCATAGTCAAGCTGAAACTGCGAAAGAGTACTTACTAGGTTCGAGAATGTGATGAACAGCGAGTATCCATCGCTACTGTCGCGAGGATACAGCCCACCATCACCAACATCCAGGCGGCAGAGCATTGCCGGCTCGCACACGCCAGTCAAGTTGCGCAACAAGACTCTGTCCACGGCGGGGTCGTCGACCGGCGCACCGCGCGAGTCCTGCGGGAAGTTGTAGAGCGCGACGAGCGACGTGTTCCAGTGCACGGTGCTCCTCGTCTTCGCGTCCACGAGCTCCAGCAGATGCTGCGTCGTCTGAGCTTCGCCGTGAGGTACGTATGGCGGCGGAGGGAGTTGCTGTCTCAGAGCTGGCATGTCAGCGAAGTTCTGTCGTGATCGTGCTTCCTGCGCGTGACGCTCAGTGCCAGACGGCACTGAGCGTCTCGTGTTGCCGTAGTGCGGCGCCATTGTGGTGGGATGGCAGGTTGTGGTCTTGGTCAGGAATCGCCACAAATGCGAATTTGTTGTTGTGGCAGGCCGCAGCGATAGCGGACGCTAGCGCGTGTGAGTCTGCATCACCCCTGACAACTTCACTTCACCTCCTCATAGTCTATGTCTCCATGCAGCATCACACCTGCCGTCGCAAGGTCCCTTCGCCCTCAGATGCTCAGTCAGCGCTGTTAACAGGAAGGCATGGATTCATAGATGGTGTCAGCGCCAACCTTCCTCCCTGGCAACGCCGTTCGCCTTGCGTCTCTTCTGATATCCTTCACCTTTCAAGCGAGTGAGCTGGTAAGATTCTGTATCGAGCCGTTGGCCTGCTTCGTCTGCGTCCTGGTTAGCACTCTCCTGCACGCAAAGCACCAGCTCAGCTAGGACCTCACTCAGCGCTTGTCGCGTGCACATAGTTAGTGATGTGTATAATTTTGAGGTTTTACATAAATGCGTTTCGTTCACCCAACAATCTCGCTGCTGAGCGACCTATACCACGTGTGCTGTGTGACCTGTACGTGGCTACGTAGTTCGTCGACTCTCCTATGCCATGACAGACGATGATGTTCAACATGATTCCTCGCCAGCAGAATCTCCGCGACTAGACTATGTCTTGGCCGCATTGCTGATCCAACCCGACTCCACAAGAAACTCGAATATCCTACCGCCCTTAGTGGTATCAATCTTGGAAATTTCCCTAACATTTTTCTTCTTAAGCCTGCCATCACATTTCACGGCCTCCCTCATCACTGCATCTTTAATACAAATGTAGGCTTTGGGATGCAGACGAAGCTTGCTGCAGAGGTCCTGCTCCGAAGCCTGGAGGAGCTGCCAATCCGGCGATTGCTCTTCGTCCCAGTTTGCAGGAGCAAGCCCTGGTATTGGCTGAAGCGGGATACGTTTGGGTGTCTCGCCGCTCAGCACAACGTTTGCCGGATCCTTATCAGAATGGAGCCTGACTGGCAGGTCCGCTTTGGTGGTGTAGTCTATTACTGCTGGGGCCACTTCAGGTATGCCCTTGTCCTTGTCTGTAAGTTTCGGGCGTATTCCATTAGTCAGACGATCGAATTGCCCTTGTAGTGGGAACGTTCGCGCAGTTGATCGTTGGGCTTTCTCCTGTTCGTACTTTTCTCCGTGCTGCAGCGTCTCTATACGCATTCTGCGCCACTCTTGTAGCTGCGCAATGGCTTGCCTGAGGTTCTGCTCTTTCTCCAGATCCTGTGAGAATTCGACAAAGTCCGGATGCGACATGATTCGGGCGAAAGGCTTCAGCTTGTGATGCAGATCTCTTTGCTCCTTTGTCCGCTTCTTATCAATAGCCGTGTTCTTCCTATATTCGAGCAGCCGGTGATTGAAGATGACCTTTTTCCGATCTGTTCTCGCAGTCAAACGGTCGTTGTATATGGTCATGACCACCATTTTCAGTTCCGTCTCCGGGTCGAACTGCTTCGTGGCGGGATTGATGCCTTCTTCGGGCGAGAACTGCATATGCTGCACTGCTTCTTCGGCCTCGTTGAAGTACTCATTCTCAAACTCCAAACGCCCTGGCATGAAGCCCGCGACCTCATGACAGCTAGGCACAGAAGAAGTTGGTTTGGCAGGTATCGAAGCCGTCTCTTTCTGCTCATCCTTTGTCTTGTTGCGCTCGTCAATGCGCCTCTTTTTGCGCTTTTGAAATTCCTCCCGTGGTACTGCGTCACTGAGTGTCGTATCTTTGGGGTCTGCTCGCTCTGGCAAGGGGAACTTGGACGAGTTCACGTAGGTCTGGATGTAGTGGTCCCGAACCTCATCCTTCTCGCGATGACCACCAATATGCTCTGCAATATCGGCGAAGCTCCCCAGGCCATATTGTTCTGCCCCCTCTAGTAGTAGCAACTCCTCGTCGGCGCCCCAATCTTCATCGAATATCGGTATGCTATGCGGCTCGATTACTTGATAGGCATGGGTTCGCGGATCGTGATGCAGGTTGGCTTTGCCCTGGGAGAAGCACGGCACGCACAGGTCGTAGTCGTTGCAACTCTTGCTCGCACATCTAATGCGCACAGTAGCGGTGATATCATTGCTGCACACATTGCAAATGTACTTCACGCCCCCGCCGCCGGAGGAGCCACCGTCAGACTTTGGCGCACCTTTCGCCTTGGTGATGAGACCCATCGTCGCAGAGCTCGCGCCCGTAATCTATACGTGCATCGTAAAGGCTGCGGTACTAGTCGTGCTCAAGCATGGTCATGTGCGCGTAATGAGGTGAGGTGAGAGTGAGGTAGATGTCATGTCGCACGTGTCGCTGCCGTGTGGACTGAGGTTGGGCTGCATGTGAAGTTCGATGGGCGCACGGCCCGAGCGTCTCGGCGCTAAAATTAGTACAACATGCCTCCTGAGTCCTGAGGCTCCTGAGGCTCCTGTGTGAGAGCTGCTCGTTGCTTACCTTACACATGTACCGTGCGAGGAGAATCAGTACAGCTATCCCTTCAACCTTGTGAGGTCGAGTAATCAAGAGATCCCCTAGCGCCACTGGCGCACAAGGACCTGTAGCTAGGTAAATGTAATTTCGAAGATTGCAGTGACTTGCATGTTCATTTCAGGTTGCGATGGCAGAATAGTGCATCACACACTGATCACAGTTACAGTAGGAGGTAGGTGGGTAGCGATCGGAATCTCGGCTTCATGGACAGGCCGACATAGGAGCAGACATGCATACTGCCAACGGCCTACGTAGGTACTGACTCCCAATATCTCGGTGGGAGGTACCGGGACGCATGGCATACTGTATACATACAGGTAGGTACCGACATGTACCTGACATACATACGTCCCCGTGGCGAGGCGGTCGCGACTAATAGTGCAATTGCATCTCCCTCATGAACAGCATCTAGATTGCTTGCGTGTCTGCTCAGACTCTCGGCGGATAGGCGGAGAGGACGGGAGCGACGAGGAGCTGCGCAACAGGCACCCCTGGGCACCTCCGGGGAGGGAGATGTAGGAGGCACATACTACATGTACATGCAACTGGGGCTACACTGCAAATAGTCAAGCTTCACGTTTGCATTATTCGTATCATTTCCAATCAAATCGTGTGAAATCGTAGGTAGGTAGTTTCAGCCCTACGACCTGATTTGTGCACAGCCACCACTTAATCCCTAGGTAATACGGTACGGTACCCCTTCTCCCTCGATCTCGAACGTGCAGCACTGCTACCACTTCCCGACTCTGCGCCAGCGACCTCCAAGTTCTGCAGAGACCCGGCACCTACTTCCATCGCTGCCTACCTGACATCCACAGCGACAATACCATACACTGCTCTTCGTCGACGTGGAGGAGGCCCTACCTATAGTGCGAGCATCAGCAATTCCATCGTTTCACAGAAGAGCGGGACGACGCCGCCGCCGCCGCCGCTGCTGCCCCTCGCAGAACACGAGCACTGGACTATCACCTCCAGTCGTGCACACCACCAGGCCAAACAAGTGGCAAACTGGAGTGCCAACTTCTTGATCACCCAGCAACCTTCTAGACACAGCAATCGGCACCAGCATGTCGTGGAAGCTCACCAAGAGTACGCAGTCGTCGGCGAGCAAGCGGCCATGGCACTAGTAGCTGACGCACAACAGAACTCAAGGAGACCCATCTTGGGGCTCCCTTCTCCAATACCTTCTCGCGATCCTCGTCGCAATCCACCATTGTCGATTCGGCACAGAAAGCGCCTGCCACGACGACCACTGCACCGGGCACCCAGACTTCTAGCACTCCGTCCTCGACCTCGACCGCTTCGAATGGCGCTGCGGATCCACAGGGCATTGCTGCCTCCGAACAGATGGCAACTGCGCCAGCGGCACCCGCGAAGCCAGGCATTCTCATATTGACTCTACATGAGGGCAAGGGCTTCAGTTTGCCCCCTGGACAGGAACAAATATTCCAACGACCGGGACACGGTGGGAGTATGAGTACTGGGTCCTTTGCGGGCAGTTACACGGGGGGTAACAGCGCGAGACCAGGCTCAAGTGCCCAGAATCAAGGAGGCTTCCGCCCGGTATCGGCCAGTGGCGGCGGTATAAACAACATGCCCTCGACGCATGGTCGTTACAGCAGCAGGTACTTGCCGTATGCACTCGTCGATTTTGATAAACAGCAGGTCTTCGTCAATGCTGTTTCGGGCACGCCCGAGAATCCGGTCTGGGCTGGAGAGAATACTCAATACAAATTCGATGTGAGCCGGTCGACCGAGATCAGCTTATCTCTCTATCTTCGCAATCCGAACTCTCAGAACAACAACAGACAGCAAGACATATTCATCGGGACTTGCCGCCTAACTCCGACATTCCACGAACATGTGCAGGCTAGCGCAACGCAGCAAGCACAGCAGAGCACAGACAAGAGCAAGAAGGACAAGAACATGCCCCCTCCAGCACCGTCGAACGATGGCCAAACCTCAGGGGTTTCATGGCATGATGTGCAATTCGGGTCTGGAGCCATCAAGTTGGGCGTGAAGTTTGTCGAAAATCGACAACGGTCATTGAAGGTCGAGGACTTCGAACTACTCAAAGTGGTAGGCAAGGGCAGTTTTGGCAAGGTCATGCAAGTCATGAAGAAGGACACCAACCGAATCTACGCCCTCAAAACCTTGCGCAAACAACACATCATTTCAAGGTCCGAAGTAGCGCACACTCTGGCCGAGCGATCCGTCCTGGCACAGATCAACAACCCTTTCATTGTGCCATTGAAGTTCTCATTCCAGTCTCCGGACAAGCTGTATCTTGTCTTGGCTTTTGTCAACGGGGGCGAATTGTTTCACCATCTGCAGAAGGAGCAGCGATTCGATATTAACAGATCGAGATTTTATGCCGCCGAACTTCTTTGCGCCCTGGAGTGCTTACATGGGTTTGGTGTCATCTATCGAGACCTGAAGCCCGAGAACATTTTGGTGGACTACGTTGGACACATCGCCCTATGTGACTTCGGACTTTGCAAACTTGACATGAAAGATGAGGACAAGACCAACACCTTTTGCGGAACGCCCGAGTACTTGGCACCTGAACTGCTGCATGGACAGGGTTACACCAAAGCCGTAGATTGGTGGACCTTGGGCGTGCTCCTCTACGAGATGTTGACTGGTCTGCCACCTTTCTACGACGAGAACACGAATGAAATGTATCGCAAGATTCTGTCGGAGCCGCTACAGTTCCCAGGGCCTGAGATCGTGCCTCCGGCCGCTCGAGATTTGCTTAGCAAGCTGCTCGATAGAGATGCAACGAGGAGATTGGGCACTAATGGCGCCGCTGAGATCAAGGTGAGGAGCACGACATTTGTTCTGCATGTTTCGTTGCTAACAAGTGATAGGCACACCCCTTCTTCCATAGCATCGACTGGCGAAAACTGTTAGACCGCAAGTACGAACCTAGCTTCAAGCCAAATGTGGTCGACGAGCTCGACACAGCCAACTTCGATAAAGAGTTTACATCGGAAGCGCCAACTGATTCTTACGTGGAAGGCCCGATGCTGTCACAGACCATGCAGCAACAGTTCGCAGGCTGGTCGTACAACCGGCCGGTGGAGGGTCTTGGTGATGCAGGAGGCAGCATTGCACGTGGCAGCGGCTTTGACCAGAGGTAGGTGCCTTTCTCGAGTGTCAGGAGAGAGCACAAGACTTCGGTGTGGGCATTCGTCGGCACGCGATAGAGATGATGCTGGGGAGGAGTCTGAAAGAAGAAGAAGAAGAAGAAGAAGAAGAAGAAGAAGAAGAAGAAGAAGAAGGAAGAGTTCTTCTGGCGGATATGATTACGATGACCTCGAAGACAATCGCAAAGTCACCGTCCGTAGCTCCTCTCCGGAAAATTAGCCGCCCACGCCGGTCCTTCAGGCTTGGGCATAGACAGCACGAACACGGATGTCGGGAACGAATCGACTCTTGTTCTCAGCTGCTCATATTTCGCCCCTCACAGACCAGCCACTATCAGCGTGCACGAAAACGCGCTTCTGGTATATTTCGTGGACGCAGTGAGCGATTCTGCGAGACACCCCTGTTTAGACCCATTAGGGCGTGTCCGTTGGTCAATACGGTAGGAGGTACCTGTACCTTAATGCGCAACAAAACTCACACGCCCAAACACGGAAGGCAGCGGCATCGACTTTTGATGTTTTTGTAGAACTTGAGCAGGACCCTTGCACGTATTACATCATCGCAACAGTACCCCGCGGAGACGTGGGAGTACAGGGCAGGGCAGTAGCTTACCGCTGCCTAGACTAATGTAGATGCCCTCAGCAACTTTATCTGCTCACCTCACTCATACCTGTACCTTAGGTAACTGCTCACTCATCACTCGCATCTCCCAACTCCTTCTCTAGTCCTCGCCTCAATCTCGACTGCAGAAGACAGTAGGCCACCTTCCCGCCATGCATCCTGGCCATCAATGGCGCAGCGAACTGACCGAATGGCTCGCAGAACCACGTTGAGAAATCACTCGGACCAATACCGTCACGATGCCAGGCTTTGCACAGGCGAACGAGCTGCCAGCATGGAAGGCTCTGATGGAGCACCACGACAAGCTGGGTCGCGGCATGGTCCTCAAGAGCGAGTTCGAGAAGGATCCTCAACGATTTGAGAAGTACAGTCACACCTTCCACAATGAGGCCGACAACAGCGACATTCTCTTCGACTTCAGCAAGAACTTCATCACGGACGACACCCTGCCTCTTCTCGTGAAGCTTGCCCAGGAAGCGAAGCTCGAGAGTCTTCGTGATGACATGTTCAAGGGCGAGAAGATCAACTTCACCGAGCAGCGTGCCGTCTATCACGTCGCTCTTCGCAATGTCAAGAATGAGCCCATGCAGGTCGATGGTAAGAGCGTGGTTGAAGAGGTCAACAGTGTGCTGGATCACATGAAGGAGTTCTCGGAGCAAGTGCGCAGCGGAGAGTGGAAGGGCTACACTGGCAAGCCTATTGACACCATTATTAACATTGGTATCGGCGGCTCCGATCTTGGACCCGTCATGGTCACTGAAGCTCTCAAGCCATATGGTAAGAAGGGCATGAAGCTGCACTTTGTCAGCAACATCGACGGAACACACATCGCCGAGGCTCTGGAAGGCAGTGATCGCGAGACTACCCTCTTTTTGATTGCATCTAAAACCTTCACCACCGCCGAGACCGTCACGAATGCAACGACCGCAAAGAACTGGTTCCTCGAGAAGGCGAAGCAGGAAGATGTCGCTAAGCACTTCGTTGCACTCTCGACCAACGACAAGGAGGTGTCGAAGTTTGGCATTGACACCAAGAACATGTTCGGTTTCAACGACTGGGTTGGTGGCCGTTACTCTGTCTGGTCCGCGATTGGTCTTTCTGTTGCTCTATACATTGGATTCGACAACTTCAAGGAGTTCCTTGCTGGTGCCCAGTCAATGGACCACCACTTCAGAACTGCCCCGCTCGAGCAAAACATTCCAGTTATTGGAGGTCTGCTTAGCGTGTGGTACTCTGACTTTTTCGGTGCCCAGACGCACCTTGTTTCTCCGTGAGTTTTTGCCGTGCAGAGAGATGCGCTGCAACGATAGCTGACTTGGTACAGATTCGACCAGTACATGCACCGCTTCCCAGCTTACCTGCAACAACTGTCCATGGAGTCGAACGGCAAGGCTATTACTCGAAGCGGTGACTACGTAAAGTACACGACGGGCGCTATTCTGTTCGGCGAGCCCTGCACAAACGCGCAGCATTCTTTCTTCCAGCTCCTCCATCAAGGCACCAAGCTGATCCCAGCCGATTTCATTATCGCTGCCAAGTCACACAACCCTGTCGAAAACAACAAGCACCAACACATGCTGGCGTCCAACTACTTCGCACAAGCCGAGGCACTCATGATTGGCAAGACACCAGACACGGTCAAGAATGAGGGTGCAGCAGCAGAGCTTGTGCCACACAAGGTCTTCTTGGGCAACCGCCCAACCACCAGCATCTTGGCCGACAAGATCACTCCTGGCACCCTCGGTGCGCTTATTGCCTACTACGAGCACGTCACTTTCACGGAAGGCGCCGTCTGGAACATCAACTCATTCGATCAGTGGGGTGTTGAGCTTGGCAAGGCACTTGCCAAGAACATTCAGAGTGAGCTCGATAATGCTGGTCAGAGCACGAAGCACGACAGCTCCACGAGTGGACTTATCAATGCATTCAAGAAGAAGGCTGGCATTCCATGAATTGCAAAGAGGAGAGAGGACATGGCGGAAAAGCCAAAACTGTGATGCTATTTATATTCTGCGTTGTGGCGTGATTCAAGCTTGCTTGGCTGGGGTTGTGCAAAGGCATATGAAATGCGAAGGAGAATGGTATGCAATCCAAGGAATACTTGCGCAGTAGCAAAGCAAACGCTAAAGACGACACGATAAGTATGTCTGAGAAAGAGTGGTCAGTAGGTAGATTGGTTGGTAGATAGGTCTAGAAGCAAGGTATGAATCCGCCAAGGCCGAAGCGGCAGTATCGGTTGCTTCAACATAGGTACATTCACCTACCTTACGTGTATCCCTCTCTCTCTCGTCTCTCCCTCATAATGACAACTTAAAGGTTAGAGCAGGCTATATCTTACTACGACTGACTAATGTAGATTCGAGTCTGGCGATGAAGGCATCAGAGGAATATAGAAGCGCTAGTATAAGGCATGCTGGCATTCTTGAGAATTGTCTTGCCTAGTGCGATTTTTATACTACATGTACCTTATATAATCTTTACTGCTGTTGTCTTGTACCTGCACTAGACAGCTCCCAATACCTCTTGTGCTGTAGTCTGTGTGAATTCCTTTTCCCACAAGTACCTAGATAGCACTTGCACTTTTTCTCAGTCATCCCAGACTGCTGAGACGTTCCTCTGCTCAGAACGGGCTATTAGAACCGACTGCTCTTACGGCGCAAGGCTTCTACTATGTACTTTCATGTAATCAGGACCACAAGCGGGCATGTCATGAATCGTGCTCAATTGCCAGAAATCAACTCGTATCCTCCATCGACAGTCACGTTCTGGCCATTCCAGTACTGATTTGTCACCGCGAAGAGTACAGCACCAGCCATATCTTCGTCCTTGCCGGGTCTCTGTGCTGCAGTCTTCCCTTCGTACTTTTCCTTCTCAACATGGCTCTTCTGGTTGCCATCGCTCTCTCCAGCAGTCATCTCAGAAGGAAATACTCCGGGACTGATGGAGTTGACACGAATCTTCAATCCATTCTCTTGAAACTCATTCGCCATCATTCTCGTGAGGTGCTTGGCCGCGGCTTTGCTGGCATTATATTGCGGATGATGCTGAGTCGTCTTCACTTCACCTGACATGGAAGCAGTGTTGATAACTGTTGATGACCAGCCATGAGTCTTCTCCGTAGCTTTCTGCAGGAGTGGAAGGAAGGCGAGGGTTACAAAATAGAGTTGGCCAACATTCGTGCGATACACCGCTTCCCAGTCCTCAAAGGTGGCCTCCTCGTTGTCGAAGAGGTTCTTCTTCATTTCCTCGGCGCTTTTGGATTCGGTCTTGAAAGTAGCAGTAGATATACCTGCATTGTTGAACAGTATATCGAGGCGATCCTCTTTCTCGGAGAATTCTTTGTAGAGCTTCTTGATCGATTCCTTGCTGCTGATGTCGGCGGTGATGGGGATGATTTGGCCTTCAATCCCCTGGGAGTAGGTCTTGACCACTGTGTCGAGCTTGTCTTGGGTTCGTCCAACGATGTAGACCTTGGCTCCATTGACGGCAAGGGCTTGCGTAGCCATTAAGCCAATTCCACTTCCGCCACCTGCGTACTGTCGGGTCAGCCTTGCTAGCTCGCAGCAAGAAAACATTACACGATGCCTTCCTTACCCGTGACGAGCGCGACCTTGCCCTTGACATTGAAGACATTGACGAGCTTGAAGGAGTCGTTGTTGTGAGACATTCTGTTTGCTGTTTTCACTGCAGATGAAGTGGCGTGTCTGCTGGGCTGAGATGAGATCTGGAAGGAGGAAGAGAGTGAAGGAGTCGCTGCGAGTGTTTTTGCTGCTGTCACAAGTCGTACGTGTTGCGAGCGATGAAGGGTTGAGAGGACAATGGGAGAGAAACGGAGGAGGGATGACATGTCATAGGAGTACCTTACCGACGAAGTTATATGTACTCAGGTAGGAGGTACCTACCTTACCTACCTACGCGTACTGGCCTCCTCTTGACATGGAATCCATTTTCGTAATGGCAGCGTCATGAGAAACCACCTACATTACCCACATTACCTAAGGTAGTCTGGGTTCTGCAGCAGGTCCAGATACAGTTAGGTGCACGGGGCGGGACGACGGAATAGCGGGATGGAGGGACGGCGGGAAGGCGGGAAGGCGGCAGAATCGACAAGGGTTGCACGCGTCGCGACCCAGCCCACCAAAAGAAACCCGGTCCACCATCCTTGTCACAGCTTCCCTATTCACTGTCACTCCCACGGACTGCAACCTAGAGAAGTCGTGTCGGATTATTGTCGATATCTGTTGCATTGAAAGAGGCCATGTTCATCACAAAGACAAATCCTTAGCTGGATAGATGCCCAACGGGGACGATGAAGAATTTCACTGTCGACTCCAAGGTCGACCTGCTTGAGCACCTCATCGAGACGTCGCAGACATGGGACGACCCCGACCTCGCCGCCTTCTTTGCGCACGCTCAGTCGACTTTTAAGGGATTCAAGGGCACAACGTGGGAGGGCGCCGATCTGGAGGACAAACTACGCGGGGAGGAGAAACACTGGTTGAGCGAGTGCGATGGGAGTCGAAGCCGGCGCCGTGGCCACGAGAAGGGCTCATACTACGACAATGCCATGGGGAAATGGAAGAAGATATGGAATGAGCTGCTAATCAAGGACTGGCAGAATGAGCTAGACAACGGTCGAGCGTTTGAGGAAGTGCCCCTCAGCCTTCGTGAGCATTTGGTGCGCCCAAAGAATGTCTTTGCAATGGCCCCTCATTCACCCGCGCCTGCAACAACGCCCAAGCCCAGAGTCGCTCTGGTAAAAGCCGATCCCAACCAATCGTCTCCCACGAAGCCACTGGAACACCAAACCCCAGGCGAGTCAGTGGCTGCCAAAGCCAAGAAGCTTGAGTTTGAGTATGACGGGGCAAAGCTGAAGAGGGTGGTGGACTCCGCAGTAGAAAAAGCACGAGAGATAGGGAAGGTGGACCTGGCCGATGCCGTACAAATGATATATCATGACTCGCAGGAAAACTTCGAGCTGAGGTATCTCCTGGACCACATTCTCAAGCAGACCGCCGACGAAGAACAGAACACGCGGTTCCAAGACTATGTCCGCGCTGCGAAACGAAAGATCAAGATGCAAAGGGGCCAGAAACATAGAAGTGAAATGATCAAGGATGGAGACCGTCGAGCCAAGAAGCTGTTGCATCGCGCGAAGGTTGCCAAGGAAAGTGGAAAGAGCAGTCCACCTGTCGTGCCAACAGGCGAGAAGCTGTGCGATGAGAAGACGTGGTCTAGCAAGTGTCCGTGCGCGCAGTGTCTCCGCGACAAAGCGGAATATACAGAAGATGCGACTGGGGTTACTGATGCAGAGCATCAGCGCAAATATGAAGAATTCATGCGCAAGAATGGTCTAGATGCTGGTAAAACGAAGGACTCGTCGAGGGCGCCGCCACCCATGTACCAGCACGCTGTAGAGATCGTGTCTCCGGTGAAGAAGGACTCTGCCACCTGGCAAGTCTCAAAAACAAGCAACGAGGATGACAGAGTACGCACAGTCGACACCGACATCACGCAGCTAGGCGCGGAACAGCATGCCTCTAAGCAAGGCCCCCAAGATTCTGTCCAAGCCAACGGCAAACTTGCCTCTGCCAAAACCGGCGGGCTATCACACAGTAGCTATAGGACGCTTCCACATCACGATCCGCTTGTCACTGAGATTCTGGGCGACTTACAGTATGAGCCGTCTGTGAAGAAGCTTCTGCGACAAAATAGGGCACTGCCGACCAATGCCAATATCAAGGACTTGCGCCGGCGAGAGTCAGCTCTCGAAGCTATCAAGACCATTGTTACGGAGACGCCAGCTGCAAAGACTGATCTGAAGGTAATGGCCGAGAAGCTGGAGGAGCGTGATGCTCGCGAGGCTGAAGCTGATGGCGAAGTCCGATCAGAGAACCAAGCCAGTGCTGGAGCTGAAGATGATAGTCAATACAACAACGAGCAGAGTGATGAAGAGTCCGAGAATGAGTACAAGGAGGACATGGACGAGGACATCACGCCACGCAGCAAGCGGGCTCTACGACCTCGTTTATCAACTGCCGAAATTGAAGAAACTGAGCGCGACTATTCGGGACGGCGCAGATCTCACAAGTGGCCCTGTCCTCTGGCCAAAGAGGCCGGTTGCGATCAGTGGTTCAGCTCCTCTGGCCATGCTGTACGTCATGGAAAGATCCATACTGGTATCAAGGACTTTACCTGTCCCGCATGTGACAAGGCGTTCGCGCGAAAGGACAACATGATGGAGCACTTCAGAGGTGTGCATAAGAACCGTGTTCCCTCGACGAAGCGTGGCCGACGTTCTTCCACCCAGTCCTCCAACGCCATCAGCGAAGAGGCTGATCAACGAGCGGAAGAGCGAGCGGCCAAGCGTAGACAGAGCATGAGGAAGAACGCTGCAAAGGACACTACTGATAGCAGAGCGTCCAGGGACAGCTCTATCGTCTCTGGACGGTCTACGGACTCGTCGCTAACCGAGACGTTCTCGACAGACGAAGAGCGGCACGACCCTGGTAACCCAGAGAGTTTTGGCCGCCACGAGTCTGTCCCCCGCGAGCACGAAGTAGTGCTACACGGAAGCATGATAGCACAGCTTTCGACGACTTCAGAACCCGCAGTGCTGCTAGCACGCCTCGAAGCAAAGATCGACGCTCTTATCGGCCGTGACGCTAATACTATGATCAATGGCACGTCGAGACAACCACACGCCGAACATGCCATGGTCTCCTCTGCAGAGAGTCTGCTCGACATCGCAACATCGCTACAGACTGGTGCGCTCCACGACCAGAGCCCAGAATTCATACAGTTTGTCGCTCGTCTTACCCGGACTGCAGCGGAAGCTGTTATTGATGCTTCGAACAGTGCCAAAGCATCTGCGGCCATGGCGCGCGAAATCAGCATGATGTTAGAAGAGCAGCATGGACCTGCCGCTCAGATCAGTGTATAGTATAGTGGAGGCATTCCATTTTTTCACGACGGTCATGGACCTAATGATTCTGAGCGTTCTCGGTAGCCGGTAGCGGTCATTTTTCCAGCTCGCGATGACGCGTTATGGCGCAACAGCGTTTGCAAGGATCGAATACATGGGCACTGTTCATACCAATGCTTCTCGTCAGCGCAGGAACAGTGTAGCACATTCTAGAAGGTAATTCACGAAGTATGATTGCAATTTGCTCGTATAATAAGCTCAACACTCGACTATGAATATCAAGTATGAACTTTTATAGATGTTCCCGTCTAGACGCCTGGCAATTGACTCAATAAGGAAGGTAGGCATAGTAGAGACAGGCTCTGAGGTTGAATAACCTGTGTGAGTAAGGTAGGAAATGTGTTTCGAAACCCTCTATCGGTCTAGTGTACATAGGTAGGACGAGGCCATCATCCTACCTCCTAGAAGTATACTCTTTGCCCTCTTACCTATACACTCACTTTGCGTGGTCGCTAACAGAATTTTTCTCTCTCCCTCTCTCTCTCTCTCTCGGGGACATAGGTAGCCTTTCCTTTCTTTCTTCCTTCCTTCCCTTAACTCCCGATTGAGATCTATTCATTCAACGCCTATCAACCAAAAAAAAACAGTTGTTTCCGCTATAGCACCTACGGCACAGGGGGTTTTCTTTCCTTTTTTTCCCTTTTTCGTTATCGTTGATTCTTGATCAATGTCTGATTCTTCCAAAGACAATTAAATTATTAATAGACCTTGATTGATTGATTGATTGATTGAAATTGCCTAATAATGCAAAGATACCTCGAAACCACCTTGTTGCTACTACTGCTGCTGCTGAAGTAGACAAGGCTCCACAACTTTGCCCATGTCCAATAAAGATATAAAAAGAAAAAAGAGAAAAGAAAAGAAAAGAAAAGAAAAGAAGAAGAAACAAAACAAAACAAAACAAAACAAAACAAAACAAAACAAAACAAAACAAAACAAAACAAAAGTAGCCGACTAGCCGTTTTCGAAGAATGATGCTATAGGTAGGCTATAATAACTTCTTACCTCTCCTACACCTCACTGTAGATACCATCTTCCATGCAACACATCGAAATATCATCCAAGTCTCTCGCAACCAAAATGAAGTGTCTTATAACTCCACCTTCTGCTCTTCCTCCTCCATATACCGATAACACAACGGCCAGCTCTCCGTATCAAAAACCCTCCGGGGCGATACAGACACGCCCTGTGTATCAAAAGGCATCTGAAAATCCGCGTGCGCATCGACGTCGTAGCGCGTGTCGTTCATATTGTGCGGACTCATCGGCATGCCGGAGAAGGCATGGAAGTTGGACGAAGAATGCCGTTGCCACTGGTTTTCCAAGCCATATATATCAGTGAGACGTTCTACTGAGGAAAAGAGAGAGAGAGAGAGAGAGAGAGAGGTATGTACATACTCGACTCCACAACCGATCAAGTTGCCCATGATGCAGCCAAAACAACGGATCATTCGGCGTGAATTTATCTGCCAAACCATGACATGCCTCCTCTGGCATAACTTTCGGACAGTCTCCAGATAAATCCCCTCCCACGAAATTGTGGACATGATCGTGGAGAGCTTCCATCGCATGCTGGAAACGAAAAAAGTCTCCTTTCGTCTGTTCCGTCCAATTGCGCACAGTTTCCGGGCCGAGAGTGCGATTTTGAGGCTGTTCATGTTCGAACCAGCCAGTGAGCAGCGTCAGATTTCTTCTCAACGAATGCTGAACAGGCCAGGCTAGTTCGAAATTTCCCGCAGCAAAGGCCCCCGTGGTGACGATGCAATCCGTGGAATCACAATCTCCCGTCCCACCGAGCCCATACTCGGGTGAATCCTCGAAGATGGGTGAGTGGAAGAGGTCTGCATGGTCGCGCGACCAGTCCCAGTATGGTGTGGGACCACGATATCCGCAGTTATCGCGGAGAGAAATATCGAAGAGGTGAATAAACCAGCGATCTGTGCAAGAAGAAAAAACAACCAATTGTCAGCAGGCAGCTCCATCGATTCAATACAATCGGCCTGGCAAAAAGGAAAAAAGAATAGGAGAAAAAAGGGAGCTCTGTCAGAAGAAGAAAAAGAAAAAACGAACGCCAAGGCAAAAAGTACGCATTTCCATGCGCGCTGTGATGCACCACTGCGTGCGAATACGAGAAATCATCATACAGACTCCTCTTTCCCCCCAGCAGCACCATCGTCGTCGTCGTCGTCCCATTATGATTCGTCAACGATAATCGCTGATGTTTGATATTTGCCAAGCACTGCTCAAAAAAAGAACATTCAGCCATCCATTCTTCCAGTCACTCAGCCCATACCATATACTATAAACCCCCCTCGGAAAGAAAAGTTCACGTGTAGTACAGAGGAGAGAAAAGAAAAAAAAAAATCAGAAGAAGAATGGGGTAGCGCACGCAACGCACCTTAACAGCACCCACCCACTCCTTCTTTTCCCTCCGAGTCCACGTACGCCATTCCTTTCGGATCAGCAATTTCTTGCATTTGGGCAATTCGTCCCGATTCCAGTCGTACGCAGACGATGAGATGTCTACGCTGCTGCTGCTGCTTCTGATGCTGCTGCTGGGGAAGATAATGGCGAGTGCGTAGAAAAGAAGAGGAAGAAAAAGAAGAAGAGAGGTGTGAAGGAAAGGGGCGATGGTGGATGGCATTAGGTAGAATATCAGAGTGTAGGAACTGGGAGTAGGATAGAATAGAAGAGGATAGGATGGGAATTTGCTTGCCTTAGTTATGGAGGAGGAGGAGGAGGAGGAGAAAGTGAGGAGGAGGACAAGGGCAGGTGGTAGAATTATCATCATCATCATCATCATACCATGCAGCTGAAACCAACAATCCTCCCCTAGAGAAGGAGTCCCTTCAAAAAAGAAAAAAAAAGAAACCCCCCCAGAAAGAATGACAGAAGTGTGTGAAGGAATAATACGGGTTCTTCGGCTACTAGGTAGGCCATGTACATGTAAGGTATGTACATATATGTGACATATAAGTGGAGGTTGAGGCTGAGCTACCTACACCTACAGGAGGTACCTGTACCTAGCCCCCTCGATGTCAATTCTTACTTTTTTTCCCTTTTCACCCTTTTCATGATGCTGCACTGAATTGAACACGCATACTCGCATGCTCGCGTAATCCAGGTCTTCGTGATCGATGTATAATAACTAATCAAATATATAACTATAAGGTATATCGTAATAGTACCTAACCTAGTAGTACTAGTAATCGGATTGTATGATGTCTATAATATTCATACTCGATACATAATATTCGATATATAAGAACTTATTCATCTCGCTGCTGTCCTGCTTTTACCTACTTACCTCTTATGCTGACCTCCTACCTATTGTTACCTACTTACCTACTTACCTACCTACCTACCTACTAAGCAAACCACCGACTAACTCTCTATACCCTTCACCCTTCACCTAAAGATCCCACAAGCGCACATATACACACAATGGTGCATAACCTCCTCTACCTCTCATCAATCCCCACCCTCCTCATCTGCATCGGAATTCCCCTCTACATCTCAACAACCAACAACAGTAATAGTAGTAAGCCCAGCAGCGGCAGCAGCATCTCCTGGTCCCACAATACAGCAACAAACCTCCTCTCCTCCCTCTTCGAACGCGCAGCCGTAGCAATTTCTCCCCCATCATCATCATCATCATCATTATCAACACCCCTCCTCCCACCAGGCCTCGCACACAGCATCAACAGTTTCGAGCACTACACCCATCTCGCCTCAGCCATAATCCACCGCAAACACACACGCTATCTTCAGCAGAATCCCGCACAGAGGCAACTCAGTCAGCAAGTGGGATACACTGCGCATTTCGAGCGAGCGAGAAAAGGGATAGAAGTGAATTCGCGATTATTAGAATTGATGGCAAAATTCGCGAGGGAGAATTATCAGACGGGATTGCAATCGTTGCAGACAGAGGCTGGGAAGGAGGCGGATTTGGAAGATGCGAGTATGGCTTTGTATCATCTGATGCGGGATTGGAGTGCGCAGGGGGAGAAGGAGAGGCAGGCGGTGTTTCCGCCGGTGCTGGAAGGGTTGGAGAAACATTTTGGTGGGAGGAGGAGGAGGAGCGGTGAGGAGAAGGAAGAGAAGGAAGAGAAAAAGGTGCTGGTACCGGGAAGTGGTACAGGGAGGCTCGCAAGCGATATAGCGGATCTCGGTATGTCCGTCCATCATAATTACTTCGATTCTTTCTTTCTTTGGAGCTGGGAAAAAAGATCGCACATCTATCTCACAATGTTAGTACACAGGCTTCAATGTCACAGCCAATGATATGGATTACTGCTCCATTCTCGCCTATCACTTACTCACGAACCACACGAGTGCACTGCACGAGCACACTTTGCAGCCCTTTGTGACGAGATGGCCGCATCAGGCGAATGCCTTCGCACGCTACTCGTCCTTGACAGTGCCGGACCACTGGCCCAACAAGTCCGTGAAGCTGGTCGAGGGCGACTTTTTAGAGATGTTCCCTCAGGACGGCGAATTCGATGCGGTTGTGACACTATTCTTCATCGACATGGCCGACAACGTCATCGACTTCGTGAGCAATATCCACCGGCTGCTGAAGCCTGGTGGCTTATGGATTAATCTTGGACGTACGTTACTCTCTTTTCTTTCTTTTTCCTCTATCCAACTTTGCACGCCGGATCCTTACTCGTTCACAGCCCTTAAATGGGGTTCCTACGCTGAACTCCAGCTCTCGGCCGAGGAAGTGGTCCAGCTGGCAGAGCTGCTCGGGTTCGATGTGGACCACTCGTCAAGGCAGAGTATCGATAGTGTCTACGCCGAACCGCCGGACACGTTACTGAAGTTCACCTATGGTAAGTGTGAAGCGAGTGTTCCGCAGGCAAGAATGTGACAGCTGATGCGAGGATAGTCACCCAATTCTGGTCTGCGGTAAAGAGAGAGCCTACAAGTTCCTGACTCGCGCGGTGTAGCGGGTCAGCAAGGTTATGGAATGGTGAAAGAGGAATAGACAAGCGCAAATATCACCTGCGATAATGTACTGTGAACATGACAGCTTCAAAGTATGGGGCCGTATTTGTTGGGTGTGCTTACCCTCTGATTCATTATGACCATATCTGGCGCCAAAGGGCGCCTTTGCTCCATTTCATTCTCCCACGCCTCGCCTGACCTCGAATCGACCTCCGTACGTACTGCATGCGATGCGACTGCAGTGCAGAGTACACCCATCCAGCCACAAGTATCATCACTAGCTGAATCACGCAGCACACAGACACACACCACCTCAGCAGCATCTCTTTCTCGTTTTCGGGTATTCCACAATCCACTTCCTTTTTCCGCTTCCTTCCCTCTTCACACATCTCCCCCTTCTCAACCCCGATGTCCACGCTCATCACCTCCAATCCGATCCAGCGCCTCCAGCATCACGACCGAATTCCCTCGAATCACACACATGCCCAATCTCACTTTCTCGCCATTCGGTTTGCTCTCGGTCGCTTCGTCGAGTACGATGTTGAGGAAGACCTATACGTTGAAACAACCCCAACAAGAGAGAAGTCATGATCAGTTATCATCGCAATCACATATCCATATCTCCTCATTCTTTCTCTCATCTTTCTCTCATTCTCTCATTCTTTTCTTCTTACATCATAACCACGAAGAGTACCCATCACCTTCCTCGAGCCGTTGAGTTGCACTTCGACGCGCTTGTCGAGGTACTGTTATGTGTGATTGAGAAAAGTTAGCTTCCTTTCTGCTATCACTTGCGTCCTGGCGCCCATTTGATCGCGCTTTTTGGGAGAGTAGAGAGGTTGTGATCGCAGAACGTAGCAAAAGAAAAGGCTCACGTACCTTTTTGAGTTCGGGCTGGGCTTGAGGCATTGTTGTTGTTTGCTGTTGTTCTGGTGGTGGATAGTGTGTTGAATCGTCGTCGTCGATGAAATTGAATGTAGTTACATGAAGTTGTTGTCGCGACTCGCGAAAGTGCTGGCTGGACGTTGTAGAGAGATGGTCACGTGGGCTCGGCAGGTCCCGTCCTCTCTCCCCTACCCTCCTATTGTACTAGGTACCACGGTACCACCTACATGTATTCTGTCAACTTTACCTTTTCTGATACATACATTACTTCAGTCGACGATGCGCAACACCTCACATATCCCGCATTTGCTTTCAATCGATATCAGATACCCTACTTCTACAAATAGTACAACAGCGACTCCCTCGATATTCACCTTTTCCAACCACCAATATCCTCATGTATCGTCCTCTTTCCGCATCGAAATGTAATCTTTCGCCACCTTAGCCAGGTATCCCTCGCTCGCGCTTTCTTTCCAGTCCCATGATTCAGGTCTCGCTTCACGTTGGCTGACCGTGGACAATGGCTGATGTGCATTCGACAGCCTCTGTACCTTCGGATTGCCATCCTTCTCGCACCAAACATACTCACGATTGAGTACGCCATCCTCGTGCCTATAGCTCTGCTCTTCCGAAATCGATCTATGCGTTCCCTAAACCGACAACTTGTAGGTCGCGACTTCGAAAGCCCTGAGCTCAATGTCGATGCCATTCTCGGTCACCTGGACCTCTTCCATGACGTCCTCCAAGATATTCGTCTTCCATGCCTTGGTCACCTTGACAGGCCCCAGGCTGATTGTGCCTCTCGATGTCCCACCCAGAGAGTCGTAAACACGCACGATCACATGTCTGCCTTTCTTGACTCTCAGATCGCCGTTACTGGCGTCCTCGTCGTCTTCACCACGTTTCACGGTATCCACTACCAGACTCGTGGAAGAGTCGCCGGTCAGCTTGAAAGCAGAGAACAAGTCCTCCACACTTGAGATCTGCGGATGACGATGCACAGCCATAGGGTTGTTGAACTCGGCTGCTGCTCGAACAGTGCGTTCGTCCAGCGGTCCAGCATGCGGTAGAATAGCCCACTTGATCTTGTGATGTCCCATGTCGGCGTGCGCATCAGGTGCCTTGGGTGCACGAAGCAGAGAAAGGCGCATGAGTTTGCCTGTGGTAGCGAAGCCGTATTTGCTCTCGTTGAGAATGGACACGCCATATCCATGCTCACTCAGATCAGCCCACTTATGGCAACACACTTCAAACTTGGCCATGTCCCAGTTGGTGTTGTAATGCGTAGGTCTTCGTACAATGCCAAATTGAGTTTCATAGGAAGCTTCCGTGTTGTTGATTGTGGTTGGAAATTCCACTTTCAGGAACTTCATAGTCTCGTGCCATTCGACCTCCGCTTCCACTTCAACATAGGAAGTTTTTGAGTCTTTAGAGGCAGCGCTCAAGGCGATCGTGGTCTTGATCCAAGACTTCTCAGAGATTTGAGTCTTGGTGGTGACAGCAACGCGCTGAGGCGATTGCTCTGTGATCTCCGTCGGCCCAGATGCACTCAACTCTCTTCTGGACTCGAGATGGAAGACCTCGACGTCCCAGGCCTGCCAGTAAAGTGGTTTGTCGTCGAACAGGACAAGCTGGTTTGCCTTACCGCCCTCGGGCAGCACTTCGCGCTTAGCCTCCCTGTCGTACAGAGAGGTGATGACACCCTTGGATACCTTCACAGATAGTTTAGAGTTCTCCAGGACAAAAGTGCCAGCTTCAGTACTAGTTACGCGTACGGAAGGCTGCTCGGTGGCACAGCGAGCGGGTTGTCCGACGATTTGAGCAATCTGATGTGAAAGCACGCGGTCGTCACGCTGCCAGCCAAGTGTATTGATAGCAACATCCTTCGCATTCTGATCCTCTCCGTCATCGGTGAAACCTAATGCTCTCAATGCGTCCTTGAGCACCTTCTCCCCAGTCTCAAACACCTTGGCGTATTCTTTGTCGGAATCATCGTAGCACATCTCGATCGACGACCCTGGCAAGCAGTCATGGAATTGACATAGCAATACACTCTCCCACATAGAATCAATCTCCTTTTTCGGATACTCGAAGTTCTTGTCATGCAACGAGGCCAACGTGGCCAGGTACTCGATGTCATGCAGTAGGACCTCCGACTTGCGATTACCCTTCTTGTTGTTCGCTTGAGTCGTGTATGTACCTCTGTGGAGCTCGAAGTACAGCTCACCATACCAGGTCACAAACTCCGTCTTGCCCGTTGCGGCATTCTTCTCCAGACGATCGAAAAAGTCTTCGACACTATTGCCCATGTGGACGCGAGGAAGCGCGCCGACATTGTCCGCGATACCACGGCAACGGCGAAGTTTCTCGATATGGCCCCACGTAGGTCCACCGCCTCCATCGCCTTTGCCGAAGACGAGCAGGGAGGAGGGGTCTTGATCCATACTCTTGTGTTGCGTCACTGATCTCTTGACATCGCCAAAATGTGCTTCAGCTGTGTACGTCTCCGAAGGCGCCATATGACATAGCACTTGACTACCATCCAGACTGACCCAGCTGAAAGTGGTGTGTGGAAAGTTGTTGATGTTGTTCCAGCTCAACTTCTGAGTGAAGAAGCGATTCATGCCCGCGAGTCTGCAAAGCTGCGGAATTTGTGACGAGTAGCCAAATGTGTCTGGTAACCAGAACGTCTTGCATCTCTCACCGAACCTCGATTCGAAGAATCGCTGTCCATACAAGAACTGCCGGACCAGGGACTCTCCAGATGGCATGTTGGTGTCATGCTCGACCCACGAGCCGCCAATGGGTTGGAAGGTGCCCTTCTTCACATGCTCCTTCACGCGGTCGAATGCGTAAGGATATAGTTGTTCCAGCCACTTGTACTGCTGTGCCTGACTGGCACAGAATCGGTGTTCTGGATATCGATCCAGCAGTTCGCACTGATTGCTCCAACTCCTCGCCACTTTCCTCTTCGTCTCCGCCCATGGCCACAGCCAACAGGTATCGATATGACAATGCCCGATACCCGTCACCAGCACTTCCCTCGGCGGATCTCCAGGTGTCAGGTCGTACACCTCGGGCCCATCAACCTTGTCTCCCACATACTGTTTCGCCAGCTTCCGACATTCCTTGATAGCGTCATTCGATCCATCCCCAGCGATGAAAGTATCAATAATCTCATTCGCCAACGTCAACGCCCTATGTTCCTCCCAACTATCAGTAGGAAACTCTCTCGCAGCATCTCCCAAGATCCAGAAATCGTAGAAGAGCGCTCTGGCTTCCAAATTGACAGCTACCAAGTCTGCCACTGCCAGCTGAAAGTATCGATTCGGATTAGGAGGTTGAATCGTATCCCCACCAGTAGGATTTCCAAACATTCCATTACACGCCATCTCAATATATATTGTTTCTTCCTTCCCAGTTCGATATTTGTCTGTCACAATCCATTCGACCCTCTCCCCGCCTCCCGTCAAGCCCTGTAGCGGCTTTCCATCCTCCGTCCAGACCATGCCCTCGCTATTGGAGTCCCAGTGTAATTCCACTCGCTCCTCAGCATCCCATTCCTGAGGCACGGTGAATTGCACTTTGAACCAATGTGTGCTCCAACTAGGACCAAAGCTTTCGCCTTTGTGAGTCTTCTTGTAGTGGTTATTGCTGGATGTGGCTTCCGAGAAAGTGGGTCGGGTAAGTTCGGGTGCCGACCAGACGGAGAGGTGGACGTGGCCCTCGCTGAGACGAGCATTGTACATTTTGGCTTGGAGGCCTTGTTGTTTGTACTGGCCATTGGAGGTGAATTGGTTCAGTCGATCGCGGTAGATGTCGTGGATGAGCTTGCCTTTGGGACGGATGGCGAGCTGAGGGTACGCGGCTGTAGAGGCCATATTGGTTGTCTGGTGTGATTCTCCGCCCATAATGGTGGTGATGATGTGGATACAGAGGTGGTATAGGCAGTCAGAAGAAGTTGTAGGTAACTAATGGTAGAACAGGAGAGGAGTGGTCAGCCGTGATGAGGTACCTTACCCCACGCAAGGTACCTCCTACACTGCATCACATGGTAGCTCTCCCCGCTGGGGCCGTGACATTAGCGCGAACATTGTTGGCGCTAACGAGAACATCCCCCGTAGCCCGTCTGTAACATGGAGGTCATTGGAGGGTGCCAGCCTGCCAGCCTGCCAGCAACCAGGTTCGTACGCCTCGTCATCGCCAAGGACAGTATATGTAGCATCCGTGTTACATATAGTACTGTACCTGGTATCATCACAATGGCATAAGAGACAACTGAGAAGGAAGATGACTTGGAACGTAAGGTATCGAATTGTACCTTACCATTACAGTACATACATTACAGGTAGTCGCTGTTATCGCTCGCTGTCATCTGCTGCACTTGACGCACCGCTGGGTATCCTTGGGGGCAAATCGTCCGCCCTTCAGTCTACACTCCTGTACAACGCCATATGATGCAGTCAGTCCATGGTGTTTTCGACATTACTCATAGCTCGTTCAGAGCATTCTCGCATAGTCGCTGGTACTTCAAAGGATCAAATCGCTCTTTCAACCACTTTCTCTCTCTGCCCTCCTCGATGCGCTCCTTCTTCTTTCTCGTCTTCTGATCTTCCGGTGCGAATGACCAGAAGCTGCGACTCGTCTGCAGGCTCTGCTGTCGAGATGGCGTACTCGCAACAGACGGTGTACTGAACATGCCACGGTTTCCCTTGTTACTGTGTGGCCGGCTCAGCGCCTGCAGTGCCTGCGCACGGTGGATATGTTCCTTGGCATTCTGCACAGTCTTCATGTGTGTCTCGAGCTGGGCACGCATTGCTGTGAGATGATCTGTCACACGCGCAAACATGCCTGCATCGAATATTTCCTTCGGCTGAAATGTGTCTGCTGATGGCACTGATACTGGTATGAACGCAGGCGCCGGTGTTTCGTACAGTTTGGTCTGTCGGTGCGGTGTGGTTATACCAGACATCGTAGATGCGTCCGAGGAATGAAAGTAGTCAAGTCCATCAGTAGCGATGGGCGACACCGGTGAGACGGAAGACCCGTGTGACAATGGCGAGGCCGGTGACACCGGTGACACGGGAGAGACAAGATCTGGAGTACTCGGTCTGGTGTTGGATCGTCCGAGCCGGGGCGCGCTCATACGAGGATCACATTGGATTGAAAGCCTGGGCAGCTGCGAGTGCCGGAAGGTACCTGAGTAGGGCATATTAGGAGGCATGTGCGAGTCCCGCCTGGCAGGCGATCCCATTTGGGACGACATCATCAGCCTACTGCTCGGTCTCGGCGGCATGGAGGCTAATGAATTCTTGTCTAGTAGAGACGGCCTGGACGCGTCGTGTGGGAGCATGTTCGTTCGAGGCGAGCACTCGATGAGAGACATTCGAGATGCCTCCCGTGGCAGGTACCTCGGCTTAGGCGTGGTCTGCTCGAAAGCTGCATAGTTGCGCTGCATACGGTGGGGTGTCATGAGTTCGGAAAAGCTTTGATGACTTTCAAGGTCCTCTGTATCCGAGGGCGCCCACGCAGGCGAGTCGAAAGGTGAAGAGGTGAATGGTAGGCTCTCGGCAGGCCGATGTCTTCGTGGTGACGATGACAACATCAGCGAGCTTGCCGGGGAGGAGGGTCGATCGAAAAAGCTGTATTCGGTAGCCGTTGGCGAGGCCGGGCCACGAACATGGGTGCTCTGCTTCACCATGGGATCCTCTGGCACCTCTTCTTTTACGCGGCGCACGCACAGTGCTCGAGCAGCTTTGACAGTCGGGAGTGCTGTGAGCGCCTCGAGATAATGCTTCTCGGCATCCTCGTAGGCGGGCAGCTTCGCCACGGAATTGTGGTGCATCGTCCGGGCGACTTCGTTGTGGCAGAGGCCGAGATAGAAGTTGATGTATGCATCCTGCAGCGGATGCGGATTGTGGTCATTGGCGGTGGCTCTGAGCACGTCGCGGCAGACTTGAATGCACTGCCGGTACTTTTCCTGCAGACACAGCGCGCGGATAACACGCTGTGCATTTTGCCAGTCTCCGGGGGATGGGAGCGGCGGATCCGCCATGCTGTGCTGCTCCTCGCTGCTGCGGCTGCTGCTGCTGGTGGTGCTGCTGATGTCCACGCACCAGGCCAGAATTCCAATGCAGGCCGAGAGAGTGTTGTGTACCTGAGGTGTTGTGGTGACCAGAGATGGTTTGCAACGAGGAATGCAAGTCGAAGGCGCGGGTAGGTAGCCCAAGGCAGCCGCGACGTGTAACAATGCTAATTCTCGCCTGCTATTATTATTTGATCAGTGTGAATGAAGTAGGTGCCTGCAGGGATTGTTGACCAGAATACAACAGATCGACAGTTTCTGCGGAGACGCTCGAGGGGAGAGTGAAACGCGTCGCCCTGGATCGCGACGGGCTGAGCTGTCACTGCCGTCACTGCTTCCATGTGTTGTGTTGTGTGGTGTGCTGGCGCTGCGTTGTGCCAGCCTGGCACCTGCTGCCCGCCGTTTCGTGCGCGACGACAACGCTGCAGTGCGCGTCTTCCATTGCAAGCAGCTCCCAACGCTCATATGATGAGAGCTGATGCCTCTTTCGTCATCTTCTGTCGCGCGTTGCAACGCTCTTATGTCAACATCAATAAGGTAGGTAGGTACCTACAGGCACTGTACTGACTGACAGTAATCAAAACTTGATTAATACTAGGTAGTCAGCCTCCATCGTAATAATCATTTAGCAGATGGATGGGAGTGATGGACATTGCGCACGCCACATAAGGCGGACACCGGACAGGAATAGACTACGATGGCCATGTCTACACACAAGTCGGCGTAGATCGGCTTCTGTGCTGGAGACGGGACGGGCTGCTCCCCAGAGCTGGCATCATGCGGCATGCGTGAGAAGAATGTGAGACGACGGCAAACGGGAGAAGAAGAAGGAGAAGAAGAAGGGTCAACCGTCAACGACGTTGTGACTTGCGACGTGCGACGGTGCGAGCAGTGACCGTTCAATCTAAGTTGGGTATAGTAAGCCCCCGTAATTACCTAGAGCCTAGGACCGCTAGGTCCCGTGCCCGTGAAGACATATTTCCTTGTCTTACCGGCGCTAGACCCTCTGTTACATTATGCATACCGCTTGGCGGCTTGAGTACTGTTACTGTACAGTGTACTGAGATCAGGTAATGAGATTACAGTCGTGCTTTGGAGTACCTGAGCGATCCAGGATGCCTTCGGGCTCATCGTACATACCTACGTTATGATACATGTACCTGTCACTGTAGGACCTGTGTCCATGAAGAAGCAGACCGTAAACGACCTATTTACTGCTAAGGGGGAGTGCTTCACAATCCGACTGGGCGCAACCAAATATTAATAATCAACACATTTTTGTTATTGCGTATCATTCGCCGTACGGTGCCTACAGTATAGGTAGGAGGTAGTTGTCCTAGGAGGCACCTAGGTATTGGTGGTTCCGCACGCACCAGGTCCGCCCTACCTAGGTAGCCAATGATAGAACAATTGCCCCGAGGACGGGAAGCTTCTGAAAGCCCAGCCGCACATCATAACACTAAATTCCACACAAAACACACCCTTGACTCCTTGAGCCCTTCATTGTGGAGGACCTGGAGGGTAGGTGGTCCGATGGCTTATGTAGCGACCTTCTGAGCTTCCTCATATTCCTTCTGATCGAGCTCCTCATACCACGAAGTCTCTGCCCATCTCCATTAGCAGTCATCCCAGATCCCCCGAATGGTAGTACATTGAAGTATCTGCTGCCCACTCACTGCCAATGCTAATCGCCTGGTGCGCCATCATCGTGGTACTGGTTCCGCCGTGCCAATGCATCTCTCCACCAGGGATGTGCACCACATCTCCCACTTGCAACTTCCGGGGTGCTTGGCCCTTGGAGCAGATGAGCCCGGTACCCATCGTGACGGTGAGCACCTGGCCTCTTTCGTGCGTGTGCCAGAAAGTTCGAGCGCCTGGTGAGAAGCAGACGTTGTTGGCCAGACAATCCGATGCGCTGAAAATCGGATCCATGAGCACGTCTCCAGTGAAGGTCTCGGTGGGTTTGCGAGAGGACGTATCCTCTTTGCGTCCTGCGCGTGCGACTTGCATGGTTGCTTGCTGGTATCTCTTGATGTTTGTGCTTCCGAGAACAATGTGAGGACGTGATGTGGCTTGATGGAAGAGAGCGAGAGCGAAGGTCAGACCACCACATTCACAGTCCAATTGCTCCGCATTTTTGGAGCTGTACCGATGTCGCAAAAGCAGATACCGAGCGTCGGCGTAAAGAGCTCTTCAGCGAAGCACCAATTTCAGGAAACGTGTATCTTTTTTCAATGGTGTGTCATAATACGCTTCTGTTTCGACAAACCCTAGAGACTGGTACAGTGCTCTCGCAGATACCATGGACTCCAGTGTATCAAGCACAATGGCACTGTACCTCAGCCTGGTAGCTTCTTTGATAACACTCTCAGCTAGCAATTTGCCAACACCCAGACCGCGTCCTTGTGGTTCGACGTAAAGCCGCTTCATCTCCGAGAGGCCATCAGTACTGGACAGAGGGCGTAGACCGACGCAGCCGATGGCTTCGCCCTCTTGGTTGCGCGCCAGGAACAGAGCTCCGTCAGGCGGCGCATATTTTCCCGGCATAGATCTCAATTCAGTGCCGAAGTCTTGGAAATGCAGGTCGATGCCCAAGGATTCGGCATATTTTCTGAAGAGCACGGTTGCTGCTGCCAGGTCATCACTAGACGCGATTGGCGTGATTGTGACGCTGGCCATCATTATTGCCGCAAAACAGTACTCGATCTGGCTCCGTAAATGCAGCTGGCAAGTATCAGATCATGGAGGAAGTGATGGTGTGCTTTCTGGAGAATATCGTGGTGCGGATATGTTCTGCTGTTCTATCATTTCCGCATGCTGACTGTCAGAACTCGAGAACTCGTTCGATTTCAAGTATGGTCGTATCGATGGAGAACAGATATTTTTCTGCGAAGACGTCGGGTGTGAAGTGTGGAAATTGGACGAAGGATCGCATGACGACAATGGACACGACCCTGACTCTTGATATGAGCCACGCACAGAACTCGGAGGTATGATCGAGCCAGATGCCACGCAGAAACCGCGACGACGATCCCCAGCTCAAGTATCATGAAAGGAATTTGGAGTTGCATTTGCGGTAGACCCCATCTGGCACTGGCTGGATATGGGGATGCGAGACATACTGGAATGAGATGTATGGCTTCCACTGGACCACGAGACTGAAGCCTCCCGTGCACAGTACAGAAACCGGATTCGAAACGATTTCACTCGACAGTCCCAAAGGGTACGCCATTCTGATCTGAAGCCGAACGAAAGGCAGGTCGATCCTGATCGCGAGTTGAAGTCAATGCAATATACCAGACGCGCCTTCATCGCTCTACCTCGCTAGCATCGCATCCTGGTGGCTCTTCACTGATTTCCAGCACAACCAAGCAGCGAATGAATCTCCTCATTCCTAGGGGTTTGTTTGCATTAACCTATTCTGGGGACTTGAGTCGAATCATGATCAATCGTCAACAACCCCAATGTAGTAAACGCGAGGGTCAGGTATGTATTCTCAGCCGCACCTGAGTTGAAGGAAATGCGAGCCCGGGTGACACAGTCGTCCATTCGATCTTGATGGAAACCATGCAGAAGGACGAATTCGTCTTCTGCGAAGAACACCATTGTGGGTATAAGATCCTCCTCTCTCGTCTTGTAATTGTTTTTCTTTTTCAAACAGCCAGACAATACAATAAACCTCCTCCTCTCCTCCCTCCCTCCCTCCTCCAACCCCAGATTTCCACTCACCACCTCTCATTACGAACTCAACCACAAAAGGGGTCACCACCACTCAACTTCCACCATGACTCTCCGAAGCAACATTCCCATCCTCCTCCTCCTGGGTTTTACCTTCACAACCCTCCTCACACCAGTCACAGCAACCCACAAAGTCAACGATAAATGCACCAACAAAAAATACTTCAACACACTCGGCTGCTCGAAAAGTGAATGCCAAGTGGTACGTATCTCAACCTCATCATCATCATCATCATCATCATCGAAAAGCAACACACACAAAAAAGGGAACCCTACCTCCTCCTATAACTCACTTCCCACAATTACTAATTCATTCATTCATTAACTCACACAGCTCAAATGCGTCGAAGAACCCAACGGCAACAACGCATATTTCTGGCGAGTACAAGAAACCTGTCAAGATATGCAGTGTCAGAATGGAGCTTGTAATCCGAATTTTCCGGATTTGGATTGTTTTGCCTAAAATGGGGGAGAGAAGAGAGGGAGAGAGAGAGAGGGAGAGAGAGGGAGAGGAAGAAGAGGAAGAAGAGGAAGGAGGGATGAAGGAAGGAAGAAGAAAGATGGATGTTCTTGAATGGAGTGTGTGGTAGACGAAGAGACAAGACAAGTTCAATAACATCATGTTTAGAACCTTTCGCATTGGGTATTGATTTTTTTCTCTTCTGTTTTGTTTTTCGGTAGGTTTTTAAACAGACACCTAGAGGCTCCACGTTCAATCAGCCCATCTCTCAGTCCGTTGAATGGAATTTTTTTAATGTACTCCTCTAGGTACCTATAGCTTTTGCACCTGCCTGCTGTCTGGTATCAGTAACTATGAGATGACACTGTGCTCATATAAATCACATAGCGAGTATTCCTGATCAATGGCCTCGCCGATGAGTTGGGCTGTTGCAACGTGGTAAAGGGATGAGAATAAGCGACGCTCGATCGTGCGTTGCTATTGCTTCCATTTTTCTAGATTGGTGCTGCAGTCGCTGCGAGACTCTGATCTGCATATGTCAGCTTTGTCTGCTCGGATATACATCACAAGTGTTTGAAGATGAATCTGATATCTCTGAGCTTAGTTGGCTGCACTGATGCGATAATAGACAAAGAGCTTTTGCTATGCATGCTTTTGGCCACGGCGCCCTTTGGCAGCCGAAGGCAGCTTGATCAAGATGAATCACCTCCACGAATCACTTTGGGTTGCTGAGCCGGCACAGTTCGCGGGCACCGTGTAGGTTCTGTCAGGGTTACTCTCCCACCTCACACTCCCGTCCTGCTGCTTGCGGATGTACTTGTACTGGAAACTGGCACGAGCTGGCAATCCAACAGTCACATACCACAAGTTGTTAGTGCTTGTGTAGTTCTGAGCGCTGAGGTTGACCGCATTGGCAGTGTTCCAGCTGCCGAGCTCACTGATACTCCCGACAATGGCAACAGTCTCGAGGTAGTTGGTAGTCACAATATTCTTGAATAGTACATTTGTGCGGGTAGGAGTCGCTGAGCAAGCACCTGTGGAAGTGGCGGTAGGGGTGCTTCCTGGACGTGAGAATGTGTTTGTCGCTGCCACACAGGGACCATTCGCGGAACTGCCAGAGCATGAGTTGGGCACTTGGGCCGAATTCGCTCCCCAAGTCGATGGCACGACAGCTTTGCGGGCGCTCAGGGCAGTCAAGAAAGCGGCATATGACCATGTCAGATCAGATGCTGACAAGGGACTGCCGTTGGATCTTGAGTACTGCTCCGCCAAGGCTCCGTTCTGTGGTGTGTACTGCTGTGCGTTGGCGAAATAGCTGTCTGCATACGCCAGCACGGCATTCACGATCGACGTGAAGGTTGTTGATGAAGATGCATACGTGCCAGTGGCTGCTGCTGAGTAGATGTCCCTGAAAAAGGGTAGAGATGTGGCGGTGATCGTGATCGATCCTTGTTGACGCCACTGGTAAACGGCATAGTAAAGCTGCTCGGCAGCGGCAAAAGTGGCCAAGCTGCGTGATATCAGTCAGAAGGAGTCTTTGTCTAAAGGCAAACATCGATCGACACTTACTACCATGGATTGCCTCCCTGATACACGTCTTCCGAGTAGCGCCCCACTGCCACACCTCTGCCCTGGGCAATGCCGTTGTTGATCGTGTACACAGAGCGGAAGGAGTCTGTGACTTGCTTGTGGTTTGCCAGGGCCTTGTCCGAGCAGGGCTGATATGTCTTTGCATCACAACCAGTCGCTGGATCGAACAACTGGATGCTAGCCAAGATAGAGTTCGCATCCTTCCCGGACCGGCCACCTCCAGTGTTCGACAAGACGTACGAGCCCGTCCAGTAACTTTGTAAAGCGCACAGAATCTGCGGTGCCTGCGAGTCACAATGCGGACACGTCTTACCAATTTGGGCGGCCAGCGCGCTGCCCTCCACTAGTGAGCGATATTGTGATGCTGTCGTGAAGAACGATGCACTGCTCACTTCTTCCCAGAGATCAAAGCCGGTCTGATTCCAGTACTGCGCAACATAGGTGAGGTCGTTTGCTACGACAGGCCAGATGATATTTGCAACCTGAGAAGTCTGGCCCTTTGAAATCAAGTATCGGGCATAGGCGATCATGGCAGTCACTCTGAGTGCAGGACCGTCACGCTGAGGCCGACCCCAATCGCCAGTGAACTGGGTGCCATCGACGCCAAACTTCGGCTCCCCCAGGCCGCCGGAACAGAGGCTTCCTGAGCGGTTTGGCACAGTCTGTAGTGCCACTTGACTGTTGACATAATCTTGGATAATACCCTCGAGATTCGTCTGACCTGCAAGAAACTGGTCGACAAGGCACTTAATAGTTAATGCTGCATCTCGAGTCCAGGTGTAGAAGTAGTCGGGATTTGATTTCGAGGGCGAAGCGACTACAATCCCCGGGTTGGCGCCTTGCACCTTGTTCCCTTGTGCTCCGATATTGTTCAAGATGCCTATTAAGCAGAATAGTCAGGTGGGTGACCGTCTTTCCTGCTCGTCCTGCCGCCTGTGTGCTCACCTTGCAAAGCCACTGGACTCTCCGCAGACAGCCACGATTCCAAAGTGCCTGTTGCTCTCGGCTCGAGAGCATCTTGTGCTGGCAGACACCACACACTGCTGATGAGCGGCAGGAAAGCGTAGAAGCTCTTCATGCTGGTAGTGGCGGTGGTCGTTGCGGGTGTTTTTGGTGGATGCTGCTGGTCAGGAAAGAGGCAGCGAGCCACTCACACTATATACAGCATCGTGAGAGCCTACACAGCTTTCCTGAGGCGGTATGACTGCTCATGATCACTTGACACCCACCTCTTAGCGGGTGTTCCTGAACTAGACGATATGCTGATCCCTCGGCGCGACAGCTGAAGGTTTGCCAGGAAAGCTCTCCATAGCGTCCAGATGCCACTGGGGGGGCATGCAGTCAGTCGCCTTGGACGTGCTTTTCTCAGCTGGGAAGGTGTCGTCTGCAGCGCAGGTAGGCGATGAGACCTGGAGCGGACGATATGAGTGGTTGCGGGCAGGAAATTGGTCATGAGAACGGAGAGGGCCCTCGTTAAAGGACGTGCAATACTATTGACTTTCGGCTCCATGGGCCAGCCCGAGGTCTCATACTATAGAGCTCAGGCGCCAAGCCCCAGTGTCACTCCACAGTCGATTTCCTGTACGTACCTCCTACCACCTCCACCTACTATACACCACATCTTCACGGGCTGCTGCTGCTGCTGATGATGATGATGAACGCACGCACTCAAACACGACGTCTCTGCCCACCCGGAACAATTCAGACTGCCTCCCCCGCATGTGCTGGCATGCGTGCCCACCATGGACCATCATGCTGAGCCCATCGCGCTCTCCGATAGCTGCCGCTTGCGCCGTGAAAGTTGCCGGAAATGGAATGGCCGGATGGTCGTGGTGTGAGAGCATGCAAGAGCAAGAGACATCAGCAGCGCAATAAAACCGTACCGATGGGCAGAAGGAGCCAGTCTTGTGGAGGGGTTGCATAAACGCAAGATGGCTAGACTCCCGTGGAGCACACGATGATGCCTGGAACTGGTCTAAACTCCAGAAATCTCCTCTACCTACCTGGACTGGGTAGGGTCATGAATGGCACGGCTAGTACGGGCTTGCTCCTGCTGGCTGGTTGGCGACTTGGAATGGTACCCATACCTGACTCTTCTGGACACGCTACAGTCGAGCCTGTTTCCCTAGCCCACCCGAGCTCCTGGTCTCTGATGCGCGACGTACCTTACCCACCATCTGACAAAGTCGAGGAGCTACCTCCTAGCTGGAGTTGTTGCCGAGGCTTGATTCAAGTTGGGTTTCCGGTAATATATCATTAAAACGAGCCAACACATCGTCAGCATGACTAGGAGGTATCAAGGAGCTTGTGGGGAGAAACATGAATCATTCGATCAACACACGCTATGTAGATTGCACTCTCTCTGCGGGGTGCTTCTTACGGCATGGCGATTATACCAGGACACTCTGCGGAGTGCTCCACACGGCATGGCGACTGTACCAGAGCATTGAGGCTTGGTCGTCAACAGGGAACATCAGCTCACTCCTCTTCTGCTCTCTCCACCTCCGCTCTCTCCACCTCCGCTTTCTCCACCTCCGCTCTCTCCAACTCTGTCCTCTCCACCTCTGCTCTCTCCGCCCCTATGGCGTCATCTGCCAACCGGTGCCCTCGGTCCACCTCTTAATCAAACTTGTTGTCTCTCCCACAGCTTCTTCGATTCCAGCGTAGCTTGCAATGGCGCGATCGCAGCTGTATATACCGAAGCTCTTTACGCAGTTAGAGGAGACCCTCAAAGCCTGGACCTTTGGATCTATTCTCGAACTTCGAAGTATAGTGTGGAAGTCCTGGCTAGTTTGTCCGGCTTTCCGCTGCATGTACAGCTTGATGTGGACACTGCTGGCCTGGCCACACATCTCCATCACCGTTCCGACCATGTTCACATGATCTCTCAGATCATGGTGCCTCCAGTCCACGGTGCAGGAGAGGTTGATGTCGAGCTGCTGAACTTTCGCTGAATGGCGAAGGAAAAATTCTGGAAACTCTGGCACGCCGAAGTCGGTCTTGATGCCATGATCCGTTAAGATCAGCTTCGGGGGAGATGCGGCACGACGATTGATGGTCTCTTGCAATTCACTCGCGAATTGCTTGCTGAGTCGCAGCACTGGCGGATACACCAGGTTCTCGATTGCAAAGTTGTAACCCCCATCTGGCGACGAGTGCGTCAGAACGTCGGCGGCAATCTCTGCATAGACCAGGTCTCTCAGCTCGCGGGCCAGAGCGAAGAAAGGGAAAGGCTCGATGGTGGTGGGCGTAGCTCGGCTTCTTCGAAACTTCTTTTCCAGCTTGTCACCAGACTCCGCGAGACGCCGCAACCCAGCTCCCAATGCCATATCGTGCTGTCGAGGGTTTTGTAGGCGTGCGATAGGTACAGTGGTGTGTCATGCACAGTCCATCGGGGAAGGGCGCAACTGGTTGGCGAAGTCCAATACTGATTCCGCTACAAAGGTATACTAGAAGACTGTATCTTATAGTATACCCTTGTGCGTACGGTGATTTCACTCATACGCGAAGTCACGTACAACTAACTAGACGAAATTCTCGAGGGGTGCACAGTTTACAGTGAAGCGCAGCATTCGCCAAGACCAGCTCCTAGAGTGGCCAATCAGCAGAGGAGCTCATCGCCACGACTCGTCTTTAATGATAAGAGTCAGCAATATTGGTCTGCTGTAAAGGAGCCCTAGAAGACTGCAGCTTATAGTGAAAGCCCAAGCGTACGGCAATTTCACTCGTACGTACAACCCCGCGGGAGCGACTCTAGGAAATTCTCGGGGGTATGCGAAGTGCGCAACAGCATTTACCAAGACCAGCTCCTTGAGCGCCTTAGGTAGGCAAACCGTATAGGAGTGTATTCTGACAACTTGAATCCAAGACAGGTAACAATCTTGATATCGGACGCATTAGTTCGCAAGTCCGCTATACAATGCTGTAACGAGTATATAGTCCTTTCTCTTTCTTTTTTCTTTTCTTTTTTCTCTTTTTGCTTTCTATTTTTCTTTTTTTTTTCAAGATTCGTATATCCAAATCTGAAAAAACCTTAGTCTTGTACTATATATTGCAAATATACTCTTCGGAAGAGCGCGAGTGCGTACGCGTATACGTATACTCGTAGAAGAAGAAGAAGAAGAAGAAGAAGAAGAAGAAGAAGAAGAAGAAGAAGGAAGAGGAAAAGGAAAAGGAAAAGGAAAAGGAAAAGGAAAAGGAAAAGATAAAAGGAAGAGTAAATAAAAGAGTAAAAGAGCCTAAACAAAAAACAGAGAGAAAGAGAGGACGAAGAGATCAATGTAGAGAAAACATGTATATAAACAAAACATCCATATAGTTACCTTAGTTCTCCTCCTCCTCCTTCTCCTCCTCCTCCTCCTCCTCCTTCTACCAAAAAATAAAATACAATTCTAGAAAGATCCCGACTTTTCTTTCGATACATCGATACATCGATACATTCTAGAATTCAATATATCTAGATACATCCAGATACACAGAGAAAAGTGAAAGAAAAAGAAAAAAACCTCAAGTAAATCAATCTGAATACTTCACTTACTTCAATTTTACTCTAATCACTTTACTCACATTCACTCTGATGGAAAGTTTTTCTCTCTACTCTATCAAAGCACGTACCGAGTTTGGGGAATCATCCTCTCCCCTTTCCCCTTGTCCCCCGTCCCCCGTCCCTTCCCCGTCTCCCTTGGACCCTTGCTAGTGAACTGACGGAGACTGTTCTGCTGCCGTGGAAGAATGCTGGGGAAACTATCATGAAACAACGGAATGTTCCATGGTCTTCATCTCATCAAGAGTCTCGACCAGCGAGACCTTCCAGGGGGGAAATAAGAGTGAGAACAGAACCAAAAACAAAAGAAGAAATGAGCACGTGGTTCGGGTGTGAATCTTGGTTCGTACTATGTACACAAAGTGGGTTGATGCATGTGTCCTCTGATATGTGAGGACACATGAATATATCGAAGCGCAGACTCGCAGATCAAGCATCTGACAATGAGAAACATTGGTCTTGTGGCACACATGCCTGGTATAATCGTCCTTTTTTTTCCATCATTCTCTCCTTCACCGTGTATTCATGCAAGTACACGTGGTTCTCATCTCCCTCCCTCCCTCTCTCGATGCTGACCCGCAGATTCTTGCACCTCCGGTTCGACTCAATTCCATCCCAAGCTGTTCTCCGCCATGACAGGAGCGCTAATCACTTGATCCCGTACGCTGCGGTTGTTGTTGCTGCTACCGGCGCTGTTTCTGCTTCCTCTGCCACCACTCCCACTTCGGATACCGCTCCCTCTCGAAGAGCCGGAGCCCCGAGCACCATTGGCGCCCGACATGAAGTAGCCGCCCATGCCACCTGTTAGCGTTCCAGGGGTTCCGGGTGATCTTTGGCTCATTTCACCATGCGTGCCAATCGAGCTAGTGCGCCTGTGAGATTTCTTCTTGTTCCGGTAGCGGCGGGCAACATAAACCATGGCAGCGGCGTATACTGCCGCGCCACAAACAGCTCCCACTCCGATGCCCACGGTACTACCCTTGATCTTTTGTGAGCTTCCAGAGTCGCCGCCGATAGGTGCACCGTCACCGGCCGTTCCCGACGATGTGTCGGGAGGGTTGTACGCGTTGGATGTGCCCGTGTTATCGTCCAAGTTCGCGCCTGGGAGAATGGGAATGGTAGGGTTGATCATGTTCATGAGCATGCGTACAGCATCATCCGGACAGCTGTAGGCCTTCGAGACGGGAGTGTGGAGGTCCATTTGTAATTGGTCGACGAGATCGCCCGGAATGTATGCCTGCGCGAGGGTGGTAATGTAGTTCAACGTCTTGGTGGTATCATATGGCATCAAGCCGTTCATGACGACTTTGTCGGCCGTGATGCCCAGCGCATAGGCGATTCCTTGGGGAAGGTAGGTAAAGATCTGATTTGCAGAGTTCTCCGTACTGACCACAAAGGGGTAGTTGAGTCCGTAATTGAAGCCCACCTGGATCAGAGTGGCGTTGCTGGGAGGAGCAGGCATACCGCCCGGTGGCTGAACCAAACGAGGCATGGCAGTAGGAAGGCCACTGGATACCGTCGAGCTCGTCCGATCCACGGGCGCGGTAGTCGAGGTCGTCGTCGGGGGAGGCGTGGTCGTGGGTGCAAACACCATAGAAGTCGGTATGCTCATGGTCGTTTCCGAGTTGGTCGCTGTGGGTACAATGGATGTCGGCGGCTCCGTCGTGGTCTCAGTGGTGGACGGGGGAAGGGTCTCACTTGCAGTCGTCTCCGTGGTCGAGCTGGCCGCCGTCTCAGTGGTCGTAGAGAGTTCTTCAGTGGTCGTGGCAGGTGCATATGTGAATGGTGCGCTGGTGAAAGTACTAGTAGTAGTACTCGTAGAGGAGTTCAACAAGGTGGGGATCGCTGTCGAAGGCACAGTGGACACGTTCGATGCGCCCGTAGTCATCGACGGAAACACAGAGCTGGAGCTGTCGCTGAGCGTGGTCAGAGTGCCGGTCGTCAGTGACATGGACGTCGAGGATGAATCGGTGGTGGTGGTGGCGGTGGTGATGATGATGGACATATTGCCCGTAGACGTGGCGCTCGCGGTGGTATCTGTCGGAAGTGGTACCGGCACGACCGTGATTCCCGATGAGCCCGTCACGGTGGTCAACGTGAACGAGGCCGTGGATGATGACGTGCTGACCGATTCCGTGGTCGTCGCATTGACCGATGCCATCGTGGTGGCGCTGACAGATTCCGTGGTCGTCGCGCTGACCGATGCTGTGGTGGTCGAGACATCTGTCAAAGAAGCAGTGCTCGAGGATGTCACAGACGAGTCGGTGGTGATGGGCACCGTCCCGTTTCCGGTTCCGGATGGAGCAGAGGAGGTCAAGGTCGAAGAAGAAGAAATGTCAGTGGCGAGTGTGGTTGTGGAACTGGATGCAGTCGTGCTGGGGACCGGGCCACCGTAGGTATCATTGCCCTGTGTGGAGCTCGTCGTGGTCGGCGTGTAGCCCGTCCCTGTACTGGAGACGGAAGCAGGGGGCAAAATGCCTCCCAAGAGACCGCCTCCATCGGTCGTGCTCGACGGCGTGGGAGTCGAAGTGGGAATTTCGCTCGTGAACGTGGTGGACAGTCCCACAAAGATGATGGGCGTGGAGGAGACGGTGGTGTTCGGGGGAGGAGCGTATCCCGGGCTGCTGTCATTCGAAGGGCTCCCTGGGGGTGCAGGCGGTGGGACCTGCTCGGGCACGTAACCTTCGCCTGAACCACTCTGCGGTGGCGGGGGCTCCGACGCATCCGAGGTGTTGTTGGGAGCTGGCGCGACGGGGGTCGATGGAGTGGTGGGATTCAAGATACCTCCCACGAGTCCTCCCGTGCCCAGTAAACCATTGTCTGTGGTGGTGGAAGTTGTCGATGAGCTGTCGTTCGGGGTCGGGGGGACCGTGGGCTGGACTTCCGTCTGTGGTGGAGGTCCCGTCGATGCGCCATCATCGTACGTGGACGAACCGCTCGAGGTCGTGGTGCCGCTCTGATCCACAGTAGATGAGTCTGTTGTTGTTGATGTCGTGGTCGATCCCGGATCCGAGCTGGTGGATCCTTCTGTTCCACTGTACGTAGTCTGATCCGAGGGATCGCTCGATGTGGTGGTCACAGAAGTCGTGAGCGGTGAGTCCGTGGTGGATTGTGTATCGCCTGTGGTATTGGGGGCATCGCCCGTGATGGAGCTCGAGCTCGAGCTCGAACTGGAGCTGGTGTCGCCGCCCAATGCAGCGACGATGCTCGCATAGAGCGATGATCCGGAGTTCGACTGGCCTGGGTTCGGAGTGGTGTTGGTTGTCGTTGTCGAGGTTGATCCATCGTAGTTGGTGTTGGAGTTTTGAGGTTCCACTATGGAAGTCAAGTTGGGCCACTGTCGTTTGACATGCTTGGGATAGTAGTATCTGGGTGGTGACTGTTCCTGTTTCGGTTGCAGTCCAGCGGGCACAGCCTCCGCAATAGCAACAGACGCCTGCAGGGAGAGGACCGCGAGGGTGGCGGCGGCCCATGATGGGGTCGTCTTCATGATGCAGAGAATATTAATGTTTGCAGAAGCAATTGGTGTGAAGTTAAAATGAAATGATGTGCGGAAATGTAGATCTGGCGCACGTCAGTTCCTCTCCCACGGGCGCGCGCGCGCGCGCGACGCAATGTTTATGTCCTGCGTACCGTCTGAAGGTGGTGCTTAAACGAGTGTACGTGACGACTGTCACTGGAAGTAAAAGCTCGCTTAGACCACCAAAACGATCCAGGTGAATGGGTGGGTGGGTGTGTGCGTGTGGGCGTGTATCAGTTGGCAGATTCAAAACATTCTTCTGATGGCTCCTCGAAAATGAGTGTCGGTAGTTGGGAGTATCGAGCGCAATAATGGCAAAGGCAACAGTGAGCAGGCGGGTTTTTCGCAAGTGTCCCGGCCAAGTGCGTGCGACTCTGCGACCCAACCCTCTTGCAATGGTCTCAAAGAAGGCACGTGGCACGTGTAATCTTGCGAACAAAGACGGCGTTTCTTTGAGCGGGTACTATTCGTGGGCAGCGCCGTCAAGGTGCTTTGCGGGTGGTGTGGCGGGTGAGGGTGCTCGATGGGGTTGCTGCGACGGGGCGGACAATGGACGTGTGCGGGTCGGTGCACTCGGTCTCGGTCGCAGGTTGACAGTAGTGTGTTGTTCGGGAAGCAACAGGAAGGGTGGTGGAATGGAAGATTACAAGGCCGTAAGTTCAGAAAGTCGTAAGTCAGCAGGCAGGCAGGCAGGCAGGCAGTTGGTCCAAAGAGTGTGGGCGCTGGGCAGCGGGAAAACGTGGTAGGTCGGTAGGTTGGTGTTGGTAGGTCAGGTAGGTAAGTTTAGGTAGGTAGCGATTGGAGAGGTGGAGGGCGATGTGGAAGGTTGGCGACGACGGCGTGGGTTGACAATCGCACTGTCGGCCGTCCGCACGCGGTGGCCAGTACTGCCGGTCGGGGGGTGGGGGGTGGTGGTGCAGGCGGTGGTGGTGGTGAGGTGGAAGGTGGTCAACACGGGTCGTAGTAATGGTAGAGGACGACGACAGGCAGGGCAGGCAGAGCGAGCGAGCAGCAGCAGCAAGTCAGCAAGCCAGTGCGTGCAGCAAGCGAGCAAGCAAGCACACAGCAAAGCAAAGCGACTCAGGTTGACGGAAGCGGGCGCGGCCGCGGCGCCAGTGCTGATTGCTGCCGAGCTGTGATTCGGGGAAGTGTGAATCCACTAGTGGGGGGGAACAGGGCACGGATCCAGGTACCTGACAGCCTACAGCAGGATCTAAGCCAGGGCACGATACTTTCGGCGGCACTGCCCGGGCACGTGTGAGAAGAAAATCAGGCGCAGTCGACTGTAGTCTGTCGTGAGGCAACAGCAGGGGAGGGAAGGTAGGGCAGGGTAAGGTAAGGCAGGTGCAGCAGTGTGTCTGGTCGTGCCTGCCTGCTGTCTCAAGATTCTCCGTTATTGTGGAGTAGTTACGCGTGTGATCTATGAGCAGACGCAGCAGAGAGAGAAGGCAGGAGCAGGCACTGGCACACACTCTAGACAGGGAAGGCAGGGCGGACAGGGTTGTGGAAGAAGGAGAAAGGAAGGCGCGCGATCAGAAACTCGTGCCGCAGATGGGCCAGAGGGAGAGATTGCGTTCTGCTGTAGCCGACACTTGGCTTACACTGCCCTGTCTCTCTCTGTCTCTCTCTCTTTCCCTCTGCCGCTCTCTCTTCTTCTCTGTTCCTTCTTTACCACGCGTCTCACTGCGCACTGGGCAGACTCTGGGCGCGCCTTTTTTCTTTTTCCTTTTTCCTTTTTCCCTTTTCCCTTTTCCTTGTCAACCACCACCACCACGTGACCACCACCCTCTCCTCTCTTCTCCCACCCCAATCCCCCTACCCACCTACCTCTGCCCCCCCTCTCTCAACGGCTTACTTCGTAATCGAGTAGTACTAGTAGTACTAGTACTAGTAACCTGCAACACACCAGAGTCCAGACGAGAAAAAAGAAATTTGAGCACAAAATCATCACACACACCTAGCACCAAGTAGGTAAGGTAGGTAGTAAAAAAGAACCTCACAGTCTCTCCCCTCGTCTTCCCGTTGCAGAAGTAAAAAAATCAAAAAAGGGTAGGAGGGTAGTAGTAGTAGTCTAGAACGCATTGAACCAGGATTTCCGACTTTCAGTTTTTCCTTTTTAAAATTAAAGGGCCTGCCCAGTGCCCCGGGGGACACGCCACATGCGCAAAAAACGTTGCTGCAACGATTTTCTCACACGTCTCTCTTCAAACTTAGCTGGCACGGAGAAGAGGACGAGATGAGACGAGATGAGATGAGAGGAGAGGAATGTCACGAGACGAGGTGGGGCGAGGTGTGTGTGAGAGAGAAGTGGAACACAGGGCAGTAGGTCGATGACATTGATGGCGGGAACCAAACAGCCCCATTCCTACCTGGGTCCTGAGGTATCTATCTATAACTGAGTACTTTAGTAAGCAGTAAGCCTCAGGTAAGTAAGGTAAGGTAAGGCACAAGTAAAACCGTAAGACGACGACGACGACGACGACGCTTGTTCAATCCGTTGACTTCGCTTGGAGGTATCTCACTTTGTGTAGTAAAGATTTTCCACTACCTCAAACAAGACTAGTGTCCGTATATGTACTTCCCGTCCATTCCCTCCATCCCTTCGGCATATGTAAGGCACGTCAAGCGCATGTAAGGATGTTCTATCCCATCCCATTCCTCGCATTCCTCTATCTATTCTCGAGAGCCTTCCATTGGTAGAGGACGGACGACGCGTCAGCTCCAAGGCGGATTACTAACCGAGAGAAAGAGAGAGAGAGAGAGAGAGAGAGAAAGAGAGAGCCTTGCAGCCTTACCTACCTTACTCTTTGGTATTAGCAGCCTGAGGTTGTTTGTTTCTACCTATAGGTACCTGACTCTACCTGTCTACAGTCTTACCTTACTAGGAACCTTACTACTACATATACTGTCTGGTATGTACTTTCTATCTACTACCTACCTATCTCAGGTAGGTATCTGTATAGGTCTAGCTGGCTATCGATAACTTCCCCTCCCCTCTCCTCACCTCTCCTCGCCCCGTCGCCCGTTGCACGAACCCGTCGTTGCACCTACATAACCCGTCGTACATAACCCGTCGCACAGCAGAATGTTGTTGTTGTTTGTTGTTGTTGGTTTTTGCTGCAACGACCAGGATAGATATGTGCCATGCTCGCTCTTCTTACCTGCAGTTTGTTGTACTTGAATGCCTAAAGTAGAAGTATATCTACCTAAACTGTACTTAAAGTACTGTATACCTTATATATACACTTGTACTTAGAAGGGTAATCTGGTCAGGGTATATATAGTAAGTCTCGACGACGAGAAGGAGGCAGTAGTAGGTAGTAGGTAGTAAGCAGTATTGTCTAGCAAATAGTAATTTTGTCTAGCAAGTAGTAGTTTTATCTAGTAGTAACCACCAGGTTCATAGTTCTGCAGTAAGTCATTCCCACTACCCATATCTATGCCCAACTCCACGCTCAAAAACGGATACGAGATATATCCATCCCCAATCATGTCTTGATCTTTCCCATATGTACAAGTGTGGTTGTAATCATCTCATCCTCTGCTCTCCCCTCTCCCCTCTCCTCTCTCCCTCAATGTATTGCTGCTTTACTCCGCCTTCTTCGAAGACTTGGTCCTCAACTTCATCAATGCATACACACAAGCATACGAACTAAACGCAAACAACGCCACAATCCCCGCATCTCTCCATCCATAAATGTAATCATTCAAGTTCAACGTCCTCAAGTAGTCCGATCCGCGTCCATACTGGCACACCCGACATCCGCTCGTCGCATCCGGGTTCAACAGATTGTTCCGCAAGCCAGGACCTGCGAGGTAGTCGGCCAAGTAACTCTGACATGTTTGGCCGGCGTTGGGCGTGTCGAAGATGGCGAGTTCCGAAGTCTTGCATTCGACGTTTTCGTCAAAGAGCGTGAAGACGAGCATGGATCCCATGAGGTAGTTGAATGGGTTGAGGTAGTAGAGCCAGTAGCGCCAGAACGGTTGAATTTGTTGGTACGGCACGAGGACACCGCAGAAGGAGACGAGCGTTCCGATGAGGAGGGGGTTGACGAGGGAGGCGAAGACGGCATTGGGCGCGTAGGCAGCGACGGCTTGGCCGATACCCGTGTAGATGAACTCGTAGAAGAGCATGACGAAGAAGACTGCACCGGCTTTGTTGCTGTCGGTGGGGAAGCCCACCGTGTAGTACCAACAGACAAAGTACAGGACGGCACAGACGCAGAGGTACGGAATCTCACTGACCACCAACCCAGTGACGAAAGCGGCCCAGTGGTACATTTTGCTCTTCTTTTCACGCGCTTCATACAAGTCACGACGCTCCAAGAAGAGAGGTTGCAGCTGTGCCATGACACCGGGTGCCACGAAGATGAAGTTGAAGATGGTGAAGAGAGACAATTGGAGATCTTGCACGCCACTGCCAATCATCCAAAAGGTGAAGCCGTTGAACAAAGCGCTGAAGGTGTGCAGGGCGAGCTTGTTGTTGGCGTAGTCCGTGTTGCGATAGAGTGCGATGTTCATGCGGTTGGAGACGATCTTGATTTGTTCCCAGAGCGGCATGGCAAACTCGTGGCCGTCGTCGAGTGTTCCCGGTGGCTTGTTGGCGGCGTCATCGATGATGTGGTCGAGCTCGGTGCACATGGCCGAGTACTCGGGGCTGTTGAGCCAGACCTCGTTCCAGTTCTTGTCCTTGCTGATGCTGCCGGAAACGACGTCAATCATGTGCTCGGCGGGATTTGCGTTGGGTGGGCATGCGGCGCCGTTACGGCCAAAGTACTCCTTGATGGTGGAACCATTGTCTCCAATGTCGCCAAAGTATACAGTCTTGCCGCCCCTTGCGAGGAGGAGAAGCGTGTCGAACTGAGCGAAGAGGGCGGCAGAAGGCTGATGGATGGTGACCAGCACGGCTTGACCCACATCTGCGAGCTTCCGGAGGAAACGGACAATGTTGAACGCGGCTTGACCATCGAGACCAGAGGTAGGCTCGTCGAGGAAGATGAGGATGCTAGGTTTCGAGACCAGTTCGACACCAATGGTGAGACGCTTGCGCTGCTCGACCGACAGACCGGCGTGTGTGGTTCCAATCAAAGTGTTTTCAATGTCGTGCATTTCCAACAAGTCGATAATAGTGTCCACGTATCGAAGCTTCTCGGCGCGAGGAATCTCTCTGCTTTGACGAAGCAGAGCAGAGAACTCGAGAGCCTCGCGAACGGTGGCCAGAGGCTCGTGGATGTCGAGCTGTTCACAGTAGCCGGCAGAACGTTGGAACGAGATGGGCAACTCACGTCCATCGACCAGAATACTACCTTTGATGGTACCGTCAGTCTTACGTTGTGCGAGCACGTCCAGAAGTGTAGTCTTGCCAGCGCCAGAGGATCCCATGAGAGCACCAAGCATGCCTGGCTTGACCCAACCTTGGACATTATCGAGCAGTATGCGAGGGCCAGAGGGCGTTTTCACCGTGTACGTGAGGTTCTTCCAAGTAAAGACAGAAGTGTTACGGACGAGTTGGTCGTCAACATTGTCCGCATGCCCTTTCTCAGATGGATTGCCGACGGCGGCCTTTTCACCCATGTTCATCTCCTCGTCATTGACGAGGTGCATGGCACTCTTTTGCTTCTCACGTGGGATGACCAAGAATCCGGAGTTGCCAGATGACATGGACCAGTTGCTGGTGGAGTAGATGGTCAATCCAACAAAGAGAGCCCAAAACGCCCAGATAATGCCAAAGTTGCGCCAAATGTGCGAACTCTTATACGAGAGACCGTTAAGGTACTGTTCACCAGTGACAAAAGACGCGCCAAGGGTAGCACCGCGCACGCCTGTACATGCCGCGTAGTTTGTATCCGTATAGCCTGGACCAAAAGGAACCAGATTTGGCGCAACGCAAGGAATGATAGTGTTCTTGAACTCGATTCCCAACAGCGCCTCAAAGCCATAACTGAGAGGGTTGATCCAGTAAATCCAGACGAACCACGGGTGCATGTCGGGTTTCGGAATCATGTAGCCCACATACATGATGAGAGCACTGACAGCGAAACCAGACGCCTTGGAAGCGTCATCGAAAGTCGGGAAGGCAGCACCGCACCATCGGAAGAAGGCAGTCATAGTCATAGCCGATGCGTAACAGATGACCCAGTAGCTGAAGAATGCAGATGCGGTGTCTTTGAGTCCCACCATGAAGTAGAGCGGCAAGGAGAAAAATGTCACTTGCAAGATTAATATCGGAATGTCTGCAGTGATCTGAGCGAGACAGAAGGCAGCCGGGTGGTAGAAAGCAAAACTGCGATGTTTTGCGAGCACGGGCCGAGCGGAAAAGGAGTCTGTCACTTCGGACATGGCGAGGAGGGAGTTGTACAGGAGCGAGAAGAAGAGAGCGCCACCTTTGGTGAACAGACCGGCCGAGTTATTAGGTGCCATGTAGAAGAGAGATCCGGCGATGAGAGCTTGGATGATGGTAGAGCCTTGCTTGATGAAGAACGTGGGCTTATCACCCCAGAGCAGTTGGTATTGGCGAATGACAGCAGACTTGGTCTGGACCAAGAGGTCCACGGTCAGAGGAGATTTCTTGCCGAGACTGGGAGCCTTCTCGGATTGCACTCCTTCTTTGAAATCTGCTGTGTTGTTGATCGCTTCTTGTGATGTGGGATAAGCGTACTCTTTCTCCATCTGAGCCCGAATGGGGGTTTGGTCATACTGGGCACGAATCTCGTCGGCAGTACGAGGACAGCGGTCCTCGAATCCCGGCTTGATCTTACGCTCCGTGGGGACGGTCACACCAGTGAGGTAGTCGGCGACATTGGCACCTTCGGCACACAGAAATCCCATTTCCTCCATGAATGGCTTTGCTTGTGGAAGTGGTCCGTAGAAGATCTCCTTGCCCTCATCGAGGATCAACACCTTGTCGAAGAGATCGTAGATGCCGTTACCAGCCTGGTAGAGAGTGATGATAGAGCTGAGGCCGATGACATCGGTCAGGGCCCGAATGCATCGCGTGTACTCCAGAGCGGTACTCGCGTCGAGACCTCGTGTGCTGTTATCCCAGCAGAAGACCGAGCCTCGCGTCGCCAACGTCTCGATGATGGACACTCGCTTCCTCTCACCACCAGAAACGCCACGAACATATTCGTTGCCCACTTTGGTATCGTGCGTGTGTTCGATTCCCATTGATGCTAGCAAGAACTCTCGTTGGGCGTGCTGGAACTCGATATGGTCCTTGGAAGTGGACGGCAACTTGTGTGGAATCTTCATACGGGTGGCGAAATCCATGGTTTGACCCACCGTCAGCGTGGGGAAGAAGAGTTCTTCTTCCGTGTTCATGACAATCTGGCCACGGTATTGCTCTGCCTGCTTGTGATCCATGGCCCCGAACATGACATCGCCGCTGACCTCGGCATATCCCGCCCGCTTATTCGCGAGGATCTTCAGCAAACTCGTGCATCCAGCACCGGGTCGTCCCAGAACGAGGAGCATCTCTCCGGGCTTGACACAACCATGGCTGTTATCGATGATGGTCTTGAGGGGAGCCTTTTGCCGCTTCTCGGCAATGATTCTGGGGATGTTGAACTGCGAGAACACGTTCTCATTGAAAGCTGCATCGGCACCGATGCCCTTGACGGTGAGGTTGTTCCAGGTGACGCCCAGTTTCCGGTCTTTGCTGCCATCGGCGTGCGTTTGTTGAGCCATCACTTTCACTTCGTCCATGAGTTTCCAGTCGTTGGCTTTGCTGATCGATTCATCGCTGCTCTCATCACTGTCCGCATAATCGGACTCCTTGCGGGCATTGCCACTGAATGTCCGCGAGATGGCATTGCTCACGGTCCGGTAAATGTCCTCCCCATAGCCGCTCACAGCTCCGGGCGAGGACCACGAGCCCGATTGTTGGACCGATGACATCGTGGTTGGAGTTCCGATACGATCCGAATATGATCAGAACCACCCGATGGCACGTGAATTGCAACTGGCGAGGTGAGAGTGAATGAACGGAAGGGGAAGGGTGAGCATTGAGAGGGCACGAAGGCTTGTATATCTCCCCAGTACGAGCCACGAGCCAGCTGCATGCACCGTACTAGGCTACTAGGGCGGAATTGACTAATCGCGATACTGGCCCAAGCGTCCTGGAAAGTAGTTGTTACCATGGTCCGACTCCCAACGTTCCACAACCTTTTTTCTCGCAAAATGCTAGGGCCGGAAAGGCGACGATGACGTCCACAAGTCATTGTTGTCCACAGAGAGTGCAGCTCTTTGTTTTGACCAGGCCACTGGCACTTTGTACGAGTCCTACCACCCCTCTACAAGTCTCCATGTAGGAGCTACCTACCTACGATCATCCTCCCGCCGTCCACTTTAGCTTGAGACTGTGTTTCTAGCGACATCAGCAACATTCATCACATCACATTCCACTCCCCCACTGGCGGTGCGTTCGTGTGTTTTTGGTGCCTACCGGAGACCCGGTCTTCACCATCTTCCCACCGTCAATTTTAGCCGACGGCGATCGACATTTGATGATACTTGATGCGGCGCGCGAGTTTCTGGGTGGCGTTGGAATGTCGGTCGTCGGCGTTCAGAAGGTCCTTTGGCCGACCTGTCGTGTAACTATGGCCTTGTTTAGCGGCCGTTCGCGATAGTACCGAACCTCCGACCGGACCCATCTGCCATGAGCAAGTTGTGGACTACCGAATGCGGGATGGACGGTGAGAGAGGCTGAAACGTGCAGTCGTGTATGTGAGGTATGTGTGGGTGTGTGTGTGCTTGGCGGAGGTTGTAGTGGAGGTCGGAAGAGGAAGCACTTCCTTCCCGAGAAGTCCATGGGAGAAGATGGAAGAACATGGAAGAACATGGATGATGATGCAGTCCACAACAACCTAAGCGACAACGTACTAGACTGTCTGACTGTAAGGTGTAGTGAACAAACCAACATGGGTCGTGGCGTCCAAGCCGCACGACCCGCTGTGTGCTGACGAACGGACATTAGGGCTTCTCGGATCACCGCAACGCAGCGCGTGGGCCAGCCAGTGGTACCTCGCAGCTGTGTTGGCTGTATCAGTATATGGACGAAAGATTCTAGATGTTTTCTGACTAAACGCGACACAGATCACCCACCGTGCCTCACTACCTCCTCCTATGATAGTTATTCCCCCTCTCCCCTCTCGTATTTACACTTCTTGCTTGCGCGAGTTGGGAATGCATCTAGATCACTAGCACACGTCTGCCACTCGTATCCACCAGACACGGACGGCAGAATAGAAACACAATAGGACGAGGTAATCACATTATCTCCTACTCGATCCACAGCCTCAGTCAGTGTCTGTCAGTCATCGCTCATTATACTACTCGGACCCTCTCTGTATCCACTATCCACTGGACTACTGCCATCCAATCGGTCGCGGATCTCCCCGTACTCGTGCAGGATCTGCCGTCGCTAAAGCAGATGAGATTTCTACTGTATAAGGCGCATACATCCCTTGCCCCTTAGGGCTCACTGCCACTCTTCCGACGATAGCCTCCGAAGCCAGGTTCCCAGCTCCTCCCTCCAATGAGATCAGATTCTGTACCCAGTCTGCTATTGCAGTAGTAGTCCCAGTAGTAAGCAGAGGTGAGACGTAAGATTACCTATCATCATCATCATCATCATCATCATCACTATCATCGTCGTCATTATTATCGTAGACGAACACGACCTATCCCAGCGACAAGTAAACAAATCGCGAAATACAGTACAGTACAGTATACAGTACAACATCTGTCCTAGGAGGCAGTATACCTCCTACGCGCGTGAAACCCTCGAGTCGACCTCTCGCTAATCTCCATTCTGATTCGCTTAAAAGCAAAAAGCAAAAACTCCAGGACAAAAAAAGAAAAGAAAAACTTAAACAGGTGATGAGGTGAAGACGTCCACAAAATCCACACAGGGTCAGTCAGTCGTACCGCACGCAGACACACACAAGTGCAAGTAGGAGGTACCCACATGTACCAACAAGAGTCAGCCGTGAAGAAAAGCCTAACTTCCAGCTCACGACACCCAATCAAAAACACAAGAGGGGTCTTTTTTTGTTTTTGACAAGGTCAGGAACATTGGTACCTTCTACCTCCTACAGCACCTCCCACAGCACCTCCTACAGTAGGAGAGGAGGCACATGTACCTCTGAAGCTTTTGCGCTGATTCCTACCCTGATAGGAAACATACAACACAATAAACTTCCAAGCCAACTTTTCCAATGATATCTCCTGGAGGTACATCAACATCTCATCTCCGAGTCATATATAACCTCTCTCGCGCGAGTGGCGGGTATACCGTGTACCTGTAGGTATTTGTGATGATGATACATACCTGGTACCTACCCACCTGTACCTACCTCAAGCAGGGAGGGACGTCGAGAGACATACTATCTTCAAACTTGACCTGAGCTTATTAGCTTTTAGCTATTAGGTTCGCGAAGTAGTAGCAGCAGTACCTCCGTAGAAGCAGTAGTACACAGTCCTTCCACAGCCGTTCGATAGTCTATCCGCACCTTGAAAATTACCCAAGAGGTATAAGTTCCCGCGTTTTAGGTGCAGAATACCTGGCGAGGATCAAGAAAGTGGAGTTATTGCACCTTGCAAGCGGCGAAATAAAGGTATTTCACGATTTTGACCCCGGTAAGAATCAAAAAACACGTCCTCCTATACGCTGGACAGGGGTGTGCGGATGGACTATCGAACGGCTGTGGAAGGACTGTGTAGTAGTAGCAAGGTAGGAAGTAGGAAGTAGAGTAGGCACCGGACTAACAGGTAACTAAAGGTAATAGACAAGACTGACAGATTCGGTACCTGTAAACACAACAGCACAACCAAGGGTCAAAATGCTGAAATACGGGAAGAAAACAAACAAACAAATAAACAAACGAACGAACAGTTTGTTTGATACTATAGATAGAGATAAAAAAAAACGATAGAACACCTACCGTACCTTACCTATAGATAGATATAGAAATCTCAGTTACGGTGTAGATTGAGAGCTAATTGAATCAGTGGTATGTTAGTATGTAGCCAGCCAGCCAGCGGCTGCCGGCAGCTGTGAGCGGCATGAGCGACCTCCTGTACCTGTATCTAGGTATCACGGGGTCAAGGTCAGACAGTTGACTACCTATGTGCGCTACCAGGTAAGGTAAGGCAAGGCAAGGAGAATTACCTACCTCCTAGTACCTAAGGTACATGTATAAGACGACGAAGCACTAAGAAGTAAAGTACATGTAGCCGCTCATGCTCGTAAGTACTCCGCAGCAAGCACTTTCATGTGACCAACAAACATCCAGAATTGATCCCATTACCTAAGGTACTCTTCTTCTATTGCAGGATATATGAGAGCTTCACTACCTACTCTGTCTTCCCACTCTTTCCCGCCCCCCTTCGTTCTCTACTGACAGCGCCACCACCGGCCATGCTATCAAAGTAGCTCGTAGCAGTCGTGCCATGTCTGCTCAGTTGCTCATGATCTACACTTCCTTGACGACCTCGACCCTCCTCCTCGTCCTCATCGTCACCCCCAAGTTCAAACTCATTAGTCATTTCAATCAAATCACCAATCCCTCCAGCGCCTCTTCCAGGCGTGCCAGCTGCCGCCCGCGCATCCGGCGAACGCCCTCCAGGAGGGATGACGGATTTGCTGGCCAGCCTTCGTACCCAAGATTCGATTGATCCACCGATATCCTGCAAATGTAGCCCACCAGAACTACTACTGCCGCCCCCGTGAGGATAGGCTGGAGTGACAGCACCAGAGCCGAGAGGGGTGGATTCATCGGCGTAGAAAGGAAGGCTCGGCTGGTACAATGCGTTCTGGTTGCGAGGTGGAGCAACATCAGGTAGGTGCTTTGCCCACATCTTGTTCAAACTATCCTGTGCGGGCCCTGGACAACGTACGTTTCTATCCATTGTGCCAACGCCGCCAGGTCCGGTGAGATAGGAAGGAAAGTAGCCATTATTGGCGTTGCTGAGTTTCCGACGCGGCCTTTGCGCCGCAAGCTGGTTTCGCGGGGATCCTGGTGGGTTCAGAGCATCTGCTGCGCTCGAGCGAGGCAGATCCAGAGATGTGGACGGCGTGTCGAGATCTGAGTAAGAATTGCTCTTCCGTCTCGCCAGAGGGAAATATCCCAGCATTCTTCGCGGTAGCCGTGCGATTTGAACTGGTGCGGTGCTATTCGGCAACAGCACCCAGGAGTCATGCTGCCACTCCGCTCCGCCGTTCGCACTTGCACTTACTGCAGAGGCACTGGTATGTGTCGAAGCAGAATTCGTGCGATCCCTACCGTGGTTGAAGCTGTTATAACTGAGCCCGTCCGACGTCTGGTTTGCTGCGGTAGGCGTTGGCACCTCCTCGGCATGCAAGGTCGATAGAGCTTCACTTTCAGAGCCCATTAAGTCCAGCTCAGAGGCAGTTGCAGGTTTCCCCTTTACTCCACATGCATCTACAGGCAGGAACAAGGTCTTGCGCATCTGGACGCTGTCATTCGGCCACATTCGATTGGCCTTGCGCAGCATGTTTGCCGAGATGTTGTACCTGATGGTAATGCCCGCTAGCGTGTCACTTTTCTGGACATGATGTATGTATGCCAATGCATCCCTGTCATCTCCCTCGCCAGGCGGCGCAGAGGCAGCAGTTCGGTCATCTGACAATCGTCTCTTGAACTTGCCCAGAGTGTCTGCGTAGCTGGCATCCTGCCCGGTCAGCATCGCCTGACGCTTCTGAGCACGGAGAGCTGCGGTCTGCTCCTCCGTCGTACCTCCGCCGATGCCGCCGGATCGAGGGTGCGATGTCGAGGAAGGACCCCATTCTGGAGGTGGAGCACTGACACTGGGCTTCGAGGTGTGCAGTCTCCCGTGCGGTCGCCGCACTCGGTGTGAGACTCTATCTTCCTGCTCTGCCAAATCACTGCCTAAGAAATCCTGCGCGATGCCTTGTAGAGCAGTCCATGAGCTTCCCCATAATCCGGCCAGTGACGGCGAGCCTGTGTCCGCCCTGCTACTTTGTCCTGCACTCGTCGCCGGTTTCGAGGTACGACTCAGGCTATCGTACTTGCTCGCATAGGGGCTCAGTCGCTGAGGATGCGCGGCGGGTATGGGGGACGCTGGTCGGCTGCCGAAGAGGGAGTTGGGATTATATGCTGGTTCCTGGGTTGCGGCATCGTCCTCATCGAGTCCGGAGATCAGTCTCGCAGTGCGCGGTCGCAAGGTGCTCGAGGAGGGCTGGGAGGTGGAGCGGGCAGTAGTGGCATTGGTGGTGGTGCTGCTCATCGCCAAAGGTAAGCTGGACTTTGCAGCCGACGCATCACAACGGCGGCTCCTGTATCTCTCCGCCTCCGACCAGCCGTCTGCTCTCTGTTTGTCGGTCTGTCTGTCTGTCGGCGGGATGCGCTCAGCTGGAGGGTGGGGGGAGGGGCGATGGAAGCAGGTCGCAGGTGTCAATGGCGGCGATGCATGTGCGACAGGAAGGTGGGCTTCCACATCAGGCACTCCGACTCGCTGACTCTACGTCTCCTGGTCCAGGTCAGGTTCCAGTTGCAAGGTTCAGTGGTAGTAGAGTTATAGTTAGGTGCATGCCTGCGAGTAGGCCGCTGCTGTGAGCCTGTGACAGCTGTGAGACAGGCCGGCCAAGAGCTTCGTCATGTGGAGGATCAGTGCGCTCACTACCTCCGTACTACTCTACCTCCTACTCCTACCTGTACCTCCTACTGTGTGACTGTACGGTTTACGCGGCCTACCTTCTGGCCTCTCTTTAATAGGAGGTACGGAGATATGTAGTTGGGATGGGTCCACGAGCGCCCCTCCAGCTCCTGTAGCCCTCTAACCCTCCAGCCCTCTCCAGAGATTCTACCTAGGTAGGGAGGTAGGTAGTTCCACCATCTGACATCAGCAGGTTCAATGTTCTTGTCTTTGTCTTTCGTAATGCAAGCAGGGCCTTGCCTGAGGCTGAGGATGCCTAATCCGACGGTTTGAGATGCAAACCTACGCTACGGTAGGATGAACCTTTCATTCTAGTAGGAGATACTGCTGAGTGCTGGAGTAGGAACCTATTACATACGTGTACCTCCTACTGTGTTCCTCGCCATGCGGCTCTTGCGGCTTGAATGTGCGTGTTTTGCCGTGAATGCCTGAGGCGTGCTAGTACATGTATTTCTAGTAGGACACCGTCCTGCCGGGAGACACCCATGCACAGAGGGCATTACTTTGTTGTGACCCAAACTGATCACCGCGCGTCCCTCCGTTCGACATGATGAATGCCAGTAGGTACATTACCTTAATAAGTACATGTAGATAGGTCTGCTTCCAGTTTTGAGACAAGCCATGATGTACCTCAATCGAATACAATGCAAACGGGTACCCGGGAATAAGGACTGTTCAGAAGGCATGCCGTGTGTGAGAGTGTGGGGAAGCCAATGGCGGAGGCGGGATTGTCAAAGCATGCCTCTCCATCTCCATCTCTCCCCGGGTATAAGCTCGACTCCCTCATGTCAACAAGCATGTGTGCATGACAGCTTTACCGCTGCCGAATATGAGAGATGCCAGGAAGACGAGAGTACCGCATCGAAGATGTGAGTGCTTCTCTCTTGGATTATTTATTACTTTCTCCCGTCCTTCTCTTGCCCCATGACCACTGCCATCTCATATCTCCTCATATTCCACCCACCCTCTCTTCACCCCGTATTGCTGCCGTTGAGCGTGATCTTCCAGGCGAATTGGCCGCCAGCACCAGTCTGGGAGAAGAGTAGGAAAGCACGCGGGGAACAATCTCGGAAGGGCGTGCAAGAGAGGCCACGATAATGGCCCACACAATCTCTCGAAGCCTCTTCGACGCAGCCTCGAAACTCCGAACCACCCCCTTCCGACAAGCCAACACAGCATGGCGGAGACAACCAACATCTCCCATGCTCTCGCAACAAAGAAGAACCCTCCTCAGCCAATCTCAACGCCGTCGAGCAACGACCGCCTCGGGCTCCTACATCAATCCCTCCCAGCAGCCCATCATCGACCACCACTACGACGCAATAGTGGTGGGAGCCGGGGGAGCAGGTCTCAGAGCAGCAGTCGGCTTGGCAGAATCCGGTCTTGAAACCGCCTGTATCACAAAATTGTTCCCGACACGTTCTCACACCGTTGCAGCGCAAGGAGGGATCAACGCCGCGCTGGGAAATATGACCGAAGATGATTGGCGATGGCATATGTATGATACAGTCAAAGGCTCGGACTGGTTAGGCGATCAAGATGCTATACATTACATGTGTAGAGAGGCGCCCAAGGCAGTGTATGAGTTGGAGAATTATGGTATGGCGTTCTCGAGGACCGCCGATGGGAGAATTTACCAACGGGCTCTCGGGGGGCAGAGTTTGAAATATGGGAAAGGTGGACAGGGGGTGAGATGTTGCAGTGCAGCGGATCGTACTGGGCATGCTATGTTGCATACTTTGTATGGACAAAGTGTGAAACATGATACAAATTTTTTCATTGAGTATTTTGCGATCGATTTGTTAATGGTTGATGGGGAATGTGTGGGGATTCTATGCATGTCTATGGAAGATGGGACGTTACATCGAATCTTTGCGAGGAATACTGTGCTAGCCACGGGCGGATATGGGAGGACCTACTTTTCGGCTACGAGTGCGCACACTTCAACCGGAGATGGAAATGCAAGTTGCCACACCTTTTCTCTGACACCTCGCGATGGGATCTCAAAGCTGACAAAATCGACTCGCAGGCAATGGCAGCACGAGCTGGTCTCCCTAATCAAGACTTCGAGTTTATCCAATTCCACCCTACAGGCATCTACGGCGCCGGCGTCCTCATCACAGAAGGCTCTCGTGGCGAAGGCGGCTACCTCCTCAACAGCGAAGGCGAACGCTTCATGGAACGCTACGCACCCACAGCCAAAGACCTCGCATCCCGCGACGTCGTGTCCCGCTCTATGAACATGGAAATCCGTGAAGGTCGTGGCGTAGGCCCCGATAAAGACCATGTCTACCTCCAACTCAGCCATCTCCCCAAGGAACTCATCCTCGAACGTTTACCTGGAATCGCAGAAACCGCCTCCGTCTTCTCTGGTGTAGACGTCACAAAAGAACCAATCCCCGTCCTCCCTACAGTCCACTACTGCATGGGCGGCATACCCACCAACTGGAAAGGTCAAGTCCTCAACATTTCCCCTACCACTGGCCAGGAATCCATCGTCAAAGGCCTCTACGCCGCAGGCGAATCAGCTTGCGTATCTGTTCACGGTGCCAACCGTCTCGGAGCAAATTCCCTCCTAGACATTGTCGTATTTGGAAGGGCCTGCGCCCTCGACATCGCCTCGAACAACGACAAGGGAGCCCGACATAACAAAGTACCTGAAAACATTGGCCTCGATCACGTCGAGTCCATGAACAAAATCCTTTCTGCCGATGGAGATGTTCTATCTGCGCAGATTCGAACGGATATGCAGAAAATTATGCAAGCGGATATTTCCGTATTTCGAACCAAAGAAGCCTTGGAGATCGGGAATGAACGGTTGGAGAAGGTGCAGAACGATTTCAATACGAGGTTGGCAGTCAAGGACAAGAGTATGATCTGGAATTCGGATTTGATTGAAACTCTGGAATTAAAAAATCTCTTGACTTGTGCGGCTCAGACTGCGAAGTCGGCGGCGGCGAGGGAGGAGAGTCGGGGTAGTCATGCAAGAGAGGATTTTCCGAGTCGGAATGATGAAAAGTGGATGAAGCATACTTTGAGTTGGCAGAAGGATGTTGGCGAGGAAACTCGGATTGGGTATCGAGGGGTTGTGATGGATACTTTGGACAAGACAGAGATTGAGACTATTCCGCCTGTAGCGAGGACGTATTAGACAGAGTGGGAGCTGTGTTACCAAGCTACCTTACGCAGAGCGATTGAGATGTTTCTCACGTCCGCTGATGAATTACCACGATCACCACCTCTCCCGCAGTTCTGGGCCGTGTCTTCAAAAGTTTGGATATATTCCGCAGCTTTCGCAAGGAAGATTAGGTACCTAGGTAAGACATAGACCTAGGTACCTACCTTAGTCGTCCTCATCAGTTTCCGAGTCCAAGTCCATAAGTAGTCCATGTATTGTTTCCAAGTGCCCAGTACGATCTAGAAAACGAGGGAAGAGAGCTCTTCCCTCTTCTACTTCACCTTGATTTATTTTCTCTTTATTTATTTTCCTTTTGTTTTTCAATCGATTCACGTACCCTAGCCCATTGTCCTTCAGCGCTGATTCTCTCGAAATAGATATAGCCTGTTGCTCAGGATTTTAGAAACATTGCGCTGGTTGCACTTTAATCAAGTAGGATACAGACAGAGCCTTTTGCGCAGGAGAGGCGGTCTACGGAATGTAATGACACAAAGAGGAAATGTATGTATAGCGTGTTAGGCTTTTCGCCCAATAATCCTGCTGCCAGCGCAGCTGTATGTATGCCCTGTTTTATTTAACCTCTCTTCTAGCAACGACGGCATCACTTCAGCATGACTGTAGGTATGGTAGTGTGCCGCCACCGTACCAATGGCACTTTCCAACATCAGCGACGCCTTTTTCTTGAGTCAAGATTTTTCGTCTTCCCCTCAGATCTACCGGCTGCCAGCTGACCGTGGCGTTTTTCTAGCTCTTGTGGCCGATGCTGGAAATATCCCGAGGTGCTTCCTGTGAGTACCTATGTGCTGTGTACAGGTAGCCAGCATGCTCCGCCCTCACAACAGCCTTCCGCGCTGGGCAATTGCCTGTGATGCTTGAGGGATTCCGGTTCACTGAATGGTGTTTGTGTCGATAATACAGATACTGACGGAGGGACGGCGGTTGTTGCGTGCTTGCATCAAATATCAGGAGGGAGACTATCCGTGGCGGCATGTTTCTCCACAAAGGTAGGAGGTAGAGCTAAAATAAGGTAGGATCGAAGCACTGACCAGACCCTTGGCGAGGTTACGCCGACGGCAGAAGTGCAGATCTTCACATTCACATCCGCTCGGTCTGTTCACTCTCCTCCCTCATCGTTATTGGTTATTACAATTTACAGCAGCCGAGCGGTCATTCTTGTTACCTTCCCGCATACACCTACCTACCTTACCTCTTACTCCCTCCTATCTTCCAGCAGATCATGGCATATAACAAGCGGAGATGGGATAGCCAAGTGGCGGCGCCAGTGACGTTGTATCAAGCTTAATTATTTGCAGCTTTAAATCGTGGTTCCAGTCGCCACAATGCCACATTGCAACAGTGCCATCGTCGAGACGGCAAGCGACCCGGGAATCAAGCCTGACAAAGCTTTTGCCAGAGACGATCAATGCAAGCCTTTTAGCTTAGCTGAAGTGTAACTTCAGTGCTGCCACCTCGACCTGCTTGATTAGGATTATCCCACGCACGTCACGCAGATACATTTCTACATTTGGTAAGAGTAATAGCACCGGAGGTCAATACTGGACCGAGGAGCTGTTGAAGAAGTGAGAATATAAGAAAAGAGTAGGTCGTCGCCGTGGTGTATCGGCAGGAATTCCTCTGTCTACTCCCCAACATGCATTTCACATCATATGCCGTAGTGGCGGCTCTACTGGGTGCAGCAGCTGCTGCTCCGGCTAATGTTCAGCGACATGTTCTTCACGAGAAGCGTGCGGTTTCGGAGAACTGGGTCAAAGGGGAGCGCTTGAGACCTGATGTCAGAATGCCAATCCGCATCGGACTGGTGCAGGAGAACCTACACAAGGGCCATGACTGGCTGATGGAGGTGTAAGTCCAGATAACATGCACGAAGGTGCTTCTGAATAGCACAATGGAGGAATGCTAATGGATGTTCGTAGCTCTGATCCAGAATCACCCAAGTACGGCAAGTACTACACCGCGGAAGAAGTTCACGAGCTTTTCGCCCCAGCCAGCCATGCTGTCGACTCTGTGAAGAGCTGGCTGCACGAAGCTGGTCTTCATCCAGAGCGCATCTCTCAATCTGCAAATAAGCAATGGATTCAGTTCGATGCCAGTGTCGCGGAAGCCGAGGCATTGTTCCAATCGAGATATCACTTTTACGAGCATGAAGCCACTGGCAAATCCACGATCGGCTGTGATGAGTACCACGTTCACCAGGATGTCAAGAGACACATCGACTATATCACTCCTGGTATCAAGCTTATGAACACACGAGACACCCCCAAGTCTGATATCGAGAAGCGCGGCTTCGGTTGGGGAAAGGGGAAAGGCACTCTGCCTCCCATCCTTGCCCCATTGCCAATGGCACTCGATGCAATTCTGGCAGCCCCTCTGCTTAGCCTTTGCGATGTTGCTATCACACCACCATGTATCGAGGCCATGTACAACTTCACCAAACAAACAACAAGCGCGGTCCCAGGCAACGAGCTTGGTATCTTTGAAGACCTTGGAGACGTCTATGCTCAAGAGGACCTGAATTTGTTCTTCTTGACCCTGCAGCAGCGCATTCCAATAGGCACTCACCCAGTGCTCAAGGCCGTCGATGGAGCTGTCGCGCCTAACCCAGTCACAAGCGCCGGACCAGAGTCTGACCTTGACTTCGAGATCAGCTACCCTATCATCTGGCCTCAGAACTCCATCCTCTTCCAGACCGACGATCCAGTCTACGAGTCCAACTATACTTATGCCGGATTCTTGAACAACTTCTTCGACGCCATCGATGGATCGTACTGCACTACTGGAGACATCGAGCAGCCAGACCTCGACCCAGTGTACCCCGATCCAAGCAACGCGGCTGGTTCTTACAAGCAGCCAAAGCAGTGCGGTGTCTACAAGCCAACCAACGTGATCTCGATCAGCTATGGTGGTCAAGAGCCAGACCTACCCGCAAGCTACCAACAGCGTCAATGTGCCGAGATCATGAAGCTCGGTATGCAGGGTGTAACAACTGTGGTTGCTTCAGGCGATTCTGGTGTCTCCGGTCGCCCCGTCACTGGCGACAATGGCTGCATCAATCAAAAGGTCTTCAACCCAGACTTCCCCGCCACCTGCCCGTACATTCTCTCGGTCGGCGCAACTCTGTTGACTGGTGATCCTCACAAGGATGTCGAGACCGCTGTGACGAGGTTCCCCAGCGGAGGCGGCTTTAGCAACATTTACCCAAGGCCTTCATACCAGGACGCAGCCGTGAACACCTACTTCCAGACTGCGGGCACTCAATACCCATTCTACACTGGATCGACTTATGGTAATGGTCTTTACAACGCCAGCGGGCGTGGCTATCCCGATGTTAGCGCTGTCGGTGACAACATAGTCGTCTTCACGGGCGGAGCACCAACTCTTATTGGTGGCACTTCCGCTTCTTGCCCAGTCTGGGCTGCATTGCTAACACGTATCAACGATGAGCGTTTGAAGGCTGGCAAGCCGACTGTGGGATATGTCAACCCCACCCTGTACAAGAACCCATCGGCGTTGCACGACATCACTGTGGGATCCAACCCGGGCTGTAATACTAATGGATTCGCTGTCTCGAAGGGTTGGGACCCAGTGACTGGTCTGGGAACGCCAAATTTCCCAGAGTTGCTCAAGTTGTTCATGTCGATCTAGATGGTCGAGACATGCTTTTTTTGGGTTGATTTGCGGGAATGGTTAAAGTAAGGCACCTCAGGCAAGGTGAGCTGCTGTGCAGTGAGACCTACACCAATATTATGATAGCATGAGATATGAATACCACCATATGATACAATCAGTTCCAGGCCTTGCCTCATCGAGTGACGAGGATCAACTCTAAAGTGCATCTGTCTCGTTTTTACGAACATTGTTGCTCTCGTCTTAGGTAATGTACCTAGGTAGGAGGTACCTGATGGTGCATCAATTAGATGAGTCAAATATTCAAGACCCCTCCCTGCAGCTTGACCCACCCTTGCGAGACTTGCCTTCATACGGTAGGAAGGTACTGAGGTAACGCAGTGGTACCTCGTCCAGTTCGTATTCACTCTGCAAACCACTACAACACAGCATATCCGAATCGCTAAAATACCTCAGTCTTGCTGTGCCTTCTGGAAGGTTTAGCTGAACGAGGCATTGCTTGCTCACCAGGAAACAATACTCTCTGCCTCCTACACTCAACCCTTCTCTCTCTCGCGAAAACTCGAGTCGGTCGGAAAACGCGATAAGAAGCCACGAGACGACTGCCGCCTGCCACGTCCACAGCGTCGGAGGCGCCTAGCCGCTTCTTGTACTCCTGGACAACGAACGCTCCCGATCTCGATCCCTAGATTCACCTACACCTCGCGTTTATTGCCATCTCTGCTGCACGTTCAGTTGGGATCGAGAAACGATTACGAGAGAAAAGCAGCGCCTTGTGAAGGAGCCTTGGACCACGACTTCGCGGATCTGCTAGAAGTAAAACCACGCCTGCAATCATCATGGTCGTGGAGAGGGACAATGTGGTCCTTTCGGACACTGAGGGTGGAGAGAAATCAGCGCGAGAGCAGCTGAAAAAGGCCAACATCCAGGATCCGAACGCCAAGCGGACAGACGACGATATCGAAGATGCGCCTGCCCCAACGAGCGCCGCAGATGCCGAGGCTATCTACGAGAGCAGCGGGCAGCGAGGCAGGATACAGCGGAAGCGAAGCTTTGAAGAGGTGGAGCCTGAACAGTCCGAGCCAGCAGCATCCGCGCCCTCGAAGCTGCATAACCGGAAGAGATCACGAGACAGCACGGCTGAGGAGTATGCACTAAACAATGGCCAACGCAAAACTTCTGGCGAGCGGTCAAGAAGCGGTGATGAGACAGAAGGAAATGGTGCAAGGTCGAATGACGGGTTGAACAGTCCGCGCTCGACTACGCCAGATCTTGGGACTGACAAGGAATCAGCAGCGGAGGCTGTGGCTAGTCCAAAGACTAAGAGGAGCCGACTACACTCCACGTCTGCAGACCCTGAGGCCACGGTTGCGGAAAGCAGTGGTCTGACAACATCCAGCGCGCTGATAGATAAGTCCAACGCATCGACAGCCGAGTCAAAGACGGATGCTTCGCAAGGCCTTGCGGGCAAGATCCAGCCGGGTGGTGGGTTTGCGAATTCTTCTTCCTCATCACCTTTCGGCGCTCTTGCTGGAAGTAAGCCCCCTTCTGCCGAGACGTCTTCCAGTGCCTTCGCTTCGTCCAAATTTGGCGCTCTCGCAGGCTCATCGTCTTCTGGTTTTGGCGCCCTTGGCAATACCACCGGCGGTCCTGGACTCGGTGGTGGTTTTGGTAGTGGGACCAAGAGTCCCTTGGCATCTACAAACAAGGCAGCGCCCGAGACGTCTGGTAGCGCGTTTGGTGGTGCTCTAGGTCAGCAGTCATCTTTCGCTACTGCTCAGAGCGGTTCTGCTTTTGGTTCTGGTGCTTCTGGGTTCGCCAGCCTCGGAGGAGTCAGTAGTGGTGGCTTTGGAGGCGGTCTTGGTGGTACTGGCTTTGGCAGCTTGGGCAGCGGTGGTCTGTCAAGCTTCGCAAGCGGCAAGCCTGCTCCTGCTGCCAGTAGCTCAAAGCTCGCAAAGCCTTTCGGCGCAGCGGCAAACTTGGAGGATGCTGAGGATGGGGGAGACGAGGAAGACGACGGAGCCGGGTTCAAGAGTCCACTTTCTCAGGATTCTGACAAACAAGACGAGCGCTTCTATGCTCAAGACATCGAGACTGGCGAGGAAGGCGAAATGACAGAGATGACCTGTCGCGCGAAGCTATACAACTTTGCGCCTGGCGAAGATGGTAAGAAGGAATGGCGCGAACGTGGCGTGGGGATCCTTCGACTGAACGTTCAACGGCCTCTTCATGATGATGACGATACCAAGACTACAGCACGCTTGCTCATGCGAGCCGACGGTTCGCATCGAGTGTTGTTGAACACCCCGGTTCTGCCACAGATCAAATTCGGGCAGCCAGACGGCAGCAGACCGACCGGGAGCTACGTGTACTTCATGGGAACAATTGACGACAAGAAGGAATTGCAACTTCTACAGCTCAAGGTGAGTTGCTGCACACATAATCTCAATGCTCCTACTAATACTGCTTGCTAGGTCAAAGCTGTGAACGCTCTTGAGCTATTCGACAAAGTCAAGGCCTTACAAGAGGAGATGTAAATCATAACGACCATTAGGGGAAATAAATCTGGGGCGTTTGGAGCGACAGATGCCAAGCAACTTGGGCCGGGTTCGATCAAGCAAGCATTATACCCTCTGGCATTTCTTAGCTCACTCACATTGGTGGAGAAGAGGAGCTTTGGAAAGAGGTCGCAGCTACGCATTGTGGGTTTTGACGATCTGGTAAGTCGAGCTTGAGATTGCATTGCGGTCGGAAAGAATCCAGAAGTACACCCTTACATAGAACAGAAGGTATGCCGTTGTTGACACTGAAAGCCTCATATCTACTCCCCACAGCACATGCACACACACGAGCAACCACCTCGCCTCATCTATTGCACCAGCGAGTGAAGTACACCATGAGCAAGTCGCGACTATGATGCGGTCAAGTTGTCTCCTAGGTACATGTGTGAATAAGCAGTATAAATGCCTCGGCTCAGTAGTCGGGCCCTGAACGGCGCGTCTTTTTTGTATTCTGGCCGCGGTAAAATGTACCGCAAAAATGTCTTGATATCATCACATGCGATCAAGCCACGCACAGTCGGTGTGGTTCGCGTGCCTCTTTTTCGATATATTATTTCTTGTCGTGTTGCACTCTGCTCTGTTTCTGTATCTGTTTTGCCTATTCTGCAGCCTGCTGTGTACATGTACCTGACCTGATCTCTCCACCTGCACCTCCACACGCCACGGCGCCCGACTCTAGCCGCCGAAGGAAGGAGGACCCTGGTTTCAGACCGGTTAGAACTACTACAGTACTCCACAAATAGGCGTCTCCGCAATGTCATCAGCTATAGCTTCCACTCCCCAACATCGACTTGAGCAACTCCAAGCACAACTCACCACCATGGGCTCGAATGGCGTCGCTTCGGCCTTCTCGCAGGATGTCGTGCCTCTCGCGCCTGAAGACCCGCTCTTTGGGTTAATGGCCGCGTATCGCAAAGACACCGACCCGAACAAGGTGGATCTGGGCATAGGAGCATACAGAGATAACAACGCTAAACCGTGGGTTTTGCCCGTTGTCAAGCAGGCAAGTCGATGGGCAATGAGGTGAAGGCCATGGGGGGAAGGAGGCCGGAGTGGGAAGAGTACCTTGCAGTACACAAGATGGAAAATATGGAAGCAGAAAGCAGCCAGCGGTGGCGCATCAGTCCTGAAGCTGAGAGGGGCTCCATTTGTCCGGCTGGAGCGAGGGAGGCAGGCTTCAACAAGGCAATAATTCAGCGCTAACAATTTTCTCCAGGCAGATGAGCTCCTCCGCAATGATCCAGACCTCAACCACGAATACCTACCCATTGCTGGTCTTCCAGACTTCACCTCCGCCTCCCAGAAGCTAGTCCTTGGCAAGAAGTCGCCAGCCATCGCCGAAAAGCGTGTCATTTCGTTGCAAACCATCTCCGGTACGGGAGCTGTGCATCTCGGCGCTCTCTTCTTGGCCAAGTTCTACAATCCATCAAACGCTGCGGCCAAGGCTGTATACCTGAGCAATCCCACATGGGCAAACCACAACCAGATCTTTGGCAATGTTGGCCTACCGGTAAAGCAGTACCCATATTTCAGCAAGCAGACCAAGGGGCTCGATTTTGAGGGCATGATCGGGTCATTGAAGGAGGCCCCCGAAGGCAGTGTCATTCTGCTCCACGCATGTGCGCACAACCCCACTGGAGTCGACCCCACGGAGACACAGTGGAAGGAGATTGCAGAGGTCATGAAGGCGAAAAAGCACTTCCCATTCTTTGACACTGCATACCAAGGCTTCGCTTCTGGTTCCCTCGAGAAAGACGGCTGGGCGATCAACTACTTCGTCGAACAAGGCTTTGAACTCGTCGTTGCCCAGTCATACGCCAAGAACTTTGGCCTCTACGGCGAGCGTGCAGGCTGCTTCCATTTCGTCACCTCTCCCGGCTCCAGTGCAGTAGAAACCACACAGCGTGTCGGATCCCAACTAGCAATCCTTCAACGTTCCGAAATCTCCAATCCCCCCGCATATGGCGCACGCATTGCCTCGCTCGTTCTCAACGACGACAAGCTCTTTGCGCAATGGGAGGAAGATCTCCGCACCATGTCCGGCCGCATCAAGGACATGCGCCAGGCGGTGCGCTCTCGCCTCGAAGAGTACCAGACACCAGGGACATGGCACCACGTCACCGAACAGATTGGCATGTTCAGTTTTACCGGACTGAACGAGCAGCAAGTCGCCAAGCTGCGCGAGAAGTACCACATTTACATGACGAAAAATGGAAGGATTTCCATGGCAGGCCTCAATACCAACAATGTCGAGTACTTTGCCAAGTCGCTCGATGCGGTGGTGCGTGAGTCTTCTTCATAGAAGGAGGAGCTGTGATATCCCCCCTCCCCCTCCTTCCTTGCCTTCTGTGTAAGATGGAAGGACTGAGGAGCCCACGAGGGAATGAAAGATTTGGCAGGCACGGAGGGACGGAGTACAGCACCTGAGTACTCGCGGGCCTTTCTCAGGACCTCATCACACAGCCAGCCATGTCTTAGTAACGAAATAAATCGCAATGAATAGAAACCAAGGATCCCTTCTCATTGTTGTCATCATCATCACTTGATTAACACAGTCACACAAACTTATATCGTTTTTTTTTTCTTCTTGATTTCCGGACAACTAGGGAGTTGAATACCTACCTACATACAACTGACGCAAACATTTTTTTCTTCTTCTTCTTTACAGCCGAGCTGCCGCAAAATCGAGCTCTCACCCTGCTTGCTTGCTTGCTTCATTGATTAATTAATTAATTGATTAGTTTGATCCTAGAGCGAGCGCCTTTCCTTTGGCCACTACATGGATGTACCTTGGGTAAGGTACTCAGTACATACATACTTTACGTACCTATGTCTGCTCCAGTGCAGAAGAAGTTCAAAGTCATTAGGATTGGAGTTGTTGCAATCATGGCTAAGCAGGACTATGCAGTAGCTGATCTGACTTTTTTTGGTGGTCAGCAGAGAGGGCCGTGTAGGTAGGTAGTGAATCAGGGCAAGGGAAGTCCTGGAAAAAGATTTTGAATCATGCCACCAGGGAATCTCCTGAAGGCTCGGCGACTACATGTACCTACCTACCTGACCTCATAGCTCAGACTAATCGCAGTCAGACATTACAACATCACCAACCAGAAGCACAAGTGGGCCGAATATAGATTGACTTGTGGAGGTGGGCGACATCGACTAGGTAGGGCGTGAGAGCTATATTTTCCCGAATTACCGGGGTCAGATGCGCCGGCACTGCCAGATTTCTGGTAGATGGGAGTGATTCAATCTCACATTATCTGTTCATGCGCAAGCCTGGCTCTGAGTAGGTATTGGCAACGTGAATTGGGATATAGCATATTCCGTTTAATGCTCGGAGGTATTTCCTTGTCCTGGATTTGTTGCATGGACGTTGAGAGCATGAGCAAGTCATGACTTTGGCGCCCATGTTCTCATTCATGGCGCAGAATAGTGCGCGTCTAGAATATGAGGTCCCAGACGACCAGGAATGCACAGAAGCCGCAAGTGGACCAGAATACCGCCTGTGCAGTGCTCTTTCTTTCACTCGCACGCTTGAGCTCCTTATTACCCTTGCCCAGGTTTTCGGTGGTCAGATAAGAGTCCTGCACCAGCTGGCTAATGTTCTCGCTCTGCTGAGTCAGGTTTGCATGCAAAGTGCTGTGTAGCTCACTGATCTCGAGAATGCTCTTCTCCGCAGTTCGGACTTGGTCCAGTTGGTCCTCGTAGTGCCTGAGCAGCTCCGAATTCTCCTCGGCAAAGAGCTGAAGTTGCTCCTGGGTGAGCTCCTGCCGCGTAGTTGTTCCTGTCGTGGCATCCTGGAGGTCTGCAGAATATCGTTGCCGCTTCGAGACGCCATATTCTGCGGACGTGGGCTCCTGTGCATGGTCGAAGCTGTGTGCTAAGTGGCCATTTCCAGCCGACTTTGCCAGAATGGACTTGGACTTCTCCACTTCCCTTGTCAAGCGTATGTCCATCATTTCACTTTGCACTCTCATGGCCTCGCCCAATTTCTGCTGCAGGTAGGAAATGATGTTCTCTCGCACCGTCTTGATCGTCTCCCGAGCTGCCTCCTCGAGCTCCTCTTGCGGCGATTTTGCCGTTTGTGCACCTCCTGCCGCCCATCTCCCCAGGCCCATCAAGCCACCCTGTGCACGCTTCGACAACGCGACAGACTCGTACGTCTGGTTCCGCACATCTTCGGCCTGCTTCAGTCCCGTGATGGCGCCATTAAGCTGTCGCAGCAGCTGTTTCGACTGCGCATCTATGGCGTCTCGTTCCGTATCTGTCAACGGCCGTGCTCGATCGGTGTTATCGCCAACATGTCGACGCCGTGAGGGTTGTGCTGCCGAGAGGTATGCCGGGCGGATGGAACAGAGCTCGCGATATAAATCTGTCACTCGCGCGTACTGGAGGATGCGGCGTCAGACCAGGTCATCGATGATGGGCGGCTTGTATGTGCGAAGGAGCTTACTATACTGTATGCCTCTTGCAGGAAAGTCTCGATGTGCTGCAGATCATAGGGTGTAGGAAGGACTGGTTCGGCGCCCTTGTCCTTCAGGTAGACATTGAAGTCTGCGGTGATGTCTGTCATTGTTGGGGGTCCATATGTGCTGTTGAATGCGTGAACCTCCGGGTATCAGCACTGTCGAAGTGTGGGCATGTAGTAGATGTCGTTGAAGCCAGCTTGACATCACAAACAAGAAACCAGGATAGAACTTACATACCTGACTTAGAAGATACCTAGATGGCTCTGCTTGGCGCGCAACCCTGTACCTTATATTCTCACGTCGATTCGCCCAAAGGAGAATTAAACGTACATGTACATTACCTGACCTATCAATTCAATATCCCGATGCATCAAGTCTCCATATTGCTTTTCCGAGGCAACACAGCTATGTGTGTGTGCCTATCTTTCCTGCCAGCTTCTGCGATAGCGGCACGGTTTTCGGACTTAGAGTCCAGCACATCGGATAGGCGGCACCAGTCGAGGCATGTGGCCTACATGTACATGATGGCCGATGATACATACCTCCTACGTCGACGGGAGTGAGGAGATCTGCTCGTTACCGCCTTGGTTTTTTAATTTCACTTATATTCAACAAGAGGTAAAGCCACATCTGCTTGAATTCTATTGCCCTCTCTACCTTAGTCTGCTTGACATCCGTTCTTTGTAGTACTACTTGTGTACTCTCTCCATCTCTCTCTCTCTCTCTCTCTCTCTCTCTCTCTCTCTCTCTTCTCACACGCTGGTGCTTGGCGTGCATATGACTGCATTCATAGGCGTACTCCCAGATGTCGAGAAATCGGAGGAGAATCCGGCTGGAGGACCACCGGAGATAGCCCAAGACCACAAGGACACATCCGTAGAAGAACAGACGTCGACGCGGTCATCCTTCGATACCATCAGGTTGGCCCATCATGACAACAGACAGCAAGATGAAGATGTACCCGCTGCCGACCTCGAATCTCTTCGACCCGCAAGCACAGCTCCACAATGGTCGATATTTACTCCTTCACAAAAGCGCTTCATCGTATTCATGGTGTCCCTCGCCGGTTTCTTCTCTCCTCTGAGCGCGAATATCTACTTTCCCGCTCTGAACACGCTCGCCGAAGATTTTGGCACGACGGAGAGCGTCATGAACTTGACTTTGACTTCGTATATGATCTTTCAAGGGTTCGTCATATGGCCTCCCCATTCAAACTTGTCGGGGCTGGAACTAACTATTCACAAGTCTCTCGCCTACTATATTCGGAGATCTCGCAGACATGGCTGGTAGAAGACCCGCGTACATCATTGGCTTCACCATCTACATTGGTGCATGCATTGGAATCGCCAGCTGCAACACGTTCGCAGCTCTCCTGGTCCTCCGATGTCTGCAGTCGACCGGTTCAGCGAGCACGATTGCACTGGGCTCAGGAGTAGTCGCCGACATCGCCACGAGCGCGGAACGAGGCATGTGGATGGGCTGGGCGACATCAGGACCCATGATTGCGCCCGCAATCGCACCCGTACTCGGCGGCTTGTTTACACAATTCCTCTCCTGGCGCTGGATGTTTTGGTTCTTGGTGATTCTCGCAGGCACATTCCTCGTCCCATTTGTCCTCACTTTCCCCGAGACTGGTCGAAACGTGGTCGGTAACGGGTCAATACCGCCTCAAGGCTGGAATATGTCCCTTGTAAACTACATTCAAGTCCGTCGACAACAACAACAACAGCAATCATCCCTCCCACCACCCCCGAAAAGAAAAAACCCCAACCTCCGCCTCCCCAACCCCCTCAACTGCCTCAAACTCATCTTCCAAAAAGACGTCGGCCTCCTCCTCTTCTACAACAGCATCATCTACAGCGCCCAATACGACATCATGTCCTCCTTCCCCTCCCTCCTCTCAACAACCTACACTTTCACCTCTCTCCAAATCGGCCTCAGTTTCATCCCCATGGGCCTCGGATCCTTCCTGGCGCCGACCATCAGCGGAAAACTCCTCGATTACAATTTCCGCCGTATAGCCTCTCAGATCCAATATCCCATCATCCCAGGAAAACCCAACGACCTTCGAACTTTTCCTCTCGAAAGAGCAAGAATTCAAATCGCGTTTCCCATGGTGTTATTGGGAACAATCACTATCCTCATATACGGCTGGATCATGCATATCCATCCCTCCAACTCCTCGGTCAATTTATCAGCACCTCTAATTCTCACCTTCATCATCGGTTTCACATACACTTCGGCATTCAACGCCATGAGTGTTTTATTGGTAGATTTATATCCTGCGAGCCCGGCAACGGCGACGGCGGCGAATAATTTGGTTCGGTGTTTAATGGGAGCCGGGTCGACGGCCGTCATTTTGTACATGATCGAGGCCATGGGCAGAGGCTGGTGTTTTACCTTTCATGCCGGTGTCGTGGCCGGGTTGAGTCCGATTTTGCTCGTCTTGGAGAAGTGGGGTCCTGGGTGGAGGGAGGCGAGGAGGGTCAAGGAGGAGGAGAAGAAGACGAGAATCGCGACGAGTGCAAATAGTAGCAACAGTGTAGTACCGACGACAGAGCATGCAAGTGACAGTGATCAGGAACAGAACCACAAGGAGAAATCATCAGGTAGCAAGTAGAGAGATAGAGAGAGAGAGAGCTCGAAGCGAAAGTTTAGTTCGTACTTGCCACTATTCGCCTCTTGATATTAAGAGGTCGTCTCACGATAGGAGGAGAGATCGCCATCACCTGCGCACACATAACACGAAAGGAACGCTAGAAATTCCGCCCCGGCCGTAGTCTTTCGCGCCGCTTTCGCACACTGTGGTCGGCCGTTCAATTCATACACGCTGAAATGCCGAGCAACTATCATCAACCCACATCGGGGGGTATCTTGTAAAACAGTCGCGCCATGGCCCGACGACGAAAGCAAAGGTGTCGAGTAACATGCCGAAAAGGCCAGCCAGTAAAACACCGGTGGGCGCGCTGCCGAAAACAGAGCCGACCACCTATTGTGGTGGCGGCGGCTGGAAGGGTGTGTTGCCACTTGAAGATGTATTGGAGCCACTGCCCAAGCGCGATCCATTCGTGCTGTTTCGGTCCAAACCGGGATCGCCAAAGACGTGGCTGGGTCGACCAGCACCACTGCTGTAGGCACTGTCCATGGTGTCTTCTCGAAGCTTGCTCTTGGGGTCGCTCGCCCACACGGGCAGACCGTCCTGAGGGAGAGACTCGCCCGTCGGTGTTCCATGTCCGTAGTCTGCCAGCATGCCGTTGATACCAGTCAGAGCCCAAGCGAAAACAGCTTGCTCACGGATCGCTGTCATAAAGTCCATGTGCTCCGGACCGGCTGGTACTACGGGATCATCGCGACGTGCTCCTTGTGGACCAGCAGCTGGCGCATATCTATCGCCATAATCATGCCCTGCTCTGGCCTCCACTGGTGGCAGGATTGGCTGGTGGCCCCATGGTGCCGCAAAGAGACCGTTCTGGTGAGGCTGTAATGGCCGCTGGTTAGGCTGCGGAATCATGGGTCGAGCCTTGCGTAGACACACGACGAGACCATCCGATGTACAGGAAATGACGGCCTCCAGCTCGATTGGCTCTGGCACTTGCGGAGGCGGCGAGGTCACGTCTCCTGTTGGCGAATGTCCTAGTGACGATGTAGATGACTCTGCTCGACGTGCGTGACCGAAGGTGGTCTCGTGAGCTTCTGTGGTTTGTGTGCTATCGCCAGAAGAATGTCTTGAATCTTTGTGGGACTCATCGCTGTCCATGTCCATAGCAATGCCGTGAGCGACAGTAGATTCGCCACCGGCCAGTACTACCCCACCATCCTCGCTAGTGTCAGTAGTCATGTCCTCATCGCTGCTTTCGTCATCCGTAGGCTGGTCGTCAATGCGTGGATCTCGGAACCAAAAGCGCAGGTACGCTATGGAATCGTTGCCTTTGGCGGTCTCTAAGCACTTGACTGCGTCCTGAAGGCAGTTCTCGGCAATGCAGTAGTAGAAGCTGCGACCACGCATCGTCTCTGCAGGGATTCCAATCACTTCGTTCAGGCCACTCGTTGCGTACATGATAGTCAGGGTTCTTGTGAATCGATTCAGGAACAGGGCAGCACGTGGCTCATGCTGTTGCTGCTTCACGGGCTGCGAGAACTTGGTAGACAGGTGCGAGAGCATGTGATACCTGGGATCCTTGGGAGAAGAAGAAAAGATGCGGCGCACGGCGGGCGCCTCTAATGCGCGCTCTGTTCCAAGGTCAGCGAGAGCATCATTTTCCACACGGCATCGCAGAGGCTGAGCTTACTCTCTGATTTGAGGCCTTTGCGATAGACACTGGTGCACACCACGATGACATCGTATACGACCGTCATACACACCTCACAGCCCACCCAATTGCCCTCGCGGTTCCGAATTCTCACGTAGGCCAGCACCGCTGCTTTGTCAGTATTGACACGCCTGCGGTGGAATTTGCGTGCGGCCGCAAGCTCCTCCTCCGGGAACAGATCCCATGCGGAGTGATTGACAATCTCGTCGGGAGTGTAGCCCAGGACGTCGACGACCGAGTCGGACGAGTAGAGGATGGTCGCATTGTCGGTGAGGTCTGAGGTGAAGGGTTAGCTGGTGGAGGGAGCGTGGCGAGAAGAGGGTGGATTGGTTTCCCAGGGAGGGCACGTGCCATGAATGGAGATGAACGTGGTGTCCATCTTTGCCGCCGCGGCTGCTGCTGCCGCTACTGCTACTGCTGCTGCTGCTTCTATTGGTGTTGATGTGGTAGATACGATATGTGCGCACAGCTGTGGCGACGGTGAAGGAAGGCAGGCGGGTGTGGAGAGAATGACGGAAAGCGGGTGCAGTGGTAGTAGTGGTGGTGGTGGTGGTTGGGCTCGTAGTCACCCAGGCTCGCGTGCATCAGGTACAGGTAGGTGGAATAGGGTAAGGTAAGTTCAGACTTCCGTAGTCAGGAAGCCCTGTTGGTATCAACAGCAACAGAAACAGAAACAACAACAACAACAACAACAACAACACCACCAGAAGCGTGTGAGCTTGGCTTGTTGGCTGGCTGGCTTGCACTTGCTTGCTCGAGGTCAGGTCGGCAAACGCAAGCTTAGCCAACAGCGGCGCGGGCCAGGGTCCAAACGTACAGTAGTAGCGGGCGGTAGGTAGGGAATAAGGGACCTAAGGTAGTTTCCGTCGACTAGGAGGGTCTGGAGGGAGAATACGCGAGGATTGTGTCGAGAGCTGTGCCGCTGTGATTTGCCACGGGCCCGTCCCGAGCTGCTCGAATTAGTTCAGCCCAGTCGCACCTGCCTTGCCTGCCCTGCGTCGCTGCTGTGGTGTTCCTGCCGTCCTGCCGCGAAATACTAGCCTGGCCTGCTGCTACTCTGCGGGGCACAGTGAGGCAGTTGCCTTGCCCCAGCAATTGAAGAACGACAGGAGGGAATGGCAGGGCAGGGCAGGCACCTCACCTCACCTCACTTCACGCACGGAAGGAAACAGCAAAAGAGAGAACGAAGGGAAAGGGCAGTCAGTCTCTCAAGGCGAGCTCGCCTTCTTTTAGAGTCTCGCAGCGACAGCCACGCGAAGGGAAGGTCAAAGCAGGGCCAGCAGGTCGCAGGGTATGACAGGGTAGGACAGGGCAGGGCAGGGCAGGGCAGGGCAGGGCAGGGCAGGTTCCTTCAGCAAGGGGGGTGGTCCAGAGCTGTCCTCCGGCCGTTGGGTTGGAAGTTGCTTGGAACGAACAAATCGCGAACTCCGCGTGTGAAAAGAAAGGCGCGTCCGCGTCCGTGTCCGCGTGTGAAAGCCCACGCCTTTTTGTCTTTGGACAGGGATGTCGCAAAGGTCCACACTCCACAGGGTGACAGGGACAGAGACTGCTTCTGCTCCCGTCCTGCTCGGCACTCGCCCGGGAAAGTGCGTCATTTCCATGAGGCAGCAACGACGCAGGGCATGGTCGCAGGTGCAGGCCGGCAGGCAATAGATAGGTACCTATTAGGAGGTACCTCCTACCTCCTAGCTCCTAGGAGTAGGCAAGTAGGAGGTACAACTACGGAGGTAGGAGGTAGAGCAACAGGGAAGGCCATCCCCCTCCCCCACCCCCCCCCCGGCCCCCGGCCCCCGTCCTCCGTCCCCTCCCCTCCTCAGTTCTCTCAATCCTCACCCCTCTGGAGACCGTCTTCTCTCCAGTCGCCCGTTGTCAATGCTGTCGCATGGAATGTCACCTCCCTCAACATATTGCAACCCTCCGCCTGCTTCTGTTCTGCTCTGCTCCCCCGACTGCGATGGCGAAATCATGCGTGCGGTATGTACAGTACTGCGTAGCGTCAGAATATGATTCTCGGTGTATGCCCCACCCTTGCACATAGCGGACATGGGCCCGACGCCCTACTGAGAAAATAGCGGTGCGTGGGCTCATTGGGTGCATGTGCCTGATCCGAGGGTGCAAACGAAATCAGTCAGAATTCCGTACGCATCTAGTAAGCTATGCGACTACTGTCAGCGCAGCTTCTCTCACGACGTCGATAAAAGATCGCTCAGGTAGCTACTGTGCCAGCAAACACATTCAGTACTGACCAGACTCCCTGCACGCCGGAGCCTTCTACTTGTACAGTAGGAGGTACATACAGTACGAGGAGTTACACAGTCCTTCCACCTCCGTTCGATAGTCTATCCGCACCCTGAAAATTACCCAAGAGGTATAAGTTCCCGGCTTTTAGATGCAGAATACCCAGCGAGGATCAAGAAAGTGGAGTTATTGCACCTTGCAAGCGCCGAAATAAAGGTGTTTCGCGATTTTGACCCCGGTGAGAATAAAAAAACACGTCCTCCTATACGCTGGACAGGGGTGTGCGGATGGACTATCGAACGGCTGTGGAAGGACTGTGTACAGTAAGTATCGCATAATGTATGCATCACTGCCGCGCGGACGTACCTCTCGTTACAGTAACCGCGGGCATTCGCCTAGAGAGACAGTGACCACCTTTTCCGCGCGCCTCGCTCTCCACTGCGTCTCCACACTCTTGCGCCCTTCAACGCGCCAGCCCAGTCAATGGCCACTGTCTAACCGCAGTGTCACTCTGGCATGCTCACGAGGAGGAAAAGAACCTTGCCAATGCAGTGAATCAGCCGCGGCTCCACCACACTCACTTCAGTTCTGGGGAATCCACATCGTCGATGCAGACCGCCGTGTCCCGTGTGACACCTGGGAACCCAAACGTCTTGTACACGCGCAGTTCAACAGAAGTGTGAGCCCCGAGCATTGCCGAAAGGCACCGCTGATTAGTCTCTGCCGCACTCTTACCATTCAGAGTGGCTGATACTGCGCAGCGTATATTCTATGAAATGCATTGCGCATTCAGCAAGCACATGAACTACTCGACTTTCTTACTGCTGCAAGCATGAGCTTGTTACATAGCTACGCCAAATTGGACGAACCGTACATGTACTTCTGCGAGCGAGTCCTAAACTTGTAACATTTGATACGTGCTGTGTTAGCTATATTGTACATCTTATGCACCCGCAGTGCCAAGAAATATCGAGCTCAACGGCTCATCTGCCTATAGACCCCAGATTTGAGGAGTAGGGCTAGGAATATACAGGTATCCACGGTCTAATATCTACTTCCTACAGTGTCTTTTGTTCTATCCATATCTCTCGTAAGACAATCGGCAGAGAAGAATACCTACATCCTTAGATATGTACTGTAGGTAAGCGAGATTACAAAAGGGAGGGTAAGAGTAATAAGGAGATTTTTACTATTAGAGATGAGACCTCCCGGCTCATGTATACTACCTATTGCTTGCAATGATATGTTGAAAGACACCTACTGTATGTTGAAAGAGCATATCAAAGCTGGAAACAATCACTTGTAAATCACCAAAGGGCTTGAAAGTGAAGATGTCGGGCATGCGGGACCAACCGCCAGCGGGATTGGCAAACTTTATTTTCCCCTCATTCTTTCCCGAGAGGTTGCATCTCTTCGCTTCGCGTCAACCTTCACTCCTCGTTTCTTCACTTATGCCCCCTCGGGACCGATGTCAAGCAAGGGATGCCACTCAGGCCGAATGGCACTTGGCATGTTCTCTGCTGCCCAAAAGTCAAGTACGGGAGATATCGACAATAGACAGACATCATGAAAAGGAATTCCCGTACTATCCTGATTGTAACCCTGTCTCCACGATACCTTACTCCTATTCAACACATTATCCAGCACTAGAAGTTCTGGCTTCGCTTCTCCGACATTACCATTCCTGCCAAGCGCAAGACCTATGGCACATGGCGCCCAGCGCCCACCAAAGATCAAGAATGTATTCCAATCCACGCGAGCTGCCGCTATCTCAGAAGGCCTTTCTCATGTCCCAGACTTAAGCACGAGAGAGAATGATCCCCGAATGGCTGAGACTATAGGTATTCAATACCTACTGGAAGGTTTGGCTTCGCTTCATCAACATAGGGAGAGGTGATGGTGCTCGAAAACGCTTCAGGCTGGAACCAACCTTCACCATCCTGGCAACACTCTCGGCAGCATCCATCAGAAGCCTCTCAGCCTCTGCAATAGCAACCTGCAACGTGACTGGAGCTTGCAGAATGCTTGCGTATGCATCGATACCCGCTTCATAGTTGGACTCGGCGCCTTTGCCCACTGTGCCAGCCAACGCAATGACAGGCACTCCTTTAGCCTTGGCAATGCGCGCGACTTCAGCAGGAATCTTCCCTCTCGGAGTCTGCTCATCGATGCCTCCTTCGGCCGTGATGACTAGGTCGCATCCTCTGACGAGGTTGTTGATGTTTAGGAACTTGGTGATGATATCGAAACGTGGATGGAGCTGGGCACCAATGAGCTGCAGACCAGCGCCCATGCCTCCAGATGCGCCGCTCCCTGGAGCATAACTGATGTCTTTGCCAATGCTCTTACTCACGACAGCTCCAACGCGGGTCATGGCCATGTCGAGAAGCTCCACCTCAGCGGGAGTCGCTCCCTTTTGTGGGCCAAACACTCGTGCAACACCTTTCGGTCCGCAGAGCACATTGTGCCAGTTGCATGCGACGTCGATCTGGCACTCCCGGAGTCGTGGGTGAAGTTCGGAGAGGTCTGTAGCGGCGAGGTCGTTGAGTGACGCTCCTCCCATTGCCTGGGCAATCTCGGCGCCCTTGCTGTCAAAGAAGCGTGCTCCAAGCGCCTGTGCCATACCAATGCCACCATCGCAAGTGCCCGAGTCTCCACATCCCAGGAGTATGTTTGTCGCACCGTTGTCCAGTGCAGCTTTGATGAGCTGTCCGACGCCGAACGTGGTGGTGTAAAGAGGGTTTCGTTGATCTCGGGGCACCATGCTGAGCCCTGCTGCTGCTGCCATCTCCACGACCGCTGTACTGGCCGAGTTACCCAGGAAGCCATAGTGAGATGCCACAGGCTCACGCACTGGGCCGATGACTTCAACAAAGTGTCGTCTGCCTCCCGTGGTTGCGACGAGGGCCTCCGTGAAGCCCTCGCCACCATCCACCATGGGAGCTTTGGTTATGGACGCATCTGGAACAGCTCGAAGCACACCGGCTTCGATGCAGTCCGCAACCTCGTTCGGACCCAGACTCTCCTTGAATCCACTAGGACAGATCAAGATGCGTGGCCCCATCTGCGTCTGGATGAGGCTGTTACCAAGCTTGACTCGCTCCGACACCGCAGGAGTGCTGGAGCCGCCCATTGTTGCAGCAGGTATTTTCTTGTTTGCAGTGTCGCTGTTGCTGCTTTCGATCGATCTGGTTCTTGTTGTCGTTGTAAGTGACAGTGTGTTTGGCAGCGAGTGTGATTAGAAGCGACTGTAAGTTGTCGATCGATCTTGAGATGTGTCTCTCGGGGAGAGCACGTCTGCTATCTTATAGAGCAAAGACACGAGACTCGCACTGACTCCGAGGGGTATGTAGGCACTCGACATGTGCACAGCCTCAGGCTGGGTCGCAGTCTCCCAAGGCCAATTCCGTAGCTCACGATAACTGACTGATGCAGCACTCGTCCACGACGGCACGGGCAGTGCCTCTATATTCGCGATGCATGGGCAGGGTCTGCAAATAGTAGGCCTATGACCAAGTGGTACACCACTTGTGCTAGCAGTCAACACTAGTCCAGGAGAATTGGCTGGAAGCGGGCTTTGATTCCTAAGTGCACCGATTTCCACGTGGACTACAGCTATCAGAGGAACAGGAAAGCAAGCACACGACAGCTTGCAGTGGCTTATCATCTTGTGAGCTCGCTCAAGTCTCGAACAACGGGGCCGTGTCGTGGAGTAGGCGAAGGATTACCAAGGTCGGACATGAACAGCGAGCAGACTCCAACCGCATGGCAAGTCATGGCAGAATGGCTGTGTGACCGGTCTAAGAGAGCATCAACGAGTTAGTTGTCGGCAAAATGCGGTGTACCAGCACGCCGTGGAAAAGTTCTTGCGGACCTGGCGAATAGGGTCACTGACTAGGCCGGAGGCACGTGATAAGTCGCGGCGTTTTCATTATTATTGTACAATGCCAAGCCGACACGCTCAGCGAACGTCCTTCTTGGAACAACTCTTAGCACGCGGCCCAATCATCTGTTTGAGGCAAGGCGCAGTGCATACTAAGACGGCCACAGCCACTTTTGCAACATCATTCTTCGCTTCCTCAAACCTTTCCAAAATGAGCCAAGTCGGTGAGTACACCAGCACACATCTCAGATGTGCACAACAAAACGAACGACATACAGATCAATGAACAACTTGCAGTCTAATCACCAGACGGCATAACGAGTGAGTGCTTGGCAGCTTCTTGCGAAGAATGTGCTTGCTTGCTATAAGCGCAGAGTAGATGGTCCAGATGCTCTTCCGGCAATCAGCTACTGTGAAAACACCGTTAATAGCAAGCTCTTAGATCCGGCGAAGTCACCAAAAAGTCACGATAAGGAGAACGTCTGCTTATGCATTGCTCGGGATCAGCAGCTAGTCTACTGGCGCCACATACCAGTGCGAAGAGCCACGGCAATGCTTGGCTGGTCACTTTTGCCGTGGATAAATCGAACTAATACCTCACGTGGGCCTATAGGGACTGGACGCCTCAAAGCAAGCCGCTCCCAAGAATTTGGGCGCAGTGAGTGCATCTTCACGGCTGCTGAAAATTAAGCGATGGGCTAGTGTAGCCTAGTATAGCACTTGGGATTGTAGTTCTGAAATGACTCAGGCACTGCCTGCATTGGCACACTATTATGGCTTCGTCGGTGGTCATTGTGGTGTCTGTAAAAGCATGAGTCGTACCGGATAGTACTATCTGTCTCCTACCTTCATCCTCACTGCAGTTTCATTACTCTCGTCTGTATCCCTTTGCCATGGACCACCAAGATCTGCGAGAAGATTCGGAGAGTCTCGTAAAGGCAACTCCTCTTGCTGACGATGATAGCTCTGGCGATTCAAGCGGAGAATCCATCCACTCCCAGGAGGAAGACGCCGACCATCACTCGGACTCGGACAGTGCGGAAGGACACGAGATCGCTCATATCACTCGTCAAAACAGCACCATTGAGGAATACTTCGATGACCATGATCATGACCATGACCGTGATATCGATGATATATCCTCCCTCCGGTCATCTCTCACACTCTTTCACGCCGGGTACATAAATCCATACGCCCCTGCACCGACGTGGAAGCAGGAGATCAACGACGCTCTGCCATTGTCAACACGCGTACCAACATTCAGACGACCAGTCCCGAGCAGGCAGCCAACGCTGCAAAAGGTAGAAGAAGGAGACCCTTCCGAAGATCCCAATCTTGTCACTTGGGACCAGGACGACCCAGAAAATCCACAGTCAGTTGCCAACCTTTTTGAGCAGTAGTATAGAAATCCCAATTCGCTAACGATGAGACCAAATTTGTACACATATAGTAACTGGCCCGCACATCGACGATGGACATCCACGGTCCTGATTGCCATGTACGCGTTCATTGCGCCCATGGCTTCGACCATGGTCGCGCCAGCTCTGGACACACTCAAGGACGAGTTTGATGTGGAATCGACGGTCGAAGAGTTTCTCATCATGTCGATTTTCTTGTTGGCTTTTGCCATCGGCCCATTCCTGTGGGGACCAATGTCGGAGGTGTTTGGCCGCGTGCGAGTGATTCAAATTGCGAATACTATCTTTTTGATCTTCAATACCGTGTGTGGCTTTGCGAAGACGAAGCAGCAGATGATGGCGTTTCGGTTCCTTGCGGGGATTGGGGGCAGTGCACCTCAGGCGGTATGTTGATCTTTCCTGTTTCTGGTGCGGTGTTTTTCGAATGTCATTAGTGCTAATCGATGTGAGAAATTAGATTGGAGGCGGCATCTTGAGTGACTGCTTCAGGGCGGGCGAGAGAGGTTTGGCAACGGCTATTTACAGCTTGATGCCCTTTCTTTCCCCTGCAATCGCACCGATCATGGGCGGCTACATGACCCAATACATCAGCTGGCGATGGGTCTTCTGGACGACCAGCATCTTCGACGCTGTGGTACAGATTGCGTGTATCATTCTGCTTCGGGAGACACATCATCCTACCGTCTTAGCCAACAAAGTCAAGGCGCTCAAGAAGTCTACCGGTAACCAGGACCTTCACACCAAATGGCAAGGCCCGGAACATACCATGAAGAAACGACTCATGAAGAGCTGTGTACGTCCCTGGATCATGCTTACCACTCAACCAGCACTCCAAGCAATGGCTCTCTTTCGAGGCTACCAGTACGGCCTGATGTATCTCGTCTTCGCAACCTTCCCCATGGTGTTCGAAGACGCATACGACCAAGACACCGGCCGAGCATCACTCAACTACCTCTCCCTGGGCATCGGCTTCGTCATCGGACTGCAAATCTCCGGCACCATGCAAGATAAAATTTACACGTGGTGCAAAGTGAACGAAATCGATCCCTCGACGTCTTTGCGCCACAGTTTTCTGCAATCTTGGAAGCTGTTGTTCCAGAAGAACAAAAAGCAGAACAATAACAAGCAGGGCAAGGGGAATTTGCTGCTCCTTCTCCAACGACGACAAAAATCACACAGTTTACCCACCAAGGAAGACGAGGAAACTCCCCATTCGAATATCCCACGCAAGCCCGTGCCGAACCGTATCAACTCCATCACACGTCGCGGAACCAACAAATCCTTTGTCGATCCCACCAAAGGTCTTCCCGAATATCGTCTTCCCCAGCGTCAAACTCACAAACCCCAAAACAGAATTCCCCCACCCGACGCCCAGCACCTTGTACATTCTCGGCGCAAACAGCGGAAAACTGAATCCGGCCATCGTTCGAACAAAAGCTGCAGCGCCCGTGGCAGAGGCGGCGTAGGTGGTGTAGGTATCTACGACGTAACCTTGCGCACAGTTGAAGCAGACGATCAGGCCGATGGAGAAAATGCAGGTGCCGATGTTGGGGACTATCCAGTGGATTTCGTATTCGGCTGTCCAGCCGTAGAGGAAGAGGCCTGGAGATGGGGAAGGGTTAGAGAGGGGAGAGGTTTAGGGGGGTGGGGGGGGGGTTTTTTTGTAAGGGAAGAAGGAGTGTGTGAGAGGAGGGTTTTGGAGGTAACTAGGTAACTTACCGATGGGAATTAGCATGGAAAATGGAAGAAGGAGCGGTTGGTGGCGCCTGTGGCGTTGTGGAGATATGGGGTTTGGTTGAGGAGTAAGAGTCGGTATTGTGTTGGGTGATTTTTTTTTTCTTTTTTTCATTGGGTGGAAGGATGAGGGGAAGGGGGAGGGGAAGGAAGGGGGGAAGGGAACTTGATAGCGTTTTTTTTTTTTTTTTTCAAAGCGTGTGATGGATAAATTACTATACCTTGGGTCGGCGGCGGCGGTAGTCTTTTTTTGTCACATAACACGATGATACACCTACACGAGTAGCAAGCATTATTTTACTGCTTTTCTTTTTTTACTGCTTTTCTTTTTCTCTTTTCGGCTTCTGGCGTTTTTAGAGAAACTGCGACTACCTCCTACCTTGACGTCGACATGCTACCTGGGCAGCGAGCGGAAAAGGCGACCTTCCTGCTGTGTATTGACAAAAGAGGCTTCACACATCGGACGCTTCGGCAAGTACACAGTGAATCGTGATATATTGTATGTAGGTCGAGGGAGCAGAAAGAAGCGGAACGGTGATGATAACAAGTGTGGTACTTTTCACAACGGTATGGCATTATTGTGTCTCCACCACATGAAATCCTGTAGCTGACTGACATGTTACGCCAGAACACCAGTTTCCTCTCCCTCCTGCATCATGCTACCAGAAACGCCAAACAGAACAGAACAGAACAGAACCGAACGACGTGGCCGTTTTCAACGAGATCTCGTGCTGCCCATGCCACGCTTGCCAGCCAATAACCACTTGCTCTTGCTGGCAGTTTGATGACGATCTGCCTCTCCCTGTCTCGCCATACGGTTCATCTTCTTTTGACCCAACTTCATCATACGCTCGGCATTCGTCCTCGACGTCTCGTTCGTGACACCATCCTCCCTCCTGTTCACTCTGCTCTGGCTGCGACCCGCTGTGCGAGCCACAGACAAGCTGCGAGCCAGACGTTGTCGTGGCGTCTCATCAATCTCCATTCCATCGTCGTCACCATCGGCCATGGAAGCATCGTCTGTGCCTGCCCGACTCCTGCCACGACCTCTGGAGGCAGCACGAGCCCGTTCTTGGATGGCGGATGTGTCGTAGCCCGCGTTCTTCAGTGCAGCGTCCATCTTTTCCATCTCGACAGCCTTCTTCGAACGCGGTATCACAGCGCGATTCTTCAAACTCTTGCGCATCTTGTTCTCGTTGCGGATAAGCTGTCTCTTCTCCCGGATCAGCTCGGCCTTGTATGCAATGTCCGCCTCTTCGGCGTCTTCCAGATCCTCCTCTTCATCATACACGCCGTCAGCTTCCCTCGCCTCTTCTTCCTCCTCAAGTGCCTTGAGCTTCTCCTCAATGTCTGGGTCAAAGTAGTCGTACACGTTCTTGCCGTTGAGCACTTCGGGAATCTTGTCGTTCTTCCATTCGTCATTTTCGAGGAGGTACTGGTCCTTCAGGTTGACGTTGAAGACACCAGCGCCGCCATTCTCTTCTTCGATCTCGCGGAGAAGTTTCTTGCGGTTCGGGTCGTCCTTGTCGAATTTGATCTTGCGAAGTGCGGCCTCTGGAATACTAGGTTCCCACTTGACGCCGCCGATGGGCTGTGCAACGTGGATACGCTTCAGAACGTCACCCATTCGTCCTGTGACCTCTCCAGCAGCGTTTGTGCCCGCCTGCAGCTTCTGAGCATTACGTTCCGCGAGAAGTCTGTCGCAAACGGAATTCCGTACGTCCATGAGACCTTCAGTCGTGGTGCAAGAGAGTTGAAGCATTTCCACGTTTGAGCTCTTCTGTAGACCTGCCAGCTTTTCCTGGGTCTCCACGTCAAGATCTTCTGGTCTCATCACATCAATCTTGTTGATCACGATGAAAACAAGCTTGTTGGCGAAGAGCGGCTTGATGCTCTCGAACAGAGCAATCTGCGCGTGCACGCTGTAGCCACACTGCTCGCTGAGGTCCATGAAATACATGATGGCGCTCCTCAGATGAGCAATTGCTGTAATACTCTGCATCTCAATGGTGTTCATCTCCTCAAGCGGGTGGTCCAAGATACCGGGCGTGTCAATCGCCTGGAACCGCAGCATCTTGTAGTCGAAGTGTCCCACGAACAAGCTTTTCGTCGTGAAAGCGTATGGTTGTACGTCTACATCTGCACGAGAGATGTTCTTGAGGAAGCTCGACTTGCCAACATTTGGGTATCCACAAATCAGAAGAGTGCGGGTGTTTGGGTCGATGCTGGGCAGACGACCAAGATGCTGTCGTACTTGCTCGAGATATACCAGCGGATCCTTCAGTCTCTTGCAGATTGTGGCCATGCGACCAAGCGCCGCCCGTTTGAGCTGCTTGCATTGGTACAGAGACTGGCCGTATTTGAGCAGACGAATATAGTCTCTCGACACAGTCTCGATGAGTCCCTTCGCGGTGTTCAACTGACCCAAAGCAATTCGGAAATGGTCTGCGTCGTAGAGAGTGTTGAGCAGGTCCTTGTGGAAGGGGTGGATATCTGCGAGTCGCGGGAAGCCGTCGAGGATAGCAGACAGCTTTTCGGAAAAGGTCTCGGCGGTGTATTTGACCTTGCGCATATAGAACGACCTAATACGAGTGATTGCGAATCCAGCTCGAATTTGTGTTGGCAAACGACGCTGGGTGCGGGAGAGCACAATGTCCAGGAACTCCTGCGACGTTGGCACCGGCGCGATGTCCTTCCATGTCGTCTTCATCGTGGCGGTCGTGGGAGGGACGGTGGGTGGGTGGGTGTGGTGCGGTGTGGCAAGGCACAACGGAGGACGAAACGCGAGCGAGACAAGAAAAGTTCATTTATCGATTGCGTCTTGGCAAGAGGAAGGAAGGGTCGACCCTCGCACCAAGGGCTTTTGCCGGGCTCCCGAGACCCACTTCTACTCCACGCAATCCTCAGGTATACAATACCTACCGCCAGTTCACCCTTCTGATAATCCTGCCATGCCCATGCAGCAACAGTACATGCTCTGGCAGCATTCTGAAATGAGGCAGATTGGGACGATAGGTCAGAGTGGCTAGTCGATACATGGGAAAGTCCTTCTACGGGCTACCGTCGAGCATGAACATCAGGAGATCGTGGGAACAAGCCTCAGACGGCACTGGGAGCGTCCATTCTGCATTATCATATCGAAGCAGCGAGTGCATCGAAAGCTACTCAGGCCGGGGATAAGTCCTGGCATACTCTTTATTTGATCGAAGTAGAGACCACCTAGTGTGGATAGGACGGCGTACATAATGTCGTCCCTCACTCCTCAGTCCAGTCAACACTTGTCCCCTCACTCGCAATTGCTTCATCGTTCGGCTCCCCTATATCTGGTCCCCGCTGTGATCCACCCCAGCCAAGGCTCGCCACATGTATATCAAGGCCAGCAGCTTGCTCCGCCTCTTCATACTCCGCTAGCTCCTCACCAAGACTCTTCCAACCACCACTGGAGTCAGCCCAACCCTCATCGTCCCCTCCGTAAGTTCTGTGAGTCGCATCACCATCATCATCATCCACATCCTCCGGCTGCACCTCGACCCTGAGTTTACTCCCACAACGAACAAACCCGGACATCACTCGCCTCTTCTCCAACGTCCGAAACTTCTCGCGTTTCCCATCAGGAAAGTCTCGATCCAACTGATACAGCTGACGATCCCTCTCCATTCTCGCAAACCCCAGTTCTTCAGATTCCTCATGTTTTTCAGTAGTATACCAATCATCATCATCACTCTCATCATCATCCCTCAATCCAGATACCTCCCGCAACAACAACGCATCAATCCTCTTGTCCAGCACCTCCACCTTCTTGGCTTTACAACACGGACCACATTCCTGCTCGCTGTAGACATTGAACAGAAAAAGATTCCCTACAACACAACCAGACGACGACGCACGTCGTGCTGGGAGTGTTCTTGTTGTTGACTTCTTCCGCGTACCCGGGGTGCTGCGAGTCGGGCCTGTACACCGACTCAGGAGGAAGGAGAAGGCATGTCTGCAGGTATAGATCATGGTGCGAGCTTGGCACATTCTTGGGGTTGGTCTCACGTTCCGCGTGGAGAGATGGTGGAAGGGAGGGCGGGTTGAAAGTCGAGGCCAAGACTAACAGTCGTAAGAGTACCTGGTACTGTAGTTCATTAGCTTGCAGTAGCAGCGGGAGGTTGGAAATGGCTCTTCGGTGAGAATGGTGATGATGACAAGGTAAGCGTGAGTGTCATCATGAGGAAGTGGCACGAGAAGCTGGGTCAGACACTTGTGCCCGCCTATGTTATTATTATGAATTTCACTGGAAGGCAGGAGCCATGCCGAGCGTGCGGTTCGTGAGCTTTTTGCATTTGATTGCGGCTGCACACGTCCCGAGGTGATTTGGACATCTACCTTACGTAACACAGTGGTGGGTGTGCGACTAATGAGCGAAGAAGGTCAGCATTGAATTCCAATTGCAATATGCTGAAGGTGCATATCCGGTATCGTATGCCTATCATAAGTACTATAACACATCAACAAGAATTTCCCCGCCCCCCAAGCGAGAGTAGTGGTATCTTTGGAAACGCTGCACCGAAGCGCTTTCGATCGACTGACAGCACCGTTGCACGTCGTGCTCAGTCACTTCCCAGAACAGCTGCCCCGTCTAAAGTGTCGTTCATCGTGAGATCGGTGTCGTAACGAAGGTCGTAATGTCCAAGTCATAATCCATCCATCCATCCATTCCACCTCCAGTCCTCAGACCATTCTGGCTCCATAGTGGAACCTCATGTCAAGCGCGCTGAAGCGTCGTCGGGCACGATGCTGCTAGAAACGAGCTACCGGGGCTCCAGCAACGCGATGATCCGAGACCAACACACCACTCTTGGCGCCCGATCGTGCAACCTGCTCCATCCAGTCATCACTACGTTTCTCTTTCTCCTTGCTGCTTTGCCACCAGTGCCGCTTCTTCTCTTTCTCCTCGCGCTGCGTCTCCACAGAATGATCATAACGAGGATCCGCCGACACGGCATGTGATCTACTGCTGCTGTCACGAGAATGACCGTAGGGCGTGCTGGCAGTGGTGCCCGCGGGGCGTTGTCCAGTGCGTTCCCACACACGTGACGTTCCGCTCAGTGGAGGCCCAGCGGCACGTCTGTAGTCCGCGAGGTGAGGTCTGCGGAATCGTTTGCCGTGCTCTGACTCGTGCTGCGATTGAGCAGAGCTATCGTGCGAGAGACGAGGTCGCAAGCTGTGATCACGCGTGCTGCTTTGCGCTGATGAGTGAGCAGAGAGTCGATCAACATTCATGGATGGCCTAGAAAGGTGTTGTTCATGGGTCGGCGAGGTTGTCGCAGAACTTCTATGCACCGGCACCACTGGTGGGCTGGGCAAGGCGTGGTCGCCAAGGTGATCGTACCGTCGGATATCGATCGATTGCTTTTGCGATCGTGGCGGCGTGGGCGAACCGAGACGAGCAGCAACGATTTCGTCCTGGGTTCCCGTGAATGGAGACGGCGTGCGGATCATCGACGCTCTTGATATGACTCTCCGTAAGCCATTGAAAGCAGGTGTCAGACCAGTTCCCAGTGATGGCGACGAGCGGAGCTTCGGTTGTGTGGCTTCTGTTGGCTTCATTACTGGCGCAGGTGATGAAACAGGACCTGGGGCAGGCGCGGGCTCTTCGTCTTTCCACGAGTCCAATCCAGGTAGCGGCGGCAGCTCTCGATTCAAATCGATGACCGGTCTCGACGCTGCACTATCCGGTCTGCTGAGTTCGGGGCTCACAGCGTTAGCATGGGACTTGTTCCGGGGTCGCCACTTCTTCCAGTTCGCGGAACCTTCTGAAGGGGCGACCTCTGAGTTCGTCGTTTGCACAGAACTAGTCGATTGCTTTCTAGCGTGACCGCGTGTGAACTCGCCGCTGATCTTCCCGCTACGGAAACCGGTGGCAGTGCCTGGTCTGAAATAGTCTTTGACGCCAAATGCGATATCGCGTGCCCTGCTGGGAGGCCTTTCGACGGGCTCTCTTGCATCCTGATCAGAGTTTGGACGTAGGTAATGCCCCAGGATGTCTTGTGTAATGCTTTTAGCCTCATTCGCGGCTCGACTTGCTGCACGACTTGCTGCTCGCGATGCCATGCTTAATCGGCTGCGAGAGCGCACGATCATTCGTCCTCTTGCATCCCCCTCAGTCTCTGGCTGAGAAGAGTCGGCGCGAGCAGCAAGCGTGCGACCTCGATCGGGTTGGTCTGTGCTTTCAGGTTGAATGTCCTGTATTGAGGGCGGCGAGATAGCGTTGCTCGCCTTCCTGCTTGCGGGCTGTGACGGCACAGGCTTTCGAGCAGGAACATGAGAATACGAAGTTGGGGAGGCCATGGTGCCAGAATGGCTTGCAGGGTCAACGGCCTTCTGTCGTTCCTTCTCCCCAATCGCCTTCTTGTGTTTCTCGAGCTCTGTGCGCATCCAGTCTGCGTTCACAGCGTCCACCTTCGGCATACTTCCGTTGTCCGAAGTCGAAGTCACAGCCTGCCCTGATGTGCGCTTTGAACGTGCAGGAGTGTTCACGGCGGAAGTCAAACCAGTTGAGGCAGACCAGGGATAGTCCGTAGAGTCTGTATGTGGCGTGGAGCCTGATGTGCCCACCGAATCTGACCTTTGCGATGTCCTTGTCCTTTCCGAGTTTTCATGCCGCGCGACAGCCACGGGCGGTTGTATTGCTCCTATCGACTCTGCTCTTGGACGATGTTGCGACGAAGCACTCTTGACTGGTTCTCCCGCCATGAGCACATCTGCGCGTGACCTGGCGGTAATTGCAGGCAGCACAATCCCATTTCCCTCACCATTGAACAGATCTTCAGTGGCCACGTGCGGCTTATAGGCGTACCTCGACGACAGCGGCGGCTCCCGCGACTGCTCAGGTCTTTGTCGTGCGCTTCTCGTCCTGGTGGGCAGGACAGCCACAGGCGCAGCATCGGCTACTCCCCCCGCCTTGATCGCGGCATAGTCCAACGCAGGCTTCGCGGCCTCCTCGCCCCATACTTCATGAGACGGTTTGGGGTGGGTAATGATGTACGAACAGGCAGCTCGGAGTTCAGCTTCGATATCGCTTGGCATTGGCGGGCGTACACTTTTCGGCGTGGAGGGCCTCGATTCGGGCGGTGATGCATAGTGATCTTTCCACGCTCTGGGATCTGGACGTGACGACGAGCCCAGGTGGCCTATATTGCCAATGGTGCCGAGATTGCCGATCTTCTTCACGTGCATTATGGTCAGCGGTAGCTTATGAAATTCCTGCAACGTGAAAGTGGGCGTGGGCAATGTGAAAGTATTTGTGTGTGCGTGTGCGTGTGGGCGAGCAATGATCAGCCCAAGGACCCGGAACATACCAACTTTGGAATGTCGAAGGAAAACTTGCGTTTCATCCTGGAGGCCATGTTGTCTACCGCCGCCGCCGCTGCACGCGGACTGCGAAGGCGAAGTGGTAGTGATGTCGGAGGACGTTGACGAGCGAACGAAGATCTCGAGGAGAAGTTCGGTCGCAGTGAGCGCGGAGCTAGGGTAGTCTGGCGAAGTTACCACTGGGTCACGTTCGCTGGTCGAGGTGGCTTGGTGATATGTGATAAAGTGGGCCGGCCTTGCCTCTCCTGCCCGCCTTTGGATTTCTCGTCAAAGATATGCCGACGGAAGGCAGCTCGTGCCACGGCAGGCGTCAGCGTCCAGTCTCCGCCCGTTGCTCGCGGCGCGTGGGCCAGCTGGAGGGGCGAAAAGAGGAAAAAAAAAGAAAGAAAGAGAGTGTGGGTGGGTGGGTGGTTGTGCGTGTGTGTGTGTGAGAGGGAGAGAGAGAGAAAGAAAGAGACCAGAGTACGCGAGGTGGAGAGAGAGGGAACGACAGGCAGCAAACAAAGAGCTGACCTATGCCCCCGCCAGTACAGCACAGCACATTGAAGGATGAATGAATGCGATTCAGGTGCAAATCACGAAATAATTCTCACGGTGACGAGCAGAGGGCCTCGCAAGTCGTGTGATGGGTTTGGGTACTGTACTGCTGGAGTCGTGAGACGGACTGCAGCCTCCAATCCAGGTGCCACAGCCGTGTTGTCGTGATAGCCAATTGGAGTAGCATCGGCCGAATGTTTCATGCACTCACAGTTTCACGAAGGCGATATCCACTCCTCTGGAGAAGATCCATGTCGACCAGGGCCGTAAGGTATTCGCGCTTGCGTCAATCAGCCTTAAAGGTCTTCCCCCCGCCTCCTCTGCGAAGGCCAAGCTTGCTGCCCATATCTTCCGGCGGAGGCACGGCGGACGGTGGTGACTTTGTCGTGCGTCGGACGGCAACCCTCGACTGCAGCACATGGCGGCCCTGATAGGACCGCTGGTGCCATCGCAGAGAGCTCAAACACCCCTTCATCCCCTGGTGATCAGAGTAGGCACAGTACCTCCCTCCTTAGGAGTATTCAGTAAGTTAGTGGTCGCTTAGTGGTCGCTACTATTCACGGGGACTAGGCGACTGCAGGGATCTCAAACTCCTCCCGACCACTCAAGCAGCGGTCCGGCCTCGAGCCGCTGATTCTTCCAGGCGCTTTTGGCGTCACGGACCGACTAGGCTAGGGCTATGTAGGTATTCCTACCCAGTGATGTCCAAACCTTAGTAAAATAGTAAAAGTAATTACTAATAAGTAATTACTTTTTACTAATCCCTTGGTTACTTTTACTTTTACTTTTACTTTTACTTATAACCTTCGAGGATTAGTAATTAGTAAAAGTAAAAGTAAAATAGTAATAATGATTTTACTAATTTCGGCTATACGTACCTATATATTTATAAGAAATAAGTAGTTTAGGAGGGATATATAGTAAGTAGAGGATATATTATATATATATATAAGCTATCTATATAGCTCTAATAGCCTATATTACGCTATGTCTATTACGCTATATATCTATTGCGCTATATATCTATCGCGCTATATATCTATCGCGCTATATATCTATCGCGCTATATGTCTATTGCGCTATATGTCTATTGCGCTATATATCTATCGTACTATATATCTATTATACTGTATATATATTATACTATATATCTATTATACTATATATCTATTACGCTATATATCTATTACGCTATATATCTATTACGCCGTATATCTATCGCGCCGTATCTATCGCGTCGTATCCGTTACGCTATATCCGTCGCCGTTTCTATAATTCTATTTCTTAATTGCCTAACTAGTTAGTAGGTATCTCTGTCTCTATCTCTATCTCTATCTCTATCTCTATTTCTATTCCTATCTCTATCTCTATCTCTATCTCTTAATTACCTAGGTATTTCTATCTCTAAGCCTATTTCTTAATTACTTAGGTAGATATCTCTATCTCTATCTCTATAAGAGTAGGGTATATATAGTAATGTATAGAGCGTCCTTCCTACTACGTAGGAAAAGGAACAAACTAATTCTTGTCCTTCGGAAAGGAGAGAGCGGCGTCGTATAATATACCCTTACGCTAAGCATACGTAGGCGCTGCGCTACGTAGGCGGTCGCCCGATAGCCGATCGCCCGACGACTTAGATTATACTGCTTCTATAGCCCGTCCTACCTTAGGCTAACGTACCTTAGGCTTAAATACCTAACCGCCCCCTAGAGCTATATACCTCTAGGCCTAGCTGTTACAACTATCTCCTCTCCCTAATAGAGCTGTCCCTAGCGATATATTCTACGTATCGTATATAGAGTATATATAGAGCGTATACGGAGATACTCGTATTCTATATAGAGGCTAGTCGTTATACTAGGAATCCTAGTAGTTACCCTAGGGCATTCTATATAGTAGAATATAAGGAAGTTAATAGAACGTAGAATACGATAGAAGAAAGCCCGCCTAGTAATAGGTAGTAGCAACGAGTAAGTATATTTCGTCCTCTATACTACGTCTTTTCTTCGTTCCTTAGTTCTTCTCTAAACTATTTTTTTAGGAAAAACTCTAAGCTCTTTATACTATCCTCGTAACCTATACGTACGAGACATACCTCCGAAGCGCGCGATAGCTATAAAGGCGCCCGAGAAGCCTGTCCTAGAGCGCGATCCGCGTTGCGGTCGCGCTACGGCTAGAGCGTATAATATTTGCCTCCGCTATATAGAGTATATATTCAAGGGTACGTCGAGACCTACGCGTTACGTACGCCTTACCTATATTTCTTCGCTAACCTAATCTAATAGTAGTAGACGCGAACGGCGTCGCCGAGTACGCCTACAACGGTATAATAGCTTCTAGCCGTAAGAAGAAGTACTAAAGGTACGCGAAAGGGCGCTACGCGTACGAACGTATAGTAGACCTAGACCTACTTCGGCAGGCGCGCTACCTACGCGTCCTATACGTAGCGCTTCGTTCTTATATAGCCGGTATACGCTCGGTATAGGTAATACAGCGCTTGTAGCGGCTAGAAGATAAGATTCTAGAGAGCAAGAAGGTACTTACCTCTAATAAGAGCAAGGCCGTCGGCGTCTACGAGACGCCGAAGAAGGGTAGTAGTAGTAGTATAGCTAGCGCGCCGGCGTCGAGCGCCCTAGCTATAGCTAACTATCTAGAGATAGCGAAAGCTACCTCTGCCCTTTAGGGCATCTTTAAGCTATAGTACGAGGTAAGTTCTATTGCTTTGTACCCTACTCGTAGGCGTCGCTAACGTCTGTCGTAGATAGCTCGCTTAGCTAGCGCTACCGGTACTGCCTTAGATAGCGCGGTAGCGACTACGTATCCCGATTACGGTAGCTAGGAGCCGTACCTATCGGACGGCGAGGAGGAGATAAGCCTGCCTAGCGATAGTAACGACGACGACGACGACGACGCCGGTAACGGTACCGGTAACGGTACTAGTAACGGTACCGGTCCTACCGTTCCTTCTATTAGCCCTACTCCTACTGCTCCCTCTTCTAGTACTACTAGTACCGGTAGTACTATAGGTACCTAGCCCTCTCGTCGCGTTCGGTTAGCCTACGTTTCTAGTACGCTGTACGTAGGTTTTAGTGTTTTTGTTTTTATATATAGTATTCCCGGCTTAGCCGGTTAAAAGCAAATTGATTCTTAATCTCTCTACCTACGTCTCGCTCGTACTATACTACTGCGTTTCCGCTACGCTTCGAACTCGTCGAGGGTAGCGTACTTACTAATATACTCTTTAGGTTCCTATTAATCAAATTCCTCGGGCTAGCTATACTAGCGTACTAAGTACTATCGGATACCCTTCCTTAGGCGCGTATCTAAGATCTTTTCTACCTTATAGAGTCCTTCTTTATCGGCGAGTAGGAGGGTTCCCTTCTACGCGTTACCTACGTAGCCCTTATAGGGCTCGAGATATAAGACGTAGAAGACGTTGTAGATCTACGATCCTACTAGTAGGGCTAGGCGGTACGCCTACTTCCCTACGATATCGATTACCTTAAATAGCTCTACGAACTTATCTACAAACTTTTTCGTAGGTACCTTTAATCTTAGGTTCTTAGTAGACAGTAGTACTATATCCCCTACCTTAAACCCTATTATAGTATACTTTGCGTTAAAGTACTTCGCCTACGCTTTACTAGCGCATTGCTAGCGCTTACTTAGGGTTTCGTAGTTCCGTTTCAGTCTCTCTATAGCGTCTACTACGGCCGGTACCTCCCTCTCTACAAGCTCGCCCCGAGCGTTATATATACTTATCGCTAGCTCCGGGTTGAAACTATATAGTGCCTTAAATAGTAACATCTTTAGGACAGCGTAATCGCTGTTATTATACGCGAATTCCGCTTATATAAGTATACTAGCCTAATCGTCCTACTGCTCTAAGTAGTAGATATATAGATACGTCTCGATTACCTAGTTTATCCGTTCGGTTTAACTGTCGGTTTATACGTAGAACGCTATACTAAGCCTACGTTTTACCTACGCCTTATAGCAGAAGTCTAACTAGAACTAGCTCGTAAATACCGAGCCTCTATCGCTTACGATGCCTATAGGTATACCGTATACCGAACCGTCGTACGATTTCGTTTACTAGAATGTCTACTAGGTCTACGCTAGTACATTTCTTCGTAGTTAGTACGAAGGTTACTATTTTAGTATACCTATCGACGATTACGAGGATCGTATCGTAGACGCGGTCGCCGCGCTTACTTAGCGGCAGGTCTGTAATAAAGTCCTAGGTCAATTCTTAGAACGGCCTTTCTAGTATTAGTAGCGTAGCTAGTTCGCCGTATAGACGGTAGCGTCGCGCTTTCGACTTTTAACAGGCGTTATAGGTAGCGATGTATTCTACTACCTCGGTAGCTATTTCCGGCTACGAGTACTTTCTCTAGATTAAGGCCGTTGTTTTATCCTTTCCGAAGTACCCTACTAACGGGTCGTCGTAGTATATACGTATTAGCTACGCCCTAAGTGCGTAGTCCTTAGGTATATACAGCGCGTCGCCGACCTATAGGTTGCCTTCTTAGGCGACGTATTCCTCGAATACGCCCTAGTTGCTTATCGCCTACTCGTATACTATACGTACGTTAGGCTCTACCTAGACGAGTACGTAGGTATATATTAGAATCAAGTCGGAGACGTTTGCGTACGGCTATTCGTCCTTAAATATAACTTAGGTAATACGGATAGGCGACGTATAGTACTACTATAGGTTAGCGTTAGTACCTCTCTTAACGCCGCGGTATAAACGATCGCCGGTAATACGGATATATAATACCTTCGGGCTATCTACTTCTAACGTACGTCCGTCCTATAGCTATAGCTTAGTTTGTAGGGTAGGGAGGAGGTTAGTTACCTTACGCGACTCGCGTACGTAATCGCTACGTCGCGACGGACCGTCGGCTAGGTTTCGCTTACCTACCTAGTAGGTAATAGTAAAATCGAAAGCCGCTAGGAATATCGCCTAACGGGCCTATCG